GTATCATCGAAAATATAGCCAACGGGAAAGTACTGGCATATGTAGAAAGAAAATCAAATGACCGTAACCAAAGAGAATGGGTAATATCGTTCAGAAATAGAAAACAGAAGGAAATGTAAAGATCGTTATTTATCGTTTGCGTGAATCGCGAGCACCGCAGAAGCTAGACTTGTCCGACATCCAGCCAGACTCGATATCTTCAATCATGTTGTCCAGCTGCTTGACATTCGGACGGCTCTCTCGGTACGAGCTCGAGGTATCAAAACCACTGTGCTCGCTGCTCCGAGAGGAACTGATCCAACTCTCGGGGCGTGAGATGTGGCGGGGAGGGTAATGGCTCGCGAAGGGTCCGGATGGGAATGGTGGCATCATGGTCGGATCGAGGCTCAGACTCTCTAGAGGATTCTTGTTTCCAGCATTGAGTGCTGCCATGAGAGCAGCCTGGAGGATCTGGTTCTGACGCTCCAGATTGGCAACTCGGTCTTCGAGGTAGTGATCCATTGGAGCGGCCTGGGGCCGGTGGCTACTCTGAGACTCTCTAAACCGGTGCGGCGACATGGAGTATTGCGACTGCGGGGATGTAGTCTTCTCAAGATTAGGATTGCTGCGATTTTGAGGAATTAAATGGTGAGCCGAATGAGAATAGCGAGGACGACTGTGGCTGGACATTGGGTGTGTGTCCATAGTTCGTCCTCGGTGGGTTGGCTGGGTGGCTTTCTGTTTATCGGCTTGACGGCGAGATACTTTGACACCCGCACTGGGCCCGAAGACCTCATCATCCGACGAGGGCAGTGGAGACTCAGGGCGACTCTCAGGGCGATTTTCTTGGTATGAGTCGGGGAAGCTCTCACGGCGGAGACTGCTCCGTGAACTGTCGCTTCGAGAGATGATTGAGTTGCGGTAAGAACTAGGTGGAGGGGGTACCTCCATGCTTCTCACAGAGTGAAGCATAGCCGCATTAGGGGCTGTGTAGTTGCGCTGGCCAGCTGCGCGGCCAGGAGGAGGGGGAGGCGGATGTGAAGGAGGAGGAGCTGATGGGAGAGAAGCAGTAGGGGGAGGTGATGGCAAACCGAAAGGAAGATTCTTTTGGCCAACTTGAGAGTTGATCTGTAATCCGTTCAGGATGATACGTTTACCCTGAGGCTCTGTGGGAGTCGAGTGTCCCAAGACAGGAGAGTCGGCCAACGGCTGGCCCTTATCATCACCTGCACTGGAAGGGCTTTCGGGCAAACCTTGCATGCGAGGCATGCGGATGCTAGAAGCACGTCTTCGAGCGGTGTACTGAGTGGGTGACATACACTTGGAGGAGTCTGAGGTCGACGGGGTAGAGATGCTCTCCTCGTCATCAGCGATCGAACCTCCAGCGTCGACATTACCCAAAGCGGTTGCAGGACGTGATTCGAGGATTTGAGGGCTGTCGACGGCGGACTCAGCCCCTGGATCCTCGGGCACGGCTTTCGAGGAAGATTGTTGAGCCAAAGACATTGGTCCCGAGCGAACTGGGCGAATACTCAAGCGAGGGTTTGTCTGAGGAGGAGCGCTGGGGGCACGTTCAGCCTCGGGCAACGATGGAAGTGGCCTGGTAGGCGCCGGAAGAGGGAATGCCTTGAGCGTGCCCATGGATAATGACACTGGTCGAGCCTTGACCTGATCCTGTGGGGTTGACTCCTTGGATGCTTGGGCTTTCTCGATAGATGCCTTTGCCTCAGAGACCAACTGGGGTGCCGGTGCAAGGGCGCCTGTGCACGGCGGTTCTGCCACCTTGGTCGGGGTCTTCTTGATAACGTCTGATGACTTTCGGGACTCATCACTGAGATTGGCTGTACTGCTAGAGGGTTCGATCTGTGAACTGAGCGAAGAACTTGACACGGCGTTGGTGAGCGTTTGATACCGAGGCACAGCTGAGGTCCTCCACGCAGTGATGCTGGACTTGCGAGGTGGTGCAACATCAGGGAAGAGCTTCAGAGTTGGGGTCGAGGTACGACGCGACAGATCAGACGAGTCAGACTGCTTCACCGTGGGACAGCGCCTCTGGCTATCAGTGGAGGGCGGGGGTGACTCTGCTCCAGCTACACTCGCAGGCGCATTGCTTGGTGTATTGCTCGTGACTCGCGAAAGGGATTCTGAATTTTGCGAGTTCATTCGAGCACTGGAAGCCGCAGAGCTGGGTGGTCGGTTGACTTGCTCATCGATCGAGGGGTTCCTGCGGCTGTGGTTCGTGGAAGTGAGTGAAGAAGCTGATCCAACGATGGGTTGGGGGCTTGGTCCACAGAGCTCGAGGCTGGCACTGCTGAGGACTGAGAAGAGATATTCTCAGATGGTTGGTATGGTGGCGGCACCGAATCGTCGAATTCCGAAGAAAGCGAGACAGCGACATCAACCATTGAGCCAAAGTCATCAAGATCCAGAGAGGCCAGGCGACGTCGTGCTTCGGTCGGTTGCTTGCCTCCATCGACTTTGGCTTGTAGCCATGGCTGGCCAATGTTTTCCACGTCTTTCTTGGATTTGGAAAGAGATCGAGAGAGACTGTCCTTGGAATTCCTAGGCTCCTTTGGTCCTTTGAGATCTTTCGGCAGAGGAGCCGGGATGAGATATCCTTCCCTCATCAGCGCATCAATCTGGCGTTGTTTCTCCTCTTGCTTTGATCGGGGCGGTGACTCTTTCTTCTGTCGCTGAGCAAACTGGAGGAGGCGACGATGGAATGGCTTCAGTTCCTGCTTCGGATCCGATTTGTATTCCTTGGGTTCCACCGCAACCGGCAGCGCAGTGGTCGTATCCGAAGGACTTGAAGGCTGAACTGGGGTCGGAGGTGGAGGTTGAGATGGAGTAGAAGGTTGCGCAGGCATGTTCTGGGTTTGAAAGAAACGAACGAGGTCCACCAGACTTTCATTTCGGCCAGGTCGTTCAGCTGTGCCCGCAGAGCGGGCTTGAGGACGTGGACCACTTCCACCTCGGGGTCTAGAGGGCACAGGCCCAGGTGTTGGCGATACCATGTTGGATATTCTGCGTTTGGATGGCAGGGGATCGGGTCGATACGTCCGGACAATTGGGCTTGGTGCGACGGCACAGTCATGCGAAGATTCCCAATGCATAGAGAGACGGGGCATCAAATACTGGCTGCTTTTCAATGCGAATGCTCGCTGGTGTCGACATCAGGGTCCCAACGGGTCCACCGGCGACAACAATGCTATCCTTGCAAGGTCAGAACCAGGGTGATGCCTCGACAGTGAGACATGCTCACCTGTAGGAAACTGAATAGGAGCCCGTTGAGGTTAAATAACAGAGGCGAATATGATCTATCTCAAGATGACATGAGTATATACAGGGTGCGCCACTATAGAGCAGATCGAGGGTGGCGTCAGAGGATCAATGAGAGCGTAAAAACAAGCGAACAGAAGTCGAACCTGAGACGAGGCAACCGGCAGGGAGAAGAGTTTAATAGAGAGATCCCCAGAGGAACTGTCGCACCCTTGCTTGACCGGGGAGACCCAGATGATCACAACGCAGGAGTCCCGCCCTCGGAATCTGGAAAGGCACAGTAGTTGAGGTTAAAGTGGAACCCGACAAAGAGGTTCTGCATATCATCAGGGATTCCTTCAAAGGGATTCGCCGATGCAAGGTGTGGACTCTAATCCAGATCAAACACGCCTAGTGGGAGTTCGGTATATGACACAGCGCTGCACATCGGTGTTTGCGCCCTCCATTGTGCCCATTGTTGCAGGGCCATACCTGGCCGGTAGGCCAATTGAGAATTGGACTGAATCCATTTTGAACCATTGCACATTTGCTTTTTTCCCCTCTCCTTCTTTTGCCCTTCAATATGGGGAGGTAAGGGGTCGAGTAACCGACAGGAGGGGGAAACGTCAGTGATGTGAGGTATCAAAGTGACCGTAGGATCCGAGTTCACGAGAGTTCAGATCGGACTCAGGGATCTTCTAGGCGGCAGTCGATCATGGCAAACACAGAAGTACTGTACAGACAGAGGTGGAGTTGGAGGGGAAGTAGAGTGACAGCTCACACGCACAGATCCCTGAACTATCGAACACATTCTACATATACATGCAGCTATTTAAAAAATTGCTAATTAAATAGCCATTTGATGACTATATTCAGTCAGTACTTGAATACAAAATATAACACTTAGAATCCTCATTGTCACCCTCATATCGGCAATATAGGACAGCTGGACTATCAAGGGCACACTGAACCCCCTGGATCTTTGGCTTCAATTTTGAATAGCCAATATCTCCATAGTAAAGTTTGCGTAGATCCACTATGAATCATCAATTATTGTGGTCTATCACTTCCACTTCTCCCCTTGCTGGAGCCCATTCTATTTTGGTTAATTCTCCGATCCAAACGCTTTTCTGCACATCTGCATTATCTAGAGTTCCATTAAACTTCTATACATGTAGATATACAGGTTCATCCGCAGATCTCCTACTGTGAACACACAGGACCCCCCCCCCCCCCCCGAGTGCACACGTCTACTATACTCCCTTTGTCTCAAACAGCCACGCAAACGGAGAATATCCACATGGCCACTTGAAGCGAATGGCTGCCTGGCACATATCATAGCAAACCTGTCCAGAAAGCCACGCTTAGTCTATGGCCCGGAATCAATCCGACCAGACCATGTATAACATCTAACATGTCATCCCCACCGGCTCCGCTGTCAGACGTCTAGAATCTACGGGAACATGATCCGGCAACACGGCCCAAGACTCGTATTGACATTGGCTATGCAAAATTTACATATAGCTATGGTATCTGTGGCTCTGCCATCGCTGGTGGGATGAAGATGCAGTACAGAAATAAAAGACCTCGCTGACGCCGTGTAATGCTCCAAAATTTTCAACTCGGATTCATCACGAGCCGAGTCTATGTGGAAACAATGTCCCGAAGACTTCCTTGGATCAATTTCTCTTTCTTTGTGATTCGGAGAGTTCGCGATCGGGGACAGAAGGATCCAAATTTGGGTTGTAGGTCGGGATGTACGTTCACTTGCGTTTGGGGCGGATAAATGGGTCCGTTTCCTTTTTCTTCCGCATGGGGGGCCGAGGCTTAGGACCTGGATTAGAACCCTAAATGTAGTTTAGTATGATTGATCAGAAAAGTCAGATAAATGACTTACCTCTGCTCTGGGTCCTGTTGGCGGGGCTCTCGGTGGGGGATTGGCGGTCGGGTATGCTGGGCCATCGCGAGACGGCTTAATGAGGCCCTGGAAGGTTGTCAGCATCTATAACAAGATTCCGCTCGATGGATCGAGTGCACGGTCAAACCTACTGCTGGTGGACCATCAGATCGCGGGCCCTTGGGAGCATTCGGGACGGAGGAAGCGTTCTAGATTTTCGTTAATGTTTGGTTGTAGTAAGTGAAGGACAGTGACTTACCCCTTTTTGACTTCCTTTTGGACCTTTCGGTACATGCACTGGTCCAGAGAGACCTGGATGGCCAGTGGCTCGGGGCTTGGGAGCCTGAACAGCTGGTCTAGAGAGACTCGAAGGGCCGGTATTCCGTGGACCGGTGGGGGCATGGGATGGAGCATTAGATTGTCCAATTCGAGGACGTTGCGCGTTGGGTGCATCGGGGACAGAATCCCCCCGCTTTCGCTTTGCACCTTCAATAGGTTTCGAAGGATTCGCAGCAGTAGCCTGGACAACTGGGACTTTCGGGTTGTGCCCTCCCAGTTGATTCTCTCGCCGACGATCGTCCTTTTCCTTTCTTTGTTGCTGGAGCCTGTACTCATCCCTAGACATGCGATCCCGTTCAAACTTCGAAAGACGTGTCATGGAATTGCAGCTGCTGGACGAATGCCCAATCTGTCCGCATTCAAGGCAGAGTTCGGCAGTACAGAAGATTTTGGTGTGACCGGCTCCTTTGCATCGATAGCAGACCCCGCGGGCATGTTCCCTTGCCTCGTTATTGTCGCAATTGTGAGTGAAATGATCCGCGCTTCCGCATAGTCCACACATCTTAGTTGTGTCCAAGCCCGAGCCTCCTCCAGAAGGCCCGTCGGGTGGTGGCGCTGGGGGTGTACCGCGACCAGAAACGGACACAGAAACGGAACGAGAGTCAAGGCCAATGGAGGCCGACGAAGACCGAGAGATGGAGGGCACGGAGGGTGCTTTGTCGGGAGTATTGGATCTAGCAATATCGGTTTGAGGTGCGTCGGAGATTTTTTCAGTATCAAGGTCAATCATCTCGACCTCTTTGTAACCGGTAAACTGTGGCCTCTCCAACATCTTCATGATGTTGCCCTCGGTGTAGATGTTCCGCTCTCGCGCATTGCGGACGAGACGATTCCAGAATTGGCCCTGGATCAGAGCTTGCGAGTTACCCAGAACCCAGAGCGATGACTTGGCACGTGTGAGACCGACGTTCATACGTCGGACGTCAGCCAAGAAACCGATACCTTTGTTGGATGCTCGCACACAGGAGAAGATGATGACCTCACTTTCTCTACCCTGGAAAGCATCGGTCGTATTGAAGTCAACCTTTTTCAGAATGTCTTCTCCGTATCGGTAGACGAATTGAGTCTTCATCTCTCTGAGTTGGCCCTTGTAAGGAGTAATGATGCCAACCTTGCCGGCAAAGTCGTATTCTTTGACATCTGTGATTAAACGCTCGTAGAGTTGCATCGCGACTTGCAACTCTGCTAAATTGACCAAAGAGCGGCCCTTGGGCACACTTGACTGCATGCCTTGAACGTCAAAGAATCGGTAGGGGCTGAGAAGTTCGCTCTGGTGCCAAGGGCGACGGCGGAGCTTAGCCATGTCCGGTCCATCCTGCAGCTTACCTTCGTAGAACGTATCACTGGGGAAAGCGCTGATTTCAGGATGCATACGGTACTGAATGTCGAGCAAGTGAACGTCTCTGGGGTGGTTCTGCTGCATCCGAACGAACAAACTCTGTTCGTACTGGAACTGTGATGCCATCTTTGATAGGACAGTTGGAGGTAGCTGCTTGGGATCACCGACAAGCACACACTTTGAGCAGCCGTACTTGAGGGGAATCAGAGCGCTGAGTTCAATACACTGAGCTGCCTCATCAATGATGACCGTCTCGAACTCGACGTTCATGCCCTGGAAGATTTCATGACCAGAGCCGCTTAGAGTGGTGCAGATGACATGAGAGCCATTGATAATCTCTTCTTGAATGCGCCGTTTATGCATATCAGCATTGCGGGCCAACGTATGGTTCTGATCGCGAGCCTTATCAATGGACGTGCTCAGCTGAGATCGCTTCTTCTTCATCAGTTCAAACTCGCGCTCGAGCTCTTCTGGAGGAGGTAATCCCTTTGCTCTTGCTTCATCAAGACGTGAACGAAGCTCTTTAAACGTGGTATCGGTTTGCTTATGCTCTTCATACAGCTTCTGCATGTCGACACCGTTCCCTTTACTGGGGTCCTGGTTCAGACGGGCATTGACCACCTCATCGAGTGTGACATCTAGGACCTTAGTGTTGATCGCATCACTCCTTCCTAGACGAAGGACATTGACCTTTTCTTGGCGGCCATCGGATGTCTTGACGCCTTCCTTCAATCGCATGACCAACTCGTCCACGGCAGCGTTACTAGGCGCGCAAAGCAGAAGCTTTTTGGAAATCGTGTTTCTGGCTGCTGGTCCACCGATGCTGACAGCTTGTTTCCCAAGAACATTGCTGAGGAGACTGCCAACAAGTGCGATGATAGTTTTGGTCTTTCCGGAACCTGGCGGACCTTGGATAAGAGTAAACGCATCATTGTCGACAGCCGACTTGATAGCTTTGGCCTGTGCACGATTGATGGTGTAGTTGTCCATAATAGGCTGAAGCCTTATGTCCGCGTAATTGAGAATGGGGGAAGGCTTGGCGAGAACAATCTCTTCGCATAGATCGTAGTACTGCAAGGCCATGAGAGCACCGTATTCGCGCTCCACGGGGGTCAAGGATGTGATCTTGGCCGCCCAAGCTTCAGTGCCGGGCCCAAAGTTGGCAAGGAACTTGTTGTTGCCGGGGTTGACTCGATATGTGATCTCCATCTTCGCATTTTTCCGATTCACGCCACAGACACGCGCGAGGACATGAGGTGCACTGGAATCCTTCGTGGGCTCAGACGCGTTGGAAAACAAAACCAAATCACCTTCTCCGATGCTGAAATCCTTTGGTGGAAGACCGAGTGGCTGAGTGCTGAACTCAATCCACGAGTCCACAGCCAAACGAGACATGACCTTGACTTGGAAATTCCTGAAATTCCCCTCTTCCTTCGATTGCTGGAAACCTTGCCACGCCTCGAGGATCAAGAGCGGCTCAAATGTATTCTGATAGTCGCCTGGAGAACGGAATGAGTTTGAGACGAGCGTATAGTCCTTTTGGTCTGAAGTTGTAGGAAGGTCGCCGGTAGCAAAGAAGTCCCAGGATAGGATGGAGTGGTGAAGTGAGCCCAAATCCGGTGCCAAGCGCGCTCGCATATCTTTGATGGATCGGTGACGCTTGATCTTTTTGACGGGCTGTTGCTGGAGGGATTTCTTTTTGCTTAGTTCGTAGGCGGCCACAGCCTCTGGTTTCTTTGGTTTGGCACCAAAGAGTTCTGTATCTAATTCATCTTCACTTTCAGAATCTGATTCAGAGCCAGAGGAAACCATCATGCTATCTGCGGGCGTGGTATGGTCTTTGCCCTTGATACCAATACCTTTCAAACCCGATCCTTGCTCGGCAGTGAGCTGGGCAACACCCTGTGCAGGCATACTCTTCTTGAGCCTGGCAAGTTCGGCCATATCTCGCTTCTTCTTTGCCTCCTTCTCGCGTTCCCGCTTCTCACGGAAAGATAAAACTTGTGTCGCGTCATCTTTGGGGCGTGAAGGCACGACTGGTTTAGGAGCATTATCACGACGTGCCTTGAAAGACATCGAAGACAAGGGCGTCTTGGCCGCCTTTTCAGCGTTCCGTTTCGCCTGGGCTGCAAGTCGTGCCTTGTTGATTTCCACAGAAGAAGAAAGTTCAAGAAGGGTTTGATCGGCGAGGTTATCGTCGTCAAACTCATCATCACTGTGGATGCGAGAAGAGACGCTCGAGATATCGGAGGGTTTGGCAAACGAAGTGATGGAGGATTGTTTCTTGAGGGCAGCTGTGGAAGCAGTGACGACCGGCTTCTTGTAGTACGCTTCGAGCGAACGTACCAATTCAGCCTTTTCACGTTGTGTGAGGATTGTCTTGATAGCTCCGTCAACAGCAACCCCCTCAATAAAGCTCAATGCATCAGGCTTCACAGTAGTTACGTCCATCGCACCCAGCCTCCGTAGAAGCTTTGAAACCAAGCCTACGAGAGTCGTTGCCAGGTATTCATCCTTCAACCTGAGCCATTTGACCATGGCACTCATGGTCGTAGTGGGGGACTTCAGGAAATTTTCAGACATGGACTTTTGCCCAGGATCTGCGTTTGCTACAGCCCCCAAGAATACACCATACTGATCGAAGAGGAAGTCGGCAAATTGAATCGTGTCACGACAGAATTCAAGCATGACAGACTTGTCGTTGCCGCGTAGATGCCACGCCTCGGTCTCGTCAAAGATCGTGGTCAGTGCCTGCCACAAATATTCCCAAAGCTTCTGCAACGACAGGACCTCTCGTCGATCTGCAAGGTTACGAGTGCGCAGCATACCAGCCTGGCTGTCACATAAGATCTCTACGATATCTGTACCCGTGTAAAGCATTCTTGGAGCTGGCGCGAATGTCTTCATGTTGGAGATTCGGCGGAACGACCAGCTGAGGCCGTAGACTGTAAGTGTGAAGTCCGTCTGCAGCAGATGAGAGATGGCGTCTCTCCGCGCTGATTGGCCACTGACGTTCTTGATCACGTCGACAGTAGCCTGGTAGGTATCCAAGTCGGCAGCAAACAGGGCCGAGATCAGAGCACTGCTTGTGTCCTGGCTTTGGAACAGCTTTTCCAGATGCTCGGGCGGGAATTCTGATAGACGTTCAATGATCTTGCAAGAGAGGTGGGTAAGATGGCCATAGATCATGTTGAAATGTGTCTTCTCTTGGTTGCCTTCTCCTTTCGTAGGGAACTTCTCCAATCCCACCAGAGGTAGAATTCCTAACAGCGCCGAACTCGACAGCGGCAAGTTATCTCGGTGGAGATTTTTAATAACGGCATCCCAAATAGGGGCAGAGTAGGTGGACACTCCGTGTGAGAGGGTATTATTCTTCAGGATAACCTCATAGTCCGTCTTCAAAGACTGACACTCCAGTGCCAAGGTGTTGCGCACGACATCCATGCACAGCGTGATAATCTCTTGTTGGCGACTTTCCTCGACATTGAAGGTGGGAGGATTGAGAATCGTGGTGATGTTGTCGCTAACCACCCCCATTGTCTCTGCCAGCACGATACGTGCGACCGAGCCTCGAGAAGCCTCATTGTCCGTGAAGCGGCGAAGCGTCTGAAGAAGACAGGTCAAGCCAATGTGGAAACAGTGGTACCGGGTCAGGTTGGGAAATTGCGAATCCTGAAGCCGGCCGAGCAGCTGCAGTTCCAAGAACCGACAGGCAGATGGCTGATGGGCGCCCTTCAGAGAGTTGAGGAACGGATTAATCCAGGAAAGCATGTCTTTTAGCGCGGACCTCTCATAAGATTCGCCTTCGGTTGTTTCCAAAAGGAAATTATTGAATTGAGTGTTGAAGAATGCCAGCTCCATGATTGCCTGGGGAGATATGGTTTGCATGGCATCCCAGAAGTCGGCTGGGGCTTTCTCGAGGAAACTCTGGATGGTGTTAAGAAGGAATCGTAAACCTGTAGTAGGCAGAGCAAGATGTTCCACGGACAAGCGGCAAGGGTCGATTTCCAACCCTCGAAGCTGATGTGTGATTTGCCCCGGGTCTAATTTTCTGACGATAAGTTGCATGCCTCGCCACAGTCGTTGAATGGCCGTAAATTGTGGTGGCTGTTGCGATGCTGTCCGTAGAGCCCTGAGAATCCCATCTCGCATCGCCCATTCAAATTCCAGGGTGGTTGGAGACCGCGAGTATCGTGTCCACGCCTGAATAGCCCAAAAGCTGCGTTGCGGGTTGGTATCGAATAAAAATTGAGTGACCGCAGGTATGTAGTCCGAAACCTTTAGGCTCCGTTTAGTTTGGATCAGCTTAAACGGTTCATCAAAGTGCTCCTGCAGGAGGGTTTCTTTGCGCAACATGGCGTCACAACTCAGAGTCTCAAAGATTGACAGCAACGCAGCTCGATCCAAGACACCTAATCCAATATTTTGTGTTGGAGTCGCTCTCAGCTGCATTGTAGCTGTGGCCAAATTGCGTGTGATCCTCCTGATGTCCCACTCGTCGATTGTCCGGGCAAATGCCTCAACGTCCTCCTCCTGGTAGTTCTCCTCCTTCAACTGTTCCATGAGCCAGATTTTGCCAGTGTAGTACTCTTTGATGCAAAAATCGCATTTTTCCAGCGTCTCATCGAGTTTGCCCAGAACCCAGTTCTGGAGTTCTTCCACGCCATCTTTGTTGTATGCGAGGATTCGCATGCATGAAAGGAACTTTCGTTTTCGAGTGGTGCTTTCACTAGCGACATCCTTAATAGGTTTTCCTGACTCGTCCACGCCGTCCAGGTCATCGTAACGTCCGTAGTCCTCTTCATGCTGTCGGGGGCAGAGGAGGTGGGTGCCCTCTGGAAGGGACTTGAGCTCGCTGTACCAAACACCACCCGTTAGTTCTAGTTCAATTGCCTCGAAAGGGTTGGATCACCTACCCGATTGCATCCACGAACTCCATGACTATGGTAGTCTCGGAATGCAGGAATGCTTGTATCTAAATGACAGTCTAGTGCCTTCATCCCAGAAACGCAGCATCTAAACCATCGTCGTTCAAGAACGTTTCCCGGCGTAAATTTGGGGTAGTAATATTCAAGATGCCATGTGTGGGCTTTCAAATGAGGGTATCGCAAAGCAAACGAGATAAATGAAAGTATCGGGGCAAAGGTGATGATGGCTGCGGCGAGAGGTGAGGCAGCTGAGTACGGTGCTGAGGGACGATTGATATGCGATGCCGCCAAGGTAACGGAAACTAGCGGAAAAGTAACGAAAACAGTAATAGGAAAGAGGCACCACTTGGGTGTATGAAGACAGCAAGTTGGTGTTTGTATGAAGCTCTCAAGGACACAAAAATCCCCAGGACAAACGCGTCTAATTGGTGGGTGTTCCGGGCGGTGGAGATGCTGTCTACGCGTGGACGCGCCCCATTTTACCCAAGTAGGAAAGATTTAAGAAGCACTGTTTCTTTGATATTAGGGGTATTGACTACTGTTGATGACTTAGTCTACACGTCTTTATACTAAAAAATCTACATATCTAGGTACAGTCCACGAACAGGCTTTGAAACAACCGCATTAAGTACTTTGCTCACTGAGGGCATTGAATAGAATACATGAATATCATCCCCAATGCTGGCTTGTCCTCCATACTAGGAGCAAGAAACAGGAACAGGAGAAGCCAAAAGATCCTTCCAACGAGAAATGACCCCATAGATGGAAAACAAACAGCAGGAAACGTTCAAATGCGGGTGCCATGCACTTTTGCAGAGACAGAAACGCTTTTGTACAACAATAGACCAGACAAATCACAGTATAGAACATGCAGCAAGAGGAGGCCATCATTGAAGAGAGTGTATTAAAAAAAAGAAAAAGAAAGGTCAGAATGAGGGGGAACAAACAAGATATGCGCTAAGCCTCCGGCCGAATAAAGTGGTAAACCAAACGCCTGCTTTCTATCAGGGAATATAAAAGACTCTCAAAAAAAGGGAAAACACCACGGAATATTGCTCGTCAAATAGGAATAGTGAGGGAAATCGCAAAGAGCAGATCAGAATAACCCAGGGAAGAACGTCATCGGACGGGTCGTCAAGGTCAATGCAACGCAGTATGCGCTCCTCTAAATCATATTATGTGCAGAAGCATCGTCAGGAGTCCGGAACGGATCTTCAATTTGACGATGGGGTGTATTGGAGGACTCCATTCGGGAAAGCATAGCAGCAGAAGTGAAATCGTTGCTCTGCTCAAAGCTTGGTCGACCCCGTTCGAAGGAATGCCGTGTCCGGTCGTGAGATCGGCGAACGTAGTCTACCGACTGCGGTCGCGGGTACTGGTCGAGGCTTGCGGTATAATTAGTGCCGTTGCTGCCGTTTTGACTGCGAGGATTGTGGGTATTCGCAGTGGGGGCCATGGATGGCGCATAGAAGGGTCGCTCATCATCGGGAACTGCAGTGTCCTGCTTCATGGCGGGCTGCACTGGCTTCACAATCTCTGATGAGGTTGCCGATCCTTCACTGAGGACCGCAGTCTCGGAGGTGGGGACTTTCGGGGGCAAGGCGGGCATATCGTCGAGCGCATCCAGGTACTTGAACTTGCCCTGGGTCACCTGTTCCCGAATGATATCGACATCAAGCGGGAAGAATACCTTCTGGACGGAGTTGTACGTGAATCTTGGGAGTAGGGAGATTAGAATAGTAAGCAAAAGCACCACCCAATAGCTCAATGCTCCATAGACCTCAGCAGCGGAATGGTAGAATTGGCCTGAGGACGTGAAAGACGTGTAGATCCCGGTCCACAAGAAGATCAGCAGACTACTGATGACGTTGATCAGAGAAGTGAACCAATCCCATCGGTAGGTGTTCATCATGATGTAGAGGTTGCTAGAGAGAACGGCGCAGGATGCGACAAGAACACCGATGCGCGCTCTGTCATTGATGTTCCGACCATCTCCGGTGGCAAAGTTTGCCGGACTGAACAAGAGGTAAGGCATGAAGAAACAAATGATCGACTGGTACAAGCCATCGGCCATGTACAACCTGTACAAAGTTAGTATCTGAAATACCAAGACGCCATGCGACTCAACTAAACGGTTAAACTTACCAGAATTTGAGCTGCGACCATTCCTTGCGCTCGATACCTCTCATGTACAGTTGCGGAACAGCGAGGGAAACCTTGTCATCCACGTCCTGATCGAAGATACCCATGAAGATAACCGGCAAGGAAGTGAACGCCAGATTGACCAACACGATGTATGTGTAGTCGAACAGATAGGAACAGTCGAAGTCGTTGTAGATACAGTACCAGAAGAGAGCAAATGTCCACACAAGATTCTTGGGAATAGTCAGCAAGGATGAACTATAACATTCAACCATTATCACATACCTTGTAGAAGAAGTTGGCCGTGCATTCTCCAAGCCGACGGTAAGACCATCTGCCATGCACCAAGAGGAGGCGCTGAAGATACCGGAACTGACCAATAGCATAATCCGAGGACATGACAGCTTGCCTACCTTCCTCACCAGCAATACCAACACCCACATCAGCCTCTTGAATCATAGCCACATCGTTGGCACCATCGCCAACTGAAAGGGCCATGATGTTGAGACCGTTCTTGACCATGTTGACAACAGCGGCTTTCTGTGCCGGACTGACACGGCAGCAAAGTACAGCCTTGCACTGCTTGCACAGCAGAAGGAACTTTTGCTTCAACTCGTCAGACAGCATCAGTTTAAGGGTTTCACCGTCGACGACCACGGCGTGCGTAGCCTCGGGTGGGGTATGATCCGTTCGGGCAGCAAGAAGTTCTTCATCGGAGCCCGTCAAACCGAAGGTCTGCAAATGCTTGTCAAGCTCAGCTGTAGCTTGCTGGAATTCGGTCTCCGCAATGTTGAGCACAATCAACTCCATGTTGTTGTTGAGGAGATTGCATGAGAAGCCAATGTTGATAGCAGTCTCGACCTTGTCACCAGTGAGAACCCAAAGCTTGATACCGGCATCCGCAAGAAGTTGGATTGTGTCTGGCACGCCGTCTTGCAATCGATCCTCAATGGCAGTTCCGCCAATGAGCATGAGGTCCTGCTCGATTTCACTGGAGACCCTTTCGAGCTTCTCCTCACGATCGGTGATGGCAGCGGCAGCAATGTCATGGTCCTTGACCCAAGACTGGTATTCCTCTTCGCTAAGTAGGCGGTCGGCAACACAGAGAGTTCGGAGACCTTCTCTAGCAAATTCCTCCAAATGCTCTGCGGTCTGACGTCTGAGTTCTTGCTGCTTGCCACGAGCAAGACGAGAATAGATGATGCTATCAGCACCCTTGCAGAACAGACGGATAGAACCATCAGGCATTCGGATGATCGCACTCATTCGTTTCCTGGACGAGTTAAACTCGAGAGTGTTCAAAACGGTATAAGTGCGTTCCTCGCCCATCACATTCAGGAGAAGGTCGTCACCGGCTCGACCCAGAACAGTGAAACCACAGTCTCGAGCGGTACTGACTAGCGCAGCCTCATCAGGGGACTGAGCCTTGAACTCGATCTGAGGGGGTCGCCAGGGGTATGTTCGGTGATGACAGTGTGACACAAGGCGAGAGCCAGGAAGAAGTGCTCGGCAGACTGCTTCTGTTGCTCGCCAGATTTTCCATCCAGATCGGCGACAAATTTCGGAGCAATGAAGGTCAGCTGATCGTCGTGCAGGTAAGGATTGTCGTGAATGCGACGCAAGTTTCGAAGCATTTCCTGCCCATCGGCAGCAATTTGTTGTCGGGCCAGGGCAGCCTCCGCATCAGCATCGGCTCCCTCGCGACGCCTCATGCCAATCTGAGCTTCTGTGTAAGCCTCGCCATACGAAACGCCATTGATTGTGCACTTCTTAAACTCCATAACGTTCTGTGTCAAAGTGCCAGTCTTGTCAGAGAAAATGTACTCAACTTGACCGACATCATCTGATATGTTCCAAGACTTGGGAACACAATAGATGCCGAGTCTTTCGTAGTACATGTAGAGATCGCTGTGGATGAAAACAGCTTGAATAGTGCGCACAATTTCGAGAGAGATGTATAGCGAAATGGGAACCAAATTCTGGAACAGAATAACGGCTGTCCAGAACGTGACAATGCCGGTCACAGGAGGTGTGTCTCCATAAGACTCAAGATCAAAGAAGTCCAAAGATTTATCTGGCGCTGCCCACGCAATTCCGTTCACGATACCAGAGACCAGGCACATGAGGAAGAGAATGATGAAATTGTAAATGACGTTCCAGTTGAGATCCTTGGCCATACGAGGGCGCTTTGCAGGAGTTGCACCGGAGTTGAGCATAATCTTGCTCTCTCCGCCGGTGAAAAGAACGACTCCCAGGACCCATTCAGTACTTTTCAAGTTGCAACCACGGAGCAAGATGTTGTTGATTGTAATGGGCTCTACCATCTCTTTCCGAGGAGCCTCTGGGAAACGCGGGTCACGCTGGTCCCAGCGGACGGCACCGTTGTAAGAGTACAAGTTGGCATGGGGCGCCTCACTCTCAATCACAAATTCGGCTTTTTCGCAGTCTCGAGCATGTCGGATTTGGCGACCACAGTGAAGAGCCTGGCGAACTTTCAGGTTGGTTTCTCCATCTAGTCCCTTCGTTTCGACATAGCAGGCGCCATCTGGGTCCGATGTAGAGAGAATGACGATATCGGCGGGGATTGGGTCTTCGTTATACAAGCGAACAAAGTCACCAACTTGCAGACTCTTCCATTGGTCTCGCTTGAAGCGAGCCTTTCCAGGCGTTTGCTTGGACATATCCAAAACAGTTCCATGTTTCTTGTCTGGCAAAGGCTCCACGACGCTCTCACGGGCTGCGCTGTTCGGGGACAAGTATTTGTTCTCCGAGTTGTTCATCATCGGCCAATCTTCGCGGGCTTCGGGTTGAGGCGACGGAACATCAGTCATTGGGATGGCAACATCTTCCGCGGCCATAGAGTTGCGCTGCGTATAAATCGACGCTCGAGGATCCGCGGTGCTCATGAAGGATTGGCGTCGCTGTCCTTCCTCGTCCTCCTCTCCGACATCCTTCTTTTTGAACTGAGATGCAATCCACTTATATGACGAGATTGTAGCCCGAGTACAAGCCTTCTTGACACGACGCCATAACCCAATGTTGTCTTCAGTCGAGTTGACGTTGTTCCAGTCGACCAGTCTGTAAACGGGGGAATTGTTCACTTGGTTATCGGACACCGTTCGACCCCAATCCTCAATGGCGTCTTTGATAGCCGTCACGACAATAATGACGATCAGAGGGACGGCGTTCAGACCGGGGTTGTTGGCACCGAAAATGGGAAAGAACTAGAGCACATCAGTCAGCGGAAACTCGGGTGAAATCCAAGAGGGGCAAATATGTGACGTACATTAAGAATAATGACAAACAAGAAGTAAATGTTCGCGATGTTGTGGAATTGCAACCAGACGTTGTAGGGGACGAAGGTTAGCGCTGTATACTTGGCGGTACGGATTTTGTTTCTAGGATAGGTGATTCGCAGATGGCCGTCTTCGTCTCGTTCGGACTCTGGAATCGGGATACTGAAGTAGACCCTCCGATTTGGTCCACCTTCCGGGTTCTCATCGCCGTCGGTCGAGCCGGCGTTGGTTGAGGCGCTTGTGGTGTTCGATTTTCGCTTTTCCTCTCTCATATCTGACCGCTTATGAAAGCGATCTATAATGGAGACCCGTTTCTTGATTCCTCCATGTCCGGGGGCTCGAGTGGTTGCCCATCTTTGTCGTTTCGTGGGTTTAGATACGTTGCTGCTGACCTCTCGGGTATCACCACCTTGCTCATTGTTGCTCTCCGCATTCTCCCCAGGGAAGTGCACGGAAGCCATCTAGGCTACTGGTGCGCCCTTCAAGGGCATAAAACTTGACAAAAACCTTGGTTGCCGGCAAAGTACGAGCATCCGGTTTGCAGGGCCGGGATCCGATGGCGCCGGGCGCGAAAGGGGACTGTCGATTTGGCTGTGTTCGCAGGCTATGAGGCCTACAAAAGCGCACTGTCCTTGGTTGTACAAAGAGTCAGTGAACAGAGCAGCGATAGGCGCGCTTTCAGGACGTTCCAGGCGAGAGATTCGAGGGTTGGTCCAGGCTGTAGAACAGGGTTTCGGCCGATCGAGTTGGGGCAAGCGAAGGGCGAGCGATCAAAGGGCACTCCCACGCGGGGCCATTCAAGCAAATCCAAAGAGATAGAGCAATGAAGCTAGAGGAATTCTCTCGAAGGAAGTGAAGAGGGAGTGAATGGGCTTACGAGGATCGTAGTAACGTACTGTTACGGCTTACCAACATGCCTGCTTAGTCAAACATCCCGGCACTCCGACTTGGCACTACTCTTTTTTTTACACGCGTCGAGTGTTTCTTGACACTGCCACTTCTCCTTTTCAGGCACCTTTGTTTCTCTATCGTCTTATTCGTGCATTCATTCACGGCATTAGGGCTTACGGCCTCGGAGCTGGTGTAAATGTACTCCGTATAGTGCGGTAATCTTAACATCCAGCCCCGTTCCTCCCAGCCCTTCGAAATTTCTGACAGTGGCAACCGGGATAGGATCATCGGCAACTCGGATCCAGGATCCAAGGAAACAGATCTACCGATGTTCCATGTTGCCCCTTTTGCTATTACTGATTAATGCACATAACTGTGCGGCATTATGATTCCCGTTTTCTTCAGTTCTTCACTCCGTGTACTGTAAGCTTACCCTGCAGAACGTAGCTATTGGTTGCCCATGTTTCTGGCCCCCGCTTAGTCCTTTATTTCGTGCATCTACTGTAGAGATGAGCTGGCCTCTTTTTTTTTTTTTTTTTTTTTTTTCTCTCTCTCTCTGAAAGACGCTACCCAGGTCAGATCTACTTGCCTATATTGTGTACGTACGAACTATATAGTTGAGTGGTATATGAAGAGCATAAATTGACTTCCTATAGTTGTAACAACCAGGAAATTGCAAGAGGACTCTGCCGATATAGCCCCTAATGATATCACCCAAGCGCCGGGGGTCGGGGCATCGAGCCTGAAACCACCAACACGGCACGAGCGTATCCAGATCCACCTGAGTCAGCTCTCCTTTTTGGGTAAGTGATCTGTGACTCGGTTGGATGACATCTGGAGGTTTAGTGTCAAATGCTTCGTATTGTCAAATAAATGCCTTTCTTTGTTCGTTTTTAAAGGGCCGGTATGCACCTCGTCTCCTTATTTCTTGGCGTGGGCCATACTACAGTAGGCTTTTGGTCTTTCAGGAGAACACAGTGGTACTTCTGAGCGGACCCAGGATGATCACTGTACTGTCCAGGATGCCATTTCCCCTTAAGCTCGATAACCCCATACGACCCCATATAGCCCCATAGCTCCTGGTATATCCAAGTCTCACTGGCCATTGGTTTTACTTGAAAAAGTTTACAGGTACAGATCTCGAGGCATGGGTGAACCAGTCCTGGTCTATATAACATGGCAGCCGCGAACTATAGTGGATCCATTTGCCGTCTCTTGGGCTAAACTCAATTGCTACCCCTGATACACACGCCAGAAATAACAGTTTCAAGTCTGTCGATCAAACACAAGACAGTGCTTCGGCTCCGGAGTACAGTATATGGTATAGTGGAGCCTCTTAAAGGGTGGACAGCTATACTGCCAGTAAACATCCTCTAGGGTTAGCTCTGGCAATGGGCCAAAAAAAAGAGGTGAGAAGCAAAAGGAGAGCGGCAACAACATATACTCGCTTCGAAGCGCGTGGATTCTGTGTGGAGACTGTCCAAATACTTCAGTGGCACTCTACGGTCCGTAACCCTCGTATTTACTATACAGTAGTCAGATCACTAGCCGCAGATCGACGCCACATAGGAATGTGGCAGATCTGGTTCGAGGGATATAGATATGTCGCCACAACGAGCACAATTCGAACATGACTTCTACAACAGAGATCAAATCTGTGACTTAAGTTACTCTTCAAAGACTTGTAGATGTAGGTTCAATTGATTGGTGCTGAGTCAGTTGGCGTCATGTGACAGCGCGATACTCCAACGCGCCAACGCGCGAATCTCCACGGGGCCCCTCTCCCTTTCTATCTTTGTTCAGATGCCCATGATGCGGTCCATCACTGATTTTTTCAACAAGCCGTCGTTCTCGCGGGCAAACCATAATCGCACACCAGAAAGCAAGAAAGGCTCCAATAAACTCGCACCCGAGTCTTCACCGCTCACTGAGCCCTCGTCGTCCATAATAAGTAATCTTTCTCCGGGGTCAGAACATGAGGCCGAGGCCCAGTTGAATCGCACGCTGTATCTTTCAGCCCAGGAGAGCTTCTCGCAACCACCTACGTGGCAAAGTTTCCAAAGTACCGAGTCTGCGACAGTCTCATCTCTCAATGAAAGTTTTGGCGGGTCTCAGCGCATTGTCAAAGACGGCAAAGAGGTAGTCATCAGTTCCGATGGAGAAGACACGGATTCGATCTGTTCATTGGATGATCCAGCCAGTCTCTTTGCCCCGATATCCAAGAAGCCGGAGTCTGTCTCGGGCACAGTGGGAACGAAAACGGGGCTCAAAAAGATTACATCGCCTAAAAAGTACAAGCACACAATCGACTCTCTCGTTTACGATGCAGTGGATGATAACGAGATTGAAGCCAACGTTGCTCGGGTGAAAGCCAAGTTTACGCAGAACTCACCAGATGGCAATGATAGCACGTCCGACGTTAAGAGAGGTTTGAATGAAGGCGTCTTGACTTCGGCCCTGGGTGACGACAATGACAGCGGTATTGGATTACAGCGCCTGCTGGATGCTGTTAGGAGAACCGAAGCCCTGGACCACGACCGAGCCTGGCGATTTTTCGATGTGACGCAAAAGTTGCCGTCGGCTCCAGAATTTCCACAGCATCTATTCACGGGTGGAACATATCTGGATGACTTTCTTGCGGATCCAGAAGCTCGCGAGCGTCTATTCATGTCAGGGGAATTTATCCAGATGGCTTTGTGCAAGGGGCTCTTGCCAGACAAGTTAATCGTGTGGATTTTTCGTTCCAGTTAGTCTCACATCTTGCTACATTCATGCACAACGCTTACTGTCTTTCAGTTCCCTACGAACGTCGAAGCGAAATGAGCAACGCTTACTACCGAATTCTCAAGGTTTGCAGAAGTTTCTATACTCAATTGCCGCTAAGTCGACTAACCAGAAATGCTAGGGCGTTGATGTGAACCATCTCAGATCCCTTATCCGTCCAGCTGATATCGATGACCTTTTTACGCGATTAGGGGCCAAGTCCCAGTCATTGGATCCTTCCATGGCGATTACGCCTATACCGCTACAAGGTAGTTCAACTCTCCTGCTTGTTCGTCTTCATTCCACTGATGCTTGCGATAGAAAGCACCCCAGACTCCGGGCTGAAGGACGGTTTCGTTCTCATTTCAATCCTCAAGTTGTTCCGAGAAATTGCCGACTTGTAAGCTACTCTAACACATACTTGCTCGTATACCAAGGCTCACAGAATCGCAGACTTGCAGAAGATACTCAAGAGCGAGTCGTGCTCCTTCTACTGCGGCTTACGCTTGACTTGTCTTTAACAGCAGACTTTATGATATCGTCGGAGCTCCAGTGGACCATTAATGCCGTGCTCGACCCGGATACCTTTACTGATATAAATGGGGAAGACTTGGTTAGTTTTTTCTTTTCCAATGTTTCATCTATCGATGACTAACAAGAGTAGTTGTCTCGAGTTTCCCAAACCTTCTACCATACAGTCACAGATGTCTGCATACAGAGTCGAATCGTTCACCACATACTACCAACGTCTCCATGGCTTGCTCTGTTGCGGTGTCGCCTCGCTATTTCATTTCTACTGAAAAGCCCCAGCCCGCTGACTGAGCCCCCTGAAGATGTGCTTGATCTCAAACGCATCACGATGGTCCTACTTCGCGATAAGCGGTTCCATGTAAAACTGTTCAAAGGGAAAGGCGACTATGATTACGGAGAGTTGATTGCCATCACCGCTCTCCTCAACGTCGCAATCGATTCATCCGTGTTGGATTTGAGATACAGAGAGACTCAAGCTGAAAAGGAGTACAACGCTGCCATCGACAAGCTGGCAGCTCAGATCAAGTTGATTTTTAGTTCCATCGAGGATTCAGGTGCCTCGCATCTCAAACGGATGTTAGCCAAAGAAGCTCTAGAGGCCTTGCATTACCGGATTGTCTATTCGGTCCGGTCAAAGCCACCGCCGAAGAAGACACTGTTCAAATCATACGCCACAGAGAGAGATGGTAACATTCGGAGCTTGTTCGGCAGCCCATCCATTAATACTGGAAAGACTGTGGATATCACACAAACGGAGTCATCAGCGCCAGTCGGTCAGGTATTAGGGGACACAGAAATCCCCATCCGCAAGCATGACCAAATCTCGTGATTATCTATTGGGACAGACACGCATGTGCCGAAACCTTCCTTGAATTACCCCCGAAATGACTTACGACCTTTTTCATCCGTAAGAGCGAAGCATGTTTGAAGCATTTTCTACCAAATACCACGAAGTCATTACTGATATAGAGCGAACATACCGCTAAAAAAGCTTGATCATATTCCATACCAGACTCATACTGTGCAGAGAAATCCCCCGTCTATGAAAGCCAAGAGGAGCAAAAAGTATCGGAACTATAACACACGAAATACAGTCGCAATGTGGAATCCAAGAGACAAGCAGACGCTTAATCGTAGAACCTCCGGTTCTGGTTCTTCCCGAACAGCGTCTGTCGGACCGAGGGGAGAGCATCGCTCTCCAGCAGTCGCAGACGCTCCTCGAAGGTATTGTTGATCTCAATTTTGCCATTCCCACCAATGATAACGACACCACCGGCGCTGTAATCTGTTAGACCATCTTCGTAATCTTAATCGGATAGGAGGCACTTACGATCCCTCGGGCAAGGGCTCCGACTCGTCCACGGTCACAGTCACTTCCGACCCAACATTGTCCTTGTACTCCTTGGCAGCCTCCTCCATGGCCTTCTTAGCAATATCATAATCCTTCTTGCGCGAGCGAATGGCGACTTTGTCCTCGTTGAGATAATATAGGCCCTCGAGGACCAGCCCCTTGAGCATATCCTGGTACTTCTTCTTGTCGTCGGCAGCCACCTTGGAAACCTTTTCACGAGCGGTTTGGAAGAGCTCATCGAGCAGCTCCTGGCGACCTCCGAGCACGCGGAGACGGGTCTTGTTGGCGAGTGTCGAGCGGGTGATCTGCTGGGACATGGCGGCCTGCTTGAACTTCTTCTCGTAGAGGGTATCGATCGCGGCGGTCTCCTGGCGCACGAGCTTCGACTTCTCAATAGCAAACTCCTCGTCGGCCTTCAACTGGATCTCGCGGGCCTTTTCGAGGGCTTCTTGCCGGATGAACGCAGTCATCTTGCGGAGCTCGCCCGCGACCTATCGACATCGGTTAGACTCAAGCTTTCCAAGACGTACAGAACAAACCCACCTGATCATCGGAAAGAGCATGGCTTTGTGACATTTTGGCGGATTAAATGTGACTGTTGATGGAATGACGTGGGGAAGAGGAAAGGATGTTGTGTCCAACTAAGCTCGGACTTGCCTTGGCGTTCCGCATCCAGCCCTCCGCACTCCTCAACCTCCCTTGGATACCTCTATTCTCTGTGTTATACCTCATTTTAGCCATGGCATATTTACTCCGATAGTTTCTTCGCTGGAACCTCTTCCTACTCTCTATTTGACCAATGCACGATACGCAACATGGGCAATCTAGGTGACTTGTCGCCGGAGGGAAGCGTTGCCGTATGAACACAGATCCCAGGATTTCTATACAGAGTCAACAGCTGACGAAGATCAGGTCGGTGTCATCGTTGGGCTGATCTCAACTAGCCTCCAGGCCATCGGACTCACCCTGCAGCGCAAGTCGCATTTACTCGAGGACGAGAAGCACCCTTACGATGTGCGCAGACCTCCCTACAAGCGCCGGCGATGGCAGTTAGGAATGGGAATGTTTGTGATCTCCAATATCGTGGGAAGCACCATTCAAATCACCACGCTGCCACTTCCAGTGCTCTCCACGCTTCAAGCGGTCAGTTCCCCTACACATGTGGCGGACCTCACTTGCTGATGGGAATCCCAAACAGTCCGGACTAGTCTTCAATACGATATTCGCGACGCTGATCCTCGGTGAACCTTTCACCCGATATTCCCTCGCCGGTACAGTTCTCGTCTGCATAGGCGCATTGTTGATTGCGACATTTGGCGCCATCGGGGAACCGGCACATACCTTAGACCAACTTCTGGATCTTCTACAACGACGCCCGTTCCTATTATGGATGGGTGGAACTACTCTTTTGGTGGCGGCTGTACTGATAGCCTCAAAACTGCTGAAACTCTTCCTTCCTTCGTCACGCGCGAAGCCCCTCGGCCTCTGGGCATTTTACGCCACACCTGCTGCGACTGCAAAGCCGAATGAAATTGATCCGTGGCATGTCCTATGGTTTTATCAGTGGTATTCTATCTGCCCATTCGCTTCTTTTGGCCAAGTCGGCGGTGGAGCTGCTGGTGCGCACGGTAGTTGACCGTGTAAACCAGTTCAACCGTTGGCAGTCATGGGTGATCCTACTGGGGATGATATTCCTAGCACTAACACAGTTGTTCTATCTTCATCGCGGACTAAAGTTGTGCAGCACCAGTGTTCTATACCCGTTCGTGTTTTGCATCTACAACATCATCGCAATCATGGATGGACTGATCTACTTCCGGCAAGTGTCTCAGCTGGCGGGCTTTCACGCCGGTCTCATTGCTTTGGGAACAATTGTTCTCCTGGCTGGTGTTTTGTGTCTTTCTTGGCGATTGGAAGATATCGATAGTCACGCTGCTGTAAGCGCCTTGGGACCCACACAGACTGCACTTGGGCCCGGTATGGCAGTTGTGGAAGAGCACCCTCCGATATCGCCTAGATTGCTGGACGGCGAGGATGAAGAGGCACATATCGGAGAACGCGAACCCCTTCTCAACACGGATACGAATACCCGCCATCTCTCATATCAACGAGGACGAGCCCCGAGTTTACCGCTCAATCTCCATCTTGATCATCCTGACCCTGTCGACTTGAATCCGGCCTCTATTTGGGCGGAACTCGATGATTCCGACTATGACTCCGCCGATGGACAACGTCGTCCTTCCGCAGACCACCCACGCAACACCAGTGGTAGTGTAGCCTTCCATGGTCCACGACAAGGGCTTGCGCGACACTCAACGATCGGCGCCACCACGCACGATCGAGGGTGGGGATCTCGCCGAGCCTTGGCGTCAGGGCGCGAGAACCAGCGGCGTCGAATTTCGGCACCATTCGGTGGGATTTCCGCCGCCAAACGCCAACGACGCAGCGCATGGGGCATGTCCAATTCCACGTCTGACGCCCTACCTGGCGGATACGGAACCATCCAAGAAGATGGCGATGATACTCACGGGCATGATGACACCCGTTCTCCGGCCGCCAGATCTGGTTTTCTTGCTGGACCGAGGAGGGCCCTGACAGGAGCCTGGGAATCCGGGAGACAATATTTGTCTCGATGGAGCAGCTCGCAGGCGGGCAACCAGGCCCATGCTGACCCACAAGATATACTGCCCCAAGCTGGAACTCATCCTCGAGCACAATATACCCAAGAAGTCACCGAATCCGAATCCGGGCCTGTTCAGCCATAGTCATTCTCGTGGCACTCTCCATTAAATCATCCCAACAACCTCTACCTACCCTGCAATCTATCCAACCCACGACCCTTTTCTCATCGCTCATCCAACACAATCCCCCCTTGCTATCTTCCAACCGCCATCCATGTACAGTAACTCCTATCTGAACATAACGAGCCCAACGCGCTCATGCCACCAAATGTTCGAGAAACCTTCGCTCTGGATTTTCCATTTGTGTTTCACTTTCTTCTGTCAAGATACTATGATACCACAGTTGCTGATTATATACCTCCGTACAAATGAATATAGGATGCTGATAAATTGACCTTCTGTAGACTTCCAGTAAAGCTATATGTCATTGCTTGCGTATGTGAAAATCGAAACAAACTGTGGTTTGGCATTCAATATTACGTGTTTCGTGTCTATAAATGGTATCATTGACTTTGTAAATACCAACAATCGTGAATTTTTTTATTTTTTCATGTCGGCGACCCGCTAATTGCATCAAAATATAAAGGTTTTGGAAGACCAGGTTGTTGAAACATGAAGCTACTACCAATGCAGATAGCAGGCCTTCGAGCACATAATTGCCCTACAATTACAACGGTGAGGATATATATCACACCAATGATATCACTCAAATCGTAGAGGTGCCCATACTTCTCTACTGGACGTAGACTACGAGTACAACAAGGACAAGTCCGAGGAATAGGATCCGATTTCTCCATACGATACAAGTAACCACCGTAAAGACAACCCAGCCAGAGTCAAGAGTGGACAGACATGACTTGAAATTGGCCAGAATCAGGCCAATACCGCGTGGAAATAAATATAAAGAAACAAGTAACACACTTGAGATTAGACAATGAGAAAATAAACAGAACGATAACCAGTAGAAGTGTGTGAATCGGAAGATAATTGGAAAAAAAAGACTAGAGAGAAAAACCACTTCGCCGACAATATTCAATGCACCACGAACACCACCATCCTCCGCCATTGTCTAGGTAGAGGGGGAAAACAGTAACCAGATTAGCAATGAAGCCCAAATTTGTCTGCTTGCGCTCTCTTTCTCTTTTCTTATGTTTTTGGGAGGTTTTGTTATTTCGAAAGCCATGGTTCTCAGCAAGTTGTTTTTTTGTTTTCCTTTTCCCGGAAGGCAATGTTGAAAGGGAAAACCAGATCCAGTATCATCAAAGGTGGACTGGATGGGACCAGGTGTTTGACAATACACAAATGGTTTTATGCGAGAGCCCTGGAAGAATGGTACAGACCAGTTCCGAGGGTTTCCGAGGGGAGAGGGGGATGACGGATCAGCATATAGGGAGACGGGTATCAAATGAACGCGAGAGATCGAGGCGCAGAGAGGAAAAGAACACAAGAGAAGAACACGCAGCATCTGGGACCTTGGGACCCCGAAGGGGTCGACAGATCAGATCGTAAAATTTAAGCAGTGGGTTGGTGCTGCGGGGGCATGCGGCCTCCGACGGGCATTGGGTACTGGCCACCAGCCTGCTGTTGCTGCTGCTGGAGGTTCTGGTAGTACGCCATCTGCTGCTGCTGTTCGTTGGTCATGTAACCAGGGTGCATTCCGGGGCGCATGTTGCCCTGTGGTGCGTTGACATTGTTGTGAGCCACATCCTCGGGAGCCTCGGGGGCGACATCGGGGGCATCGACGCCATTCTCGCTAGCGGCGGGGTCGGGGGCGTTCAAGCATGCCTTTATCAGATTAGTAAATGCATTAGAAGAACCATTGAAGCGGACAGTAGCCTACCTGGATCAGGTTCTTGCCCTCGGCCTTCGTGACCAAAGGCTGGAGCTTGGGGGTAGTGAAAGTGTAAACGAGGCCGGTTTCGGAGACGACCAAGAGGAGCACCTGCGTGCCGGTGAGAACGGAAAGTTCGTATGCCTAGAGTCGAAAAGGTGGTTAGTCGAAGTTCTCAAATTGCCAAGTCCTATAGTTCGAATGTAATCGAAGTATAATGAGAGCCTCGGAATCTCGAAACTCGAGCGGAACGCGTACCTTCTTCATAATACCAGCCTTGCGCTTAGAGAACGTGATATGGCGACGCGACTTATCCTGAATGAACTTGATTTCAATCTTGCGACGCTCACGACCGGGCTTGTCATCGTCGTCGTCCTCATCGTCGGCGCTCATGCGGTTGCGCTTGGTGCCCCGTTCAGGCCCGGCCTGAAGGTCATCATGACCAGGGGAGAGCTTGTCATCAAGTACGGCAGACATATTGAGAGTAAAAGAGTAAAAAAGGTGGAATATGGGGGGGGATACCGAAAGGGGAGGAGATGACCCAATCGAGTAACGCGTTATGGGAGAAAGAAAGGGAATGGGGGAAGGGGAGCGAAGAAGGCAAAGTGCGAGTTGCGAGAGGCAGGCGGTCTGTCACGTGTGCGGCTGGTACGGGTACAGGTGGCCTTAGTGAGGGTACTTACTTATGGTTGGGCCTGCCTGCTATCTGGAGGTACCACCCCCTCCATTCACAGGTATGATACGGTACGGTACTGTCACTGCCTCAGCACGAGCCTTGGCACGAGGCGCTAATTGGTCACTCTAGGCGCTGATTGGTTGCCGTTCGTCCGTTTCCCCCGGTCTGGACTCTTAGTCAAAGAGTACAGATAAAGTAGAGTATAAAGTAGAGTATATTGTAGAGGTTTAAGAGTGAAGACAGTGAAGCGAATCTATACTTAGTACATTCTTTCTCAGGAATGTGCGCTGATTGGCTGATCTTTATACCGGGGAAACTGGAATTTGAAAACTCTCGAGATTGCCACTTCACTATAGGTCCTACATACAGCACTGGTAAATGTAATATCAAAAACATAGCCACAGAAAGAACTCACTAAGTTACACAGGCGCGGGTCACACCCCATGGAATGGGCCTATCTGGCCATCTCATTCCATAGTCCGTCTGCAGCCATAGGGCATTCCCCTTTGCTACACTATCATTCCGTTCTGGTTTCGGCCATAGGAGGCCGATCTCACATTCATCAGCTGAGTGTGCCCTATGGGAGCCTACGGGGGACATACTAGGCGAGTCTCGGCCCCAGTTCTAAAGAGCCGGCGAATAAGGCCCGAATGATTTCCCCTTGCACTCTAGAATTCAAACCCCTGATATGCAGTGTCTCAAGCTTACATTCGAAGGCCCATACCAAACAAACGCAAAGTATATATTCCCACTGACAGGGTACTAAAGACCAGAGAAACCCCGACGGACTTTCTACTTTTGCTTACTTCAGGGTATGTGCGCTAAATAGCCCCAATTCATGGCCCTCTACTCCATACTTATACTCCACTGGCAACAGACACCAAAACCATTTCGGCCACAGCCCACAGTCCGTGTTCAGGACCTTCCGAACCCACATGGGAAACAAAGCAACCAAAGCCGATCATCCGCGGCCCGATCCGTGAGGCCTAGACCCGATACAGAGCAAGCTCCCTGGTTGCTCCCGAGGTTGGATTCGAGAATATACAGACTGAAATGACGGAAACTGATCATATTCTTCACATAATGAACAAAGGTTCAACGCTAATCACCAACGTAGACCGCAACACGGGTCTGCAGTCAAGTCTATTTTTACAGAAAAGATGCAAGGCAGAGAAAATGGAAGTGGCTTCTCCCCTGAAGCGCACAGAAAGACGAGATGGGAAAGAATAAGGAAAGACATATAAGAGTGCCAGAATGATCGGAGGTGACCAACCTCCTCATGGGGAAGAAAGAAATAATAGAAAAGAGTAAAGCCGCGGAACATTTCAAAAATGGGATACACCGTTAGGATATTGGAAGCACGCAAAGCCACTTCCTGCACCGTACTGGACTCCGCCAATGCAACGCCGGATAAATGAGTAAGAAACTGGAGGACGCGGAGGGCAAGTCACGATCGCGAGTCTCATCCGGAAAAGAAATAGGCTGTGTTGGCCGATGCAATGTCTTGGGCTGGTGTCGTGACGAATCGAGGCGTATAAAGGTTTAGAAAAATAAAGGGGGAAAAAGAGCCGAATCATGTGCAACGAAGTGAAGAGTGTACGACCAACAGTCCCAAGGACCAGCCTTAAGTGGAAGCGGAGCAATTTATTGCTGGTAAGTGCCGCGAATGTAATGGTCACTGACACCACCACCACCGCCGCCCTTGGGACCGAGCCAGACGATTTCAATCACACTGTGGCCCTCGTCTTCCTCGCGGACGTAGAACTGGTGCACATTATCACCAACCACAAAGGCATCGCGAAGCAACCAACGGTCCTTGGCAATACCCTCCTCCTCGGCGGGACGGAGGGGACCCAGACGGTCCTCGTAACCGCGGGGGTCTTCGGGCCATGTCTTCTCGGTGGCATCAAAATTGATGGCATCGTCAGGCACGGACTCATCGTAAGTGTACTTCACCAGCGAGTATCCGTTGGTCATAACCCAGAAGTGACGGAGAGTCTCGCCAGTGGCGTTATTCACAGTCTCCTCCTGGTCGAAGACCCAGCGACGGAGAACCGACTTGCGACCAGCAGCAGCAGAGACGGTGGTCATCTTGACCACGTCCTTGGTATACCAACTGTTCCAATGGTGCATGGATTCGATCTTGCGACCAGACTCGTAGACACCATCGACGGGGTCGGCCATATCCATCTGGTAGAGCGAAGGCCACAAAGTCAGAGGAGTGTCACCGAAGCGTTGGATGCACTGGCCGAGCTTCTGGTCACCGGGCTGCTCGCCCCAGGACTGGCACTCATCGTAGTACTTCATCAGGACGTCGAGCAGGGGCTTCGAAACGAACACACCGGCACCACCGAAAGCGATGTGACCGAAAGTGTCCACCTGCCAGCTGGCCTCGGACAGAGATCCAATATAGTGCTTCTTCTTCTCGTCGAAAAGCTTGAGCTCCTCGGCGATAGTGGGAAGCGACAGGAAGAAAGTATCGTCATCACTGAATCCAACCCAGGTGGTATGGGGGCGGTGCTTGCGAATGTGTTCGGTGAAGGCCTCAACCATACCAAAGTAACGGGCAGTGAAGTCCAGGGGAGAGGCAATGAGAGTCAGGTCCAGACCGCGGTTGCGGAAGTAGGTCTCCTGCTTCTCCAGATCATCATCAGACTCGGGGACCAAAACGATCAGACCGGCCTTGGTGTTTCCGTAGGAGTAGAGTAGAGAGGGGAGCAGGCGGTCCAGACGGTCGACGGTAGTGGCCAGACCAAAGAGAAGCTTGGAGGTTTCCTCAACATCGTCATCGGCGGCCACATCCACATTGATGATCTCCGGGCAGACAAAGTTCTCCTCCTTGTTCTCGGGAGACACGACCATACCGCGCTCCATGACAACCATGGGCGGGAGAACGGGCTTCTCAATCTCCTCCAGAGTGTGGAATTCGGTGCGAGGGTTCACGTGGCGAGGACGGAAGTAGGCGCGGGTGTAGTTCTTGCGTGGGAGCCATTCAGGGAAGGGTAGGGGAGCGGCCAGGTTGGGGTCGACCTCACACGTGCTACCGGTCTGCTGGGGTTCCGGTTGTGTAGGTGTCTGTGCTTGAGGTTGCTTGTTGCCAGCAAAACCGGCCCGATCAATGGGGTGCTTAAACCGGAGGAAGGCTGACCGGTCATAACGTTCCATGCAGAAGAAGAAGATTCCAATTGTCACCAAAGCGAGCAACGGGAACACCGTCTTCAGCCGGAAGAGAGGCATCTTGGCGGTTCCGGTATTTGAGGACTTTTCGAACATGTAAAACGACAAGAGGCAGATCGAACAAATCGAGGCGTTCGAGTGGAATTAGAAGTTATGGGGTTGTAGGGTTCGTATCCCGTCGTGCAGCAAAGCCGTGAAGAATGCGACACCGATTCCCAACAGGAAATAGGGCCAAATAAACGAGTGTTCCAAAGGTGGATTTAATGAGTGGCAGGCAAATCTAGTGCCGATAATATTCAACGAGAGGCTGGCAGCGTCGGGACCCGCGACACGGTTCCAAGGGGTGGCGATAGCGTTTTAGAAAGGGGGAGAAGAAGCAGGCTTGAGGAAAAGAAGAGACAACGCGGCTGGGCAATGCCAGACCTCGAGAACAGTGAACAGTGATAGAGTCGTGAAGGTGTTGAAGGAGAAGAAGAAAAGGGAGGGCGGCCGAAGTAATTAACGGAAATGACTGTGTATGGTAATTACGGTAATTATAATTATAACCTTTGATATTGTATACTACTTCACTACAGTTCACTTATCACTAGAGTGTACATTACTACTACTACTACTACTCTATACTGATCTCTATCTCCTGCTTGCGGTGCTTTCAACCCTTGATCCAACCTCGCTATCTACGCTTCCCTGTGCGTCTTTTGTACCTGTTGACTCCGTTGTCGATCATGACGGAAAAAGGAATGCTGGCAACTCGGAGGGATGATCCCAAACCGACGATCAGTTGGGATATTTTAATATTTTCTTCCACAATGTTCTTGTCAAACACGCATACAGCATGGCTGTTCCAATACAGTTCCTCCCAGATAAGAGCCATCCAGGGTCAAGATGGCCGTTCGCGGATTCCGGATGCGGTATCCCCTCGGTGTCGATCCGATATTTCCATCGGAGTATGTCCCCGGATAATTACAGTAAACAAGGTGTACTCCGTAGAAAATGATAGGAAAACAGGCCGAGAAATCCTTTGAGCCCTAAGTACAGTAGTTCGCGATCTCGATACGCCATGTTTCTGCCGTCGGTATATTACACCTATACTACGGAGTACACACTAAGATCCTAGTTCAGCTCCATACCCTGGACCCTCTCTCCTTTCCCTACCAGGAGGAAAATATAAGCGAGTACAGAGTACACATTTCCGAGCGTTCGACAGCTCATCATGATGAGAGCAGAACATTACTATAAATCACGTCACCATAGTGTAGATATAGGAGTAAAGAATAAGGTCGGCGCTTGGACCAAGTAGGAAAAGTACCGAACTACACTAACTTACATATGTAAGTTACGGAGGGTAGAACTTGTAAAGAAATGTATTGCTAAGGACAACTATACTTGATTGTGAAGGCTGGAAATGACTTGAGGACGATCGACCAGGCGCTCAGCCGCGTCAACCAGTCACAATAGCCCGGAGGGGCAAACGAGACCAACGGGACCCCACGGACACGCGTCCCCTTCGCCGTTATATGCTGGGGTTCGTATTCGTCACAACATCCATAACGTTGATATTTGCGAGTATAATTCAAATATTCCCAATGAGGCATGGAAAACATATATAACCTTGCACCTATATGCATATTCAATGATTAGAAAAAGCAAGACCCTAATGCTTGTCGGGTAATGTATTTCAGTGGCGACATCATCTTAGCCCATGGACTTCCTCACAGCCGAGTGGGTCGCGATCGACAAGTGAACCATTTGAAGTAACTGTCCGTACATGTACATTGGCCCTTGGCTCAGGCCCTGTGTGAGGCTGCGAATATTTTTGCGATTTCGTTACGCGCGTCATCGTTCTATATATATTAATGCCGTAGCCTGTGAAGCTGACTGGATGTTGTTTCAAGTCTACGTACATGTAAGCGACACCTGATGACACTGTGTGGAATCATCTGGACTGTCCAGACCGTAGCCAAGGCATCTTCATTAAGCGAGACATAATTTTAAAATCTTGGTCTGGCAAGGCTTGGCCACGTTTTGGACTGTACGGAATAAAGGGAGCATATCAGAGAGGTACATCGGGGGTCACCGGCACATTTCCAAAACCTGTACAGTATGGGCCAAGAAGATTAGTCTACGAATTATCACCCTGCGATTGCACTAAGGGGGCCAATGCAAAGGCTGCCAGTTTTAAGCTTGAATGGTCGGGCCTCTTGGCGTGCAATAGGGGTCGGAAACCCTGGTAATTTGTGTATCTTACTTACGGACCCTGAAAATTCTAGAAAACGGCGTAGGTGTGGGACCGATGCCCCTGATCGTCGCTCCGGGATTCTGAGATTGCCACTGATCGGAACAATCTAGACAAACCTATCAAGAAAGACACGAGTGTAAGATGTGATTGTGAAATTTTAGATGCTACATTGAATATCAAAATCCATGTATCTCAAACATCACCGATTGTCCCTGAAGAAGTCGTAATTTTAACCTATATTAGTGACGCAATCAGTCGCCATCCTGTATGGCCAGCACGCCAATCTTACACTAAGGGTCTTCCTAACCGTCTTTTTCTAAGTTCTGATTACATTGGGGCACTTGTGTTACTTGCGAATTTCTGCAACCAGACACATAGGAGCCTTTGGTCTACTTATACTCCGTACATGGGAGCGAATACGGTTTCAGTTCTTGTTTCAACAGTTGCGTTTAAATGTTGTTTAGACGTCGCCTCCATGCAATATTGATAGAGACGACTAGAGACGTGGAATAAGGGAAGCTCCATTCCCAACCAATTTCCCTTAACGTTACCGTACTATCAGGTGGAGCATACTTGTCAAGGCATAGATAACGTTGAGATCCATTGAATCACGTGAGGTGCTGTATACTTTCCGTGAGCCAAAGATTCTATGTTGATCATCAGATTCGAGTTATTATTTCTAGGAAGCTTTGGTGGCTTCTATCGTACTAACACGGCAGTGTTGACTATTGCTTTATTCCAATCAATCGCTCGCTGCCGGTGATTATTAGCCCCCCTTGTCTCGCTTCCAGAGTTCGCTGGGATGAATCTGCAGGTCGTGCAATTCTAATTGGCCGTCAAAATCTTCAGATCTATCGGTGGCCGCGGTTTGATCTCCTGATATGCGGGGAAACGCTTCCACAACACACGAACCGGTGGTATCCGCCATGGCTCTCAGAGCATAAAGTTGTGCAAGTGCACTCTAGCCATTTCTTGGGTTATATGCAAATGTGCTCTATAGGTCACCCACACCGCTCTTTCTTTCCCTTTTTTTGGGGGTGGATTGACTGGTAGCCTAGTGAGATGATCATCTGCAACTGGTTCACAGCCCTTGCAGCACTCCACTTGAGATCGGGGGACGAGTAACTTTGACTGCTCATACACGAGTCATGTAGTAAGTATACTTACTAGCCGGAAGAGATGAGAGATATGTCTCCGACCTGCCTCCGCAGAGAAGGCTATGCCCTGAGCATCCCCGCCCGGTTATATACCAACCCAAGACCGCGGCCGTTGATCCCTCGAAACATGTCTCATTTCACATTTCAAAATGGACAAACCGTTGAACACAAACCGTCCCGTCCGTGTGGTTATTATCGGAGCCGGAGCTAGCGGCCTGCTCATGGCCTACAAGCTGCAGCGAAACTTTGACGACCTTGACTTTATAATTTATGAAAAGAACCCCGATGTGGGTGGGACCTGGTACGAAAACAGATACCCTGGATGTGCCTGTGATAATCCTTCCCACACCTATGTTTGGTCGTTTGATCCCCATCCTACATGGTCTAGCACCTACGCGTCTTCCAAGGAGATATTCGATTATTTCAAAGGGTTCCATTTTCGGTTCAATCTCAGCGAGAAAACGAAAGTAGGACATCAAGTAATTGGGGCAAAGTGGGACGAATCGACTGCCAAATGGAATATTGATATCAAAGATAGGGCGAAGCACACTGTCATCCATGATTTGTGCGACGTTCTAGTCAACGCGGGTGGTATCCTCAATGCTTGGAGATGGCCAGCGATACCTGGACTTCATGACTTCAGAGGGAAGCTTGTACATAGTGCGGCATGGGATGAGAGTCTAGATTTGACAAATAAACATGTTGGATTGATTGGAAACGGGTAAGTTTTCTTTTGAGATGAGACATCGCGGGATAAACCCAAACTAACAAGAACTTGATGTCAGATCATCTGGAATTCAAATTCTTCCGGCCATCCTGCCACAGGTTTCCAAATGTACGACTTTCATTCGAGAGCCTTCTTGGATAGCAATGACCGGCTTTGCTGGTTTCCAACCGCGAAACTTCACCAGGGAAGAAAAGGCGAAATTCGCAAATGACCCTAATGCACTCAAAGCATTCCGGCACTGGCTGGAACATAACGCCAACAAGATATTCCCTCTCTTCCTCGCGACTTCACCCCAACAAACCGGTGCTCATGAGATCTTCCAGTCGTCCATGGAAAATACACTGCAAGATCCAAATCTGGCAGAGAAACTGATTCCAACCTGGGCCGTTGGCTGCCGAAGATTGACTCCTGGGATTGGATATTTGGAGTCCCTCACAGATCAGAAGACACAGGTGGTCTATGGTGACATTGCAAAGATCTCACAACGCGGCTGCGTGACTACTGATGACAAGGAATACCCAGTGGATGTCCTTATCTGTGCGGTGAGTAGTTCGTTGGAGAAAGGCGAAAAATTTTTTTTCTAATACCGGTTGTATATAGACTGGATTTGACACAACATTCAAACCACGCTTTCCATTAGTTGGCCCACATGGACGCCAATTGTCCGATGACTGGAAGGATGAGCCTCGAGGCTATTTCGGCGTTGCAGCACCAGGATATCCCAATTATTACATGTTCCTGGGGCCTAATAGCCCAATAGGCAATGGCCCGGTTTTATCGGGAATAGAAGGTACGCCCAGAGGGACAAACACATGTTTCTATACTAACGACTTCTTCAAAACATACAGCACAGGCAGACTTCATCTGCAAGCACATTACACGCATCCAACAGCAAGGAATCAAATCGATCGAAGTAACCAAGGAGGCAGTAGACGAATTTCTCGCATTCAAAGATGAATACATGAAGCACACAGTGTGGCGCGAAGATTGTCGATCCTGGTATAAGGGAAACAGCGTCGATGGCAAGATCGTGGCACTGTGGCCCGGAAGCACATTACACTTCAGAGAAGCCCTGAAAGAAGTTCGATGGGATGATTTCCACGTGAAATATTTCGGCAATCGGTTCAACTATTTTGGCAATGGCATGACCAAGATTGAGATGACCCCGGATGCGGATTTGGCCACTTATATTCGCAAATCTGATGATGCTGAGATTATTGGGTCTAAGTTTACTTATGTCAAGGCCGGCCTGGAGTGCTCAGAAGGATGGGATACGACTGCGTTGGCTGGCACAAAGGCAAATCTTTAGGTCTACTTTAGCTGAGAGCGGGCTATACTCTGGAGGTTCTATATTGATTGTGGTGTATATTTCAGTGTGTCAAATTGCTGCGTGTTTCTACTCTTGAATGTCACTGCACCCAAACTGCTCACGGAGCGTTCACATTGCTGATTCAGCCGTGGCAGTGAATGTGTGTACACTCCCTCGTGGTTGGAAGCTCGGTGGGCTTCTATTCCCGTTGCCGGCACAGGCCACTGTCTCTTCATCAGACATGTTTCCCCAGCCACCACCTCCAGGTCTAAACCACAAGCGGTTAGTAATGTTCTCCAGGATGTGGAAGAAGAAATCCTTACGTATGAATAAGAATTCGCTCTCCTGGCTGTACTTCAAGCTCCATCTTACCACCGATATTGATCATTCTCTCCGTTCCGTCAAGCTCCTTCTTCATATATAGGTTCAGACCTGCCTGGCCTGATTCACCTCCCTCCAGTCCATATGGTCGATACACACGTCTCTCACTGAGCATAGAAACCGAAAGAGGCATACGGAACTCCAGCTCGCGGATAATACCATCTCCACCGCAGAAACGTCCCTTTCCACCAGACCCATCGCGGATCTCAAACCTGCGCAGAATAACAGGGTATCGCAATTCATAGACCTCTGCATCGGTGATTCGCGTGTTTGTCATGTGCACATGTACACCTGAAGTGCCATTCCAGGATGGCCCAGCACCTGATCCACCACAGATAGTTTCGCCAACACCGAAACCAGGTACTTCAATACCAGTCTTGGGATCGACACCTCCCGTACCAAAGGAGATGATATTACAGCAGCCCTGAGATGCAGCGCAAGCATTGAAGGCACCAAGTACAACGTCTGTAATACGCTGCGAGGTGATTGGGTTCCCAGCGCAGACGGCAGCATGACCAGATGGGTTGAGCAGTGTACCTGAGGGAATGATCACATTGACTGGAGCAAGACAGCCCTGGTTGAGAGGAATGTCTACATCAATTAGTGCCCGAAGACTGTAGATGATGGCCGAGTGGGCAATAGCTTTGGGTGCATTGAGGCAGTTGAAAGTCTCTCGACCGGTTCCCGTGAAATCGAAGTCGGCAGACCCAGTCTCGGAATCGATACGGATTTCCAATTTGATTTCAGTGCCGTCATCCATGAAATCAGAAAATTGAAGAGGCTTCCCTGGAATTTTGCGACCAATAGACTTGAGGAGTTCACGGACAGCGACCTCCGCATTGCGTTTGATTGCATCCATGTAGAAGTGAACCACTTCTAAAGTATTCTCAGCCACCAAAGCCTCCAGCAGCTGTGCGCCCTTGTGATTTGCTGCGACAGCAGCCTTCAAATCCGAGACGTTGTCATTGTATGTTCGTGTGCCACTGCAGCCAGGATATGAGGCAGGTCCATCATAGAGGAACTTGCGAACGATTTCCTCTTCGAAGCGACCTTGTGATACAACTTTGAAACCCATTGTCATGGCACCTTCCTCATACAGCATCTTGCTATTTGAGGGCATTGACCCCGGGGCTATACCACCAATTTCAGCTGATCATTGTTAGTTTGGAACAACACCAGAACGGAAGGATCGAACTCACCGTGATGACCACGAGAGGCAACATAGAAGACAATATGTTTACCCTCGTGATCCCAGACGGGAGTGACGATGGTAATATCAGGGAGATGAGTGCCGCCGGCAAGAGGATGGTTGGTAAGAATGTGATCACCTGGCTTCAAACTGCCTCCATATTGTTCATGTTGATAACGGACAGCATATTCCATGCCTGGATGCATTGTTAGCTTGGAATCCTCTGAAGAGTTCAAGGGAGGTTCAACTTACTACCAAGATGTACCGGCACGTTGGGCGCATTCGCGACCAACTTTCCGTCAGGAGAGAAAACCGCACAGGAGAAGTCTAACCGCTCCTTGATGTTTGTTGATACTGAAGTCTTTTGGAACATACGGCTCATCTGATCTGCCACAGACATGAACCGGTGACCAAAGATGCTCAATCTGATAGGATCCACGACGGTTGCGTCGGCAGTCTGCTTTTTTGAAGATTGGACATGCAAAATTACATGCCGTGATAGAATTGTGGCTTTAGCATTTGGCTCAACGACGATTGTCTGTGTATTGTCGATGATCATCGCAGGCCCTTCAATAACGTTTCCTGGTTGTAAGTTGTTCAGGAAAAAAACCGGCGTCGTGATTTCTCCGACGCCAGCAAAATATACATAAGATGAATCATCCTGCTTCTCGGAGCCAATAGGCTTTGTCGTCACCGATTTGAGTTCTTGCTGAGGTGCCTCTGGCGCAATTGAAGTTGCTTTTCCAACGCCACGGACTCGAATATCCTCAACAAGGATGCTCCGGCCGGGGAAAGTGAAAGAAAACTCGCGTTCATGTTCCTTGCTAAACTCGGCGATGAAGTCTCCATGCTCAGGCTTAAGCACCATGAGCAAGTTATCCGTCCCTTGGTATCGGAGATTGAGATAGACTTCATGCTGAATTTGGGTCTCATTAATACCGTCGGTAACCAAGGCTGCAGTTACCTTGGTCTTCAACGTAGCAATACGCTCGGTAACACCTTTCATTGCCTGATCATCCAGCACTCCAGATGCAGGCTCTTGGGCCTCGTGAACAACATCTGCCAAGGCCATGCCGTAGGCAGACAGAATCGAAGAGTACCGATGAATAATGACAGTTCCGATAGACAATGAAGAAGCAATAGCACAAGCATGCTGCCCTCCAGCACCACCGAAGCAAGCCAGGTTATGCGCTGAAGTGTCATATCCACGAGCCTCGGTAAGGGCACGGATAGGCTTTGCCATAGATTCATTTGCGACCTGAATGAAACCAAGTGCGATTTCTTCCGGACTCTTGTTTTGGTTGGTCTCAGCATTGATCTGAGCTGCGAGCTCCGTGAACTTCTGACGGGTAATATCGACATCCAATGCTTCATTCTCGTTCGGGCCGAATATCTTGGGGAAGTATGCCGGTAGAAGGCGGCCGAGGAACAGATTGGCATCAGTCACCGTCAAAGGGCCTCCCTTGCGGTAACATGCTGGTCCTGGATGAGCACTTGCAGACTCGGGACCAACAGCAAACAGTCCATGTCTCCAGAAGAGGATACTTCCACCACCAGCAGCTACAGTATTAATGTCCAGTTGAGGGGCCATCACTGTCACGCCGGAGATATTGTTCTCAAAAGTGTGTTCCAGCTTGCCATCATATCGGGAAACGTCAGTACTGGTACCACCCATATCAAACCTGGGATGTTAGTTAGCATGAGGAATATGAAGTGGGAAAAAGAAGTTCAGCGCACTCACCCAATGACGGGGGTTCTATCAGTCTCATCATAAGAAGTCCCTGCATATCCCACAACGCCTCCGGCGGGCCCTGACAAGATCGCGCGGAGTCCGGTGAATCTAAGTATTTAGTAGGTTTATCTCCTCGCTTTCATACTGATAGACAATAACATACTTCTCAAAATTAGCAAGACCTCCATCTGATTGCATGAACTCGCATCGAGTATCGGTAGAGGCAAGCCCATCTCTGAACCCTGAGCGAAATCCCTGAATATAGCGTTGAATGACTGGTGTTAGATATGCATCTGCAGTAGCCGAAGCGCCCCTCGAGGTAAGCTTTATCATCGGCAGCAGCTGGCTGGAAAGAGAAATCTGGGTAAATCCGATTTCCTTTGCGAGCTTTGCAATTGCAAGTTCATGATCTTGGAATGTATAAGAATGAACGAGGCAAACCGCAATCGAACGATATCCATTTTCATATAACTGCTGAAGAGCTTGCTTCGTGCCAACTTCATCAAGCGGCTCCAGGACTCGGACAACCTCACCACTGACACCCTTCTTCAAGGAAGTATCTGATTGCAAGGACTTTTGAAGGATTTCCTTGTCAGGTGTGGGATTTTGTTGATAATCTTCAATTGTGACACGCTCGTTAATCTCGACAACATCTTCGTAGAGCACATCAGGACGTTGGATATTGAGCGCGAAAAGCTTTGGTCGGGCCTGGGTTCCAATTTGCAAAGCATCCTTGAAGCCCTTCGTGATTAAAAGTGCGTGACGCATTCCCTTGCGTTCCAGCAAGGCATTCGTGGCGACCGTTGTGCCCATACGAATACTGACATTGGAAAAGTCGGCAGTTGTGAGCTTTTGATCGCGAGGAAATACTTTGCCAGTTGCCTGCTCAAGAATACGCCTGATTCCCTCGATTGGGGCATCTGCATAGTTGGCCGGGTCTTGTGACAGGAGTTTGACAACAATCTCCTCGTCGCGACCATCGACAATGCCTAGGCAGTCGGTGAAGGTACCACCGCGATCTATAATATCATTAGCTGAACTTATCTCTAAGAGTATAAGAGCATGGAAGTGTGTATAACATACCGATAGCGATCTTAATACTCGGGGCATCCAACTTGTGAGGAGACATTGTGTATGCAATTGATGATTATTACCAGGTCAAACCCAGCTCTTTATTGCATGCCAATAGCACCAAGCAGCAGGTCGGAGCGAAGGACAAAGCGCCAATAAACGCCACAATAGGGCAAGTTGCGAGAGGGGATGCGGAGAAGCACAGCTTATCTCTCGCTTTGACCTTCCAGGCGCGCAAACCCTAACAGATAACCATATTCTTCATGCAACTTCATTCAAGTATAAAGTCACTGCAATGAATTATCTCAAACTTTTAACATCGTGTGTGTGTGACTTCTATCTAACATAGCCCACATATGCTTCTATATACTTCGAAATGAACGACAAAGAAGCCACCGAGCTTCAGCTCGCGCTGGAACATGAGAAAACCCAAACAGGGGAAATCATTGAGGCACAGCACCGAGACAATGACAAGGATGTTGCAGCACAGTTCCTCGCACGTCTGGACCCAGCTATCGCAGCAGAGCCTGTAACCGAACCCGAGGCACGCCGTCTGCTATGGAAGATCGACCTCATCATTATTCCGCTCATCATGGTGACGGTAGTCCTGGCTGCCATCGACAAAGTCATCATCTCAAATGCTGCCATTTATGGAATGAAAACAGACACCCACTTGGCTGGTGACCAGTACTCGTGGGTAGGCTCAATCTTCTACTTCGGTTATCTAGCCTTTGAATACCCAGCAGCGCTGCTCATCCAGCGACTCCCTGTGGCAAAACTATACGCCGGAATGGTGATAGGATGGGGTATCCTACTGCTGTGTACAGCGGCAACACAAAACTTTGCAGGCTTAGCGACGGTGCGCTTTTTGATGGGAATGACAGAAGCCGCTGTCTTCCCCATTTCCAGCATCCTGACCGTTATGTGGTGGAAGACGAGCGAGCAGCCTATTCGTGTGGCATTCTGGTTTAACCAGCTATCATCCGTCTTTTCAGGCGTGGTCAGCTATGGAATTGGCCAGACAGATACGGCTTTGGCACCCTGGAGATTGCTGTTCATTGTGCTGGGCATATTCTCTCTCGTCTGGGCTGTTGTGCTATACATCTTCCTACCCGATTCACCGGTGCAATGCTGGTACTTCTCGGACCGTGAGAAGTTTGTCTGTCTCGTGCGTGTCAAGGACAACAACACCGGCATGGAAGACAAGACTATCAAATGGTACCAAGTACGTGAATGTCTGCTTGATCCTAAGACCTGGCTTTTGGCACTATTCTCGCTGGCTCAGAACATCCCCAATGGCGGCCTTGTCACATTCTCCGCTATCATCGTGTCAGGTCTGGGATATTCGCGATTAATCACTACCCTCCTCGGTATCCCCACCGGCGTGCTCGCCACGGTGTGGCAGATCTTATTGGGATTCATAGCAGCGCGTGTACCCAACTCCCGTTGCAGCATCATAGCCATCGCCAACTTGGTACCACTGGTGTGCAGTGTGATAATGTGGAAGCTACCGCGTGAGAACCAGCAGGGCCTTCTGGCAGCATACTACGTCTTCTACACCTACTGGGCACCGTACGTGCTATCCACCTCACTCCCCATGGCAAATACCAGCGGCCACAGCAAGAAATTGACAATGAACGCCATATTCTTCTTGGCATATTGTGTCGGCAACATTATTGGACCTCAAGTTTTCCGTTCCGAGGATGCGCCCTCGTATTCGCACGGATACGAAGGTCTTCTTGGTTGTCTCGTCGTGGCTATTGCATCCATTCTTGCTTATGGGCTCCTGTGCCGATGGGAGAATACCCGCCGTGATAAAGAGGGACAATCAGATGTGGTGCCTTCGGAAGATGCTGCATTCTCCGATTTGACAGATAAAGAGAAGCGGGCTTTCCGGTATACTTATTAGCTAGGAGATGGGAGTTGGTGATAAGGGTATGAATAGTGTTAGACAAATGGAAAACATCTCTGATCTTGATTGAGAAAAACAAGATATCACGCGTGCATAATGTGATCTATGTGATAAAGAACGTTTTACAACATCCAAAGGCAGCTCTTTAGGGCGAGTTTGAAGGTGGTAGATGTTGTTCGTACTGAAGTATGGACCCTACATTGTATCTCTGCATAGCCCACCACATTCTGAAGGTGATTTATTTGGGTTATCTTAGCACAAGATTCCTCCAGTAAAGATCTCAATACCAACTATGAACGTAGATGCAGTGAATGTACTGATTTGGGGGTATTTGGCGTCGGCCCCTTCGGAGCAGCTCCGAGTCTTATCGGGGATGGCAAGGAAGGTCGGAGCGAGTCACGCCCTCGCAATCTCCTCTCTTCCTCTGACACCTCGGATGAGCTGCGGTTGAAATGCATCATTTTGTGCACAAGGAAGCTAGGAACGAGCGAAATGCCCCCAGCACAATTACAACAGAGCTCCCAATACCGCAATAAATATGGCGGCGCCACCTTTACATTGTAGACCGAGCTGACAACCTTTCAACATGGAAAAAGATACGCGGATTCTCATCATTGGCGCGGGTTGCTTCGGCACCTCGACAGCTTACCACCTTTCACGGCGCGGCTACACTTCGATACGTGTGCTCGATCGATACCCACCGCCATCCTGCGAAGCAGCTGCCACCGATATCAGCAAGATCATTCGCAGTGATTACAACGTGCCGCTTTATGCGAGACTAGGCATTGAATCCATAGCTGCTTGGAAGTCATGGTCAATGTTCCGCGGGCTCTATCATGTCCCCGGATGGATCCTCAGCGCGGCGAACCTGTCCAGGCCTTTTGTGGAGGAGTCTATTGAGACATGCAAAAAGCTTGGAGTGCAAGGTCTTGAGAAGCTTACGCCGGAAGAGATCCGTTCCCGATTCTCGGTTGTAACAGGCAAGCTGGATGGCTGGAATATCAACGTGTGGAACCCAACTGCTGGATGGGCAGATGCAAGGAAAGCATTGGAGCGGATGGCAAATGCTGCCCAGGAAGTCGGAGTCGAATATATCTCGGGGGATACCAAGGGATATGTGCGACAGTTGATCCTGGATGAGATCGGGGAGTGCAAAGGAGCCATCACAGCAGACGGCACGAGACACGAGGCGGATAGGGTGATCCTAGCAACAGGGGCATGGACGCCTTCACTGCTAGATGTGAAAGGCCAGCTGGTAGCCAAGGGCCACAGTGTCGCCCATATCCAACTCACCCCTGCTGAAACCGAACACTATACCGCACTGCCGATCATGGACAACCTCGAGCTGGGGTACTTCTTCCCTCCAACAAATGACGGAATCTTCAAGATGGCACACAGTCAATTTATCACCAACACGCAAGTCACACAGTCTGGGATCACCTCCTCCGTCCCCCATACGTTTGTCCAGTCCCCGGCAGACGGACTTCCTCTCGAGATCGAAGTCCAAATGCGCCGGAACCTGCGGCGTGTGCTGCCTGAGCTAGCAGATCGACCTTTCTGCTATACACGTCTTTGCTGGGATGCCGATACAGCTGATCGCCATTTCCTCGTCACGCCACACCCAACACATAAGCGGCTCTTCCTCGCCACCGGTGGGTCGGCGCATGGGTTCAAGTTCCTTCCAGTTATTGGAAAGTATGTTGCGAATCTACTTGAAGAGACACTTGATCCAGAGATTGTATCTCAGTGGAAGTGGCGGGCTGGACAGAAGGTTACGGCGAAGAACCTTGCACATCTAGATCCCGAGATGGAGCTGAGCGATCTTACGGGGTGGAAAGGTAGACAGGCGCGGGAAACAAGTAATACTTCTAGACTGTGAGATATTTGTCACGATCATACAGTCAAATAGATGGCTCTCAGGTCATTGGTATTACTATATAAATCAATCTAGGCCTAAATACACTTTGTTATCCAAATATACAACAGGTGCCTATGTCAAGCTGAGCTTCCATCCACCTAGCATAACCATGGCGTGTTCCCACACAAAACGAGCTCCCTGCAACGGATCTTTCTCTATCTTTGAATTCGCTCTCCGGCTTTTTCTTTCATCCTGCACAGCCAGATCACGCTGTCGCCAGACCATCTCGACCACTTCAACTGCAGGAGCAATATTCTAAGAGACAGACCTAGGTTAGTACCCAAGCAAAAAGTAAAGCGAGAGCAACATACTCCAAATCGACGGATTCCGTTCAGCTCCTCAAATAATTGTAGAACAATGACCTTTTCTTCCTCTTCGTGAGCACAGCAGCCCGCCAAGAAGAGAGGCCATAATGGCAAAACCGCGGTGCGCATCATGTTTGCCTTCTTTTTCAGAACTAAGCCCAATATGCGTTTGACATAAATATTCCTCTCTTCTGCATCAAGTGAAGCGATGGGGCTTTTAGAACTGGCAGATTTGGTTAAACAAATCTCGTATAGAAAAAGAAGCGCCCCAAGTCTGTTAGCCTCTGCGATCGCAACACATTCTGTATCAGGATCGATATGCTCCGCAGGCAACTTTTGTTGGAGGTTATCCAGGTTCGCCTTCAGTTGATAAACACCTTTGCGACTGATCTCATCCAGGCCATCTCGTGCCCATGCTAGTTCTGCCACTTGATTGATCATCAATAGAAGAGCAGGGCTAAAGCCCATGTATGGATCAATTATATCAGATGCTTCAAGTATGCTATCCGGTAGAATAGGCGGTGCTTGGGATGTAGAGGTGACGCGGAACGCTGTTCTGGCAAGGACCAGGTGAAAGGCAAAGTAGCGATTGAAGAAACTCTCCAATTCTTGGCTGTGATGTGAGCGACCGGGACGTTCTTTTCGAGTGCGAATCAGATTTTGGAAACCGTTTAGGTGTGTGACCCAAGAAGGACGACTGCTGTCGGATATCTAGGAAAGATTAGTAGATGCTTGGTGCAAATACTCAGGGACAGCTCACATCAAACCAGCATAGCATCAGTACTAGCCCTAACATCTCATCTATTTCTGCCTCGACCCAATCATCTTTGTTCAGTAGACCACGAAGGTGATTAAGGGCGCGATGGTGATGCTCCAAAGCCGGTAACCGATATTTCGTGTCCGAAAGTTTGAGGGTGTTTGCTGAAATGGCCAAAGCAGCATGGTAGAGTCCCTCGGACTGTAATGCCATGGGCAGAATAAGATAGCGATAGGGATTGCAATGGGCATTGTCAACGAGGGTAGAGCTGCTGCATATGATATGTTCGAAGTATGACAGGAGAACAGGATCGGAGTCTGATCGTCCACGAGAAGGAAACGTATTCAAGCAAGGCGATAAGGAATCAGACCAAGGGAAAGCCTGCCTTTTTGCATTCTGTTTACCATCAAAATGAATCTCGAGGTCGATCATCGTCGTGTTTAAAAACATCCAGGTCCGATGGCGGTCATGGATCTGCGCTGGGCGCCGCGGCGATCTATCTTTAGTATCCGTCCCTGTCCGTGAGATATGTTTCTCTTTGCTTTGATCAGCTTCACTGCGCTTTGACCAAACCCCTGCTCTTCCATGGCAAACCCCTCGAGCCAATGACTCTTCGTGCCAGACGAGCCGAACTCCATAGCCGCATGAGGCATTATTACGGGCGCAACGATGGCAGACCGGGTGTGTTTCTAACAGATTTTAGTTCGAACCAGGTACCTGCAGGATGTAAGAGGATATTACCGTCACATTTGATCCGGCGTGCTCGACATGTCCAGCAGCCGGTACGCGCTCTTGAAATTGCAGTCATGGTTAAGTTTACCCCGCAGGGACGGGCACTTTTATATAGTCCAGTGATAAGGCCGCTTTCTTTATCTCAACTTGTGAAGTTTACTTGTTTGCTTTAGGTTGAGGGCTCAACAATCTGAGGTAATCCATTCCATAAGCTCTGCGTATTTCATATTAGACTGACTGCCAAGAGAGCTTGACGCCACCACCTTTGTCTTATTCCTCCTTTAGCAGATAATATATTCCTCCAGTCTGGCACACTTAGCGGTACCATCATCTTGCAATAATAAAATAACATATTTGGGTTGGTATAAGCAAAGTAGTTGCCCCAACACCGCTCCATTGTATCCACGGGAAGTATATGGAAGTATAGAAATTTCACCGACACAGGCACAATCCATAGAAGTGCACAACATAACCAATATGCAGGCAAGTTCCAGACCACAATAAAGCCAGGGGGGCACCCCACTTAAATAAGACCTCCGAATCTCGTTCTGGAGCTGCTTTCTCCACACCTCTCTTCGGAGCTCATCATGGGATTCAGTACTGCGGCCGAATTTGACCAGGTGGGAATATACCCCTCAAGTTGAACATGGTCTGATTAATCTTAATAGGCCTACTCGAGTGTGCGAAGCGCCTTTGCATCCGGCAGTACCAAGAATAAACAATGGAGACGACATCAACTCAGACGTGCTTGGTGGATGGTCGAGAATAACAAGAAGCGCATCTGCGACGCCCTCTATACCGACCTACACAGGCATTACCAAGAATCGCACTCCGCAGACTGCGCGGGTGCCCAGGGCGACATCCTGCGCACCTTGGAGAAATTGGATGAATGGACCAAAGACGAGAGACCAACAAGGACTGATCCTCTTAATTTCCTTGGAAGAACGACAGTTCGCAAGGAGCCTCTTGGGGTTACTTTAATCATTGGAGCTTGGAACTTCCCTGTCACTCTGCTTCTGCAGCCAATGATTGCTGCGATTGCTGCGGGATGTGCTATGATTCTCAAACCATCAGATGTGGCTTGCGCGACCCAGGATCTAATGATGGAAATTATCCCTCAGTATATGGATAGCGATGCGATACGATGTGCGTCGGCTGGACCACAGGAAATGGGATATATCTTGGAGCATCGTTTTGATCACATCTTTTACACTGGATCAACTAGCATTGCGAAGATTATCCATGCGGCAGCAGCAAAGCACCTCACACCTGTTACACTCGAATTAGGCGGCCAATGTCCAGCAATTGTCACCGAGTCAGCTAATCTGGATCTCACTGCGAAGCACATCGCTGTTACTAAATTCAACAATGCCGGACAGGTACTATCCTTCAATGTCGGTATTCATCAATAGCTAACACGACTGATAGATTTGCTTGAATGTTAATCATGTTCTTGTTCATCCTACCCTGCGAGAGGACCTGGTCACCGAGTTGTGCCGGTATTTCGACACATTCCGAGGGGGCAAAGACAACCAACCAGACTATTATACGCACATCATTAACGATCCCAACTTTGACCGTCTCGACAGTTTACTCCAGCAGACCTCTGGAAAAGTCGTGTATGGCGGCCAGCGGGATCGCCAAAGCCGATATTTTGCACCGACAATTGTGACTGGGGTCAACCCCAGCGATCCCCTTTTGTCTGAAGAAATCTTCGGACCAATTCTTCCCATCGTCGATGCAGACTTCGATACTGCTATCTCATTCACACGTGAATTAGAGCACCCTCTTGCAATTTACGTGTTCACCAGCAAATCCGCAGATAAGGAGCGTATCTTGAACGAAACCCAATCCGGAGGCGTGACCTTCAACGACTGCGGTCTTCACGTTGCTGCATGCGATGCACCATTTGGTGGCGTTGGGAACGCCGGCCAGGGCTATTATCACGGCCCACAGGGGGTCTTGACATTCTCCCATCTTCGCACGCACATTAACGCATTGCCCGCGTGGATGGAATGGTGTATCGCTGCGCGATATCCCCCTACTCGATCGAGAAGGCCCACAAGATGTCTCCACCGGTTGTCCCGTCATTTGACCGTGACGGCAATGATAAGACTCTCACTGGTGGCTTGAAGTGGGTCTTGCGATTCGGTCTTTTGGCCCTTTCTGTCTTGTTAGTGACTCGGCGGGATCAAATTGTCGCTCTTGGTTCGAAATTGTTGTAGTTTACAAGATCACATAGAAACCAAAAGGATCTGCATTCATCGTTCCATTTTTTTGCACACGATAATAGGCGGAATTACTTCGGTGGATCTGCATTGAATGAGCGGGGAAGCTATTCGGTGCTGGGGAGGGGATATACATCGGCAAATCCGGAGAAAGACCACACGCGATCGAATATGTAGAGAACTTTAACGCATCATGAAACACGGATAATTTTCTTGTTCGTAACAACTGAGTCTTTAATCCTCTGCAGGTAAACGAGTCTCGCGGCAGGCAAAATGTAGACTGTACCGGCATATTCGGAGATCGCGGCGAAATTACCGGTCTTGTCGAGCTAAAAGTTAACGTTAAGTTGGACTAGGATAGATCCAAGCTAGAATGGGCTATGTCAATAGCCGAGTGAGAATTGGTATAAAGAGGAGACCGTTAGGAGGCAGAAATTGGAATTTTAATTGATTACTTGTACTTTCTTTGACACTGGCAACCAAAACATCAACCATGAAGCTATCTCTAGCCCTCTTGGGCCTCAACACCGCCTACAATGCTGCCATTGTCTCTGCGGCCCCCCTTGAAAGCTGGTCCACCAAATCCGGTGCTTCATCGTCCGCAGTGGACATGTTCAATACAGCAATCGAATGGAACGACAAGTATTGGGACGACGAGGCCGGTTATTTGATCGCATCATCTGAGGGCCCTGGACGCTACGATAGTCGACACACGGCATGGTATGCGCCTCAATTGCTTGCCAGAAATGGGCCGGGCGATGTCGCGAAGGCCATTCGTATCTTCGACAATGTGATCTCGGGCCAATATCTGGACCCATCTAAGCAGTGGTATGGAGACTACCAGGGAGCACCTTCTGAGCCAGAGCCTGGGACACTGGTGTATCCTGACGATGGACCATACAGTTCGGTAAGGTGATGATTCCCAAATGCTGGATATGCGGTCTCACTAACACGCTGCCCAGTGGGATCCAAACGTCCGTGATTTCGTGGGCTGTGCTTGGATTGTGGCATTGAACGACTACGGCCACCTGCTGCCAGCAGCGACGGTCTCCAAAGTGGAGAAGTCCTTGCACATCGCGGCAAGAGGCGACTTGTACCGCGTTGGAGGTGTTGATGGCGACAACTCTTATCCTTGTTATTCCAATCCCTGGTTGATGCGAACCATCCTTCAAAACTGGGTCGGTGCACGAGTCGGAGATGCGAACCTGACAAAGTCCGGCGAGAACTTTGCACAAGAGATATACGATCTCTGGAGCATGCACCATACCCTGTCTGAGTTCAACTCTCCAACTTATGCCGGAGTCGCCATGTGGGCTCTCGCTCTCTGGAACCAGTATGGAACAAGCGACAGTTTGCTGAAGAAATATGGTCCTGAAATGCTCACCTATAGTTGGGAAGAGCTCGGTCAGCTCTACAACGCCAATCTCAAGAACCTTGCTGGTCCATGGGATCGCAGCTATGGCTATAATATGAACGAATATGCCTCCCTGATCGGCGCTGTTATCTGGGGTGCTATTGGGCGTGAAAAAGCCCCTGTCCCTAAAAACATGCTGGCGATGTATCACCAAGACGATTTCGCCTTCTATCCTTTGTTTGCTCTTTCAACACCGGAAATGGTGAAGTATCTGCCAGCAAAGGTCAAGACAAATCTGCTCAAATTCCCCGGCGAGCACATGTATACTTCACAAGCTTACTCGCCACCCTTTGACACATATCCACGAAACATCACTACATGGATGTCCAAGAACGTGACAATTGGCGCAGAGACTATCGCCGAGCATGTTGTCGGAGGGCCGAGTATCAACCCCAGTCAATTCACACCTGCCGTCATCCAGTGGGCAATTGATGATCACCAGATTGGTTGCATCTCCCACTGGGTAACAGAGTCTTCTATCCATGCTGTGGCCGCCCCTGGAAGTCTCAAGATCTCGTACCCAAATGCGACATCTACCAATGGTCCTGTTTCTTTCAACTTCCTTTTCAGTGGCCTCAATGTCAACAACGGATTCAACGTTACTGGACTAGAAGGTGTCCCTGGGTTGAATGTCAAGTTGACAACGAATGCCTTGTCAAATTACACTATGACATATAACACCGAGCATTCTGTTAACGAGTTCAGCTTCTACAACATCACATATACGATGCCTGAGAGCTTTGCTGGAGTCCCATTTGTGTCTCTCCACATTGTCTAAGTAAGCATGCGGAAAGCTGCCTTCGCTAAATCGATTTTCCAATTTCGCGTACGATGTGATTAAGAAAATGTACATATATGGTTACAGACAGAAGTCATCAGCATTACTCGTCCTTTTTCTCTCCCTGAGACTGTTCCTCTCCATCCTCTCCATCCTCTCCATCCTCTCCACCCTCTCCACCCTCTCCTTCTTGTGACTGAGGAAGCCAAAAGCGAGTGATCATACCACCCAAGAACCGCTGATCAACCCATTTAACCAAGCCATAGAAGACCCAGCCCCAGCCCCAAAGCGAAACACCCATCATGCTTGTGACCAACAACACCGGACCGAGGATAAGTAGCGACAGGACTGCCCAAAGCAATATCGAGACAGCCGCGAAGACAAATACACCAGCGAGGAATACCAACAAGGGAACACCACAGCATATCATCTGGCAAACGATAAAGGTCGTCGCAGCGGGGCGCTTGAGCGCAGCTTCATACATCGCAGCTTGTCGGGGCGGAGGGAGCAACCAGGACACCATATATCGGATCCAGGATTCAAAGGCGTCAAAAGCTTGAGGGAATAAAGAGGAAGCCCATGATACGATGGTGGCCCATATCCCTGAGAAAGACACATCGCCATTGACTTTTTCTTCTTTTGGGGGAGCGTCGTCCGAAGGGAATTCGCCGGGGAGAGCAGGCTCGGTCAGGTCCTTCGTCGTTTGATTCAACTTCCTCGGTTTTACATTCTTCTTCGCTCCGCTGGCTGTTGATTGGACTTGGTTCACAGATTCGTTCACAGGAAGTTGACCGGTAAGCCCGCTGGTGGCTTTATCGAGGGGCATGACGACGGCTGAGAGAAATCCGTGCTCGATTAAAAAAGAGACCGAAGCAGAGAACTGTAGGAAGCATCAGAGAAGAAAGATAAACGGCCAAGAATCAAGATCTATATCAATTTTGGAGCATTCCAGTGAATGACGTATGGGGCGTTGCGCTAAGTGGTTCACGCTTTTCGCCGATATTAATTCTGCGTCACAACCCAGCGATGCTGCAGATGTCGCATGTCACTTTCTGAACGTGTGAAAATCTGGTTATCAAGTGGCACAGGCAAATGAGGCTTGATGTTCACCTGGAGTTACATAATGAAGCATGAGTATGCTGAGCCACGTCCAGACAAACTGCGCTGTAAGATTATTGATGCGATACGTTGGAACATTGGTAATTTGAGATTGAATCAATTCAACTATGTTCTGATATCCTATGTGCGAAAGGGTATGGTAAATCGTGAAAGAGGAGGGGGTGGAAAGGCTATGCTACGCATCATTGGTCGGAAGCGCCATCGCGATCTTCGAAGACCATAAAATCATCATCGTCTACTTCATCTCCCATGATCTTCTTCCACGCCTGCTTGACAAGCTCGAGGGTATCATCCTCAAATGCCAGATCAAGGCTCGACGGGGGAAGCGGAAGTAAGAAGGAAGGTAATTGTCGAGTTCCCACCTGGTTTCATCAGTGCTGAGACGACCCCTATGGCTGTATCGTAGAGACCAGAGGACGATAGCCTCAGGACCTTCTGCTTTAAGGAGCTTATTCACAGCGGACTCGAGCAAAGCTTGACCCTCCGATCCAGCAAGTGCCACGCTGCCGTAGATAACGCCTGTGACGGTTGGTTAGCCACATGAACGATAAAAATGCTTATGAATCCAAATTGCATAATTGTGCTCGTGATCAGTTTGAAAAGGGTTTCAACATAGCAAGTTCAGGCAATGTAGATAAGTTTTTGAAAGAAATCATCATGCGAGCGATTCGGGGAGTCAAAAAAAAAAAAAAAAAAAAAAAAAAAAAAAACAAGGGGAAAGTGATCAACTTACTCTGCTGGCGTGGACACTCGCCTGTGTCACTTGAATGAACTTGAAGATACACAGGCGGTGATTGAGGATTGCCCAAGGCCTCCCCTGGGAACATGAGAACTGTACTTGCAGGCATAGGAGCCCCTTCGACCGTAACAGGGAAAAGTGATGGGAAAGTGGCCGAAGCCACTGTCACTGAACGTGCGACTTCGATGTGGGGTTTTGAATAGTTGGCTTGGTGGGGATCATCCGCCATCGCGCCGAACACAAATTTGGTTTGGAGGGACTCTCCACTGAGCAATTGGGCCTGGAGAGGATACTCTCCACCCTCTTGACAGTGGCGAACCTCGCCTAGCCTTGTGTCTAGGGCGTATACACCCCCGCCCACGGCTGAGGCACGACACGCAACCTGAAGTATTTCAGCGCCACCGCCATACTTGGCTACCACCGCGCCAAATCCGGGTCCAAGAGCACCAATGGATGTGAGATGTCTCTCAATCCTGGGAATGGCATAACCGGCAGATGTTCCTTTCTGGGAAAGCTGGGACAGCGAGAGCGATAGCAGAGGATTGTGAAGTTCCTCTGGTACACTGAACTTGGAAGCCAAATACTCCTGGAAGGGCACGGACAAATCCTCGTCTTCCACTGGGGCTTCATCCTCCTTGGGTTTGGTGATGTGACGCAATAATCGCATTAAAGTCCTCTTGGACTTCATGCTAATATGATTTGCGGCGAAGACATCTTCCCGGTTGCCGGGTACGCGATAGAGAACTTTTTCCGCACCGAGCCCGCCGTTTTCGGAGTCGGCCTGTCCAGGGGCATAGATCCACCAGCTACCAACTGCCATAAATTCAAGCTGGCGGAAGACCTTTGAGGAGATGAGGCTTGAGATTAGTTTGGAACGCGTGTAGAGAAAATGCGGGGACAAGGACAGGGTGTAGGATCGACTAGAAGAAAGCTTGGGTGAAGAAGCATCCTGGGTATCCTGAGACTCTGGTGGTGTGAAGATCGAGGCATCTTTGAAGGGTGATGACCCGGAGACGGCTATTGTCGGCAACACGTTAGCATTGGAATGTCAAATGCACGTAGAAATCTCTTACCATCATTAACACGATCTGCCCATTCCTGGGCCTCATCAAGACTGAAGGCTGCTTCTGAACCGCCATAGTATTGGTTTGAGTCCAGGTGAAGAACCTTCTTTCCAGATCGTGAGAGGGCCCTTGGGAGTGTGAGTGCTCAACCTAGACACCCTCAGATATATCACTCACAGTGCCAGGAGGGATTGAGGGAGACCAGTGCCTTGGATGATCACATCCCATGTGGTGTCCGATAGAGACTCCATGGTGTGAAAAGTCTGGGTCCTAGCTGTAGGTAAGTTCGAGTATTACAGCCAGATTTGATAGCCCAAGCTGTCATTGATTGAAGTTGGATCTTTGATGCAGAATCATCTCTCTCTCTGTGGGATACTGTTAAACCCAGAGACTCGTGGTTGGGGAAGAGAAAGGAAGAAAAAAAAAAGTGGAAGGAAACGAGGATGTGCGAGTGCAAAGGCGGTCACCGAGTCCCCACACCAGCAACAGTACTTTCTTCTTCCAACATATTCCAAGGTTGTTTTGATTGAATTATGTCTCTGCTATGTTGTTGAATGCAGATAAAATACAATTTTGGTTTTATACACCAATTGGTCAGTTTTTAAACGATTGCTTCCGATTCTCCGGGGATACTGAGCTATACCTCGTCAACGTCGTCCATATAATGTAGCTCCATAGCTCCAGAGAGATCAGGCGAGACCCTTTTCAATCTCATTCTCAGCTACCTGGGAGTGCTCTTTCTCTTCAGTCTGCGCTCCTCCATATTCTCCTAGCTTCATGTTTTTCAGAGAGGGCATGACATGAGCATCAATGAGAGCGAAACGGGCCTGCAATTGCAAGTAATTTTATGACTCTCGGTAGCTGCGATTGATCGCGTCGCGAGCTTCAGTACCGACGGCATATATTCGAGCAACCACAATTGAGCCGACGATAGACTTTGCCTGGTTTTTCAGGTCTCTGGGAAGATACCGCTGCAGTTTATTTAGCAGAGTGTTTCGCCATATTGCTCCGGCGACACTGTTGAATATTGGTTAGAATGAAACTTAACAGGATACTGTTTTTAAGGACTTCTCAACTTGTGCCAATTACACCTCCTACGCTCATCCATGCGAAGAACACCGCTGTAACAACCAAAACTTCTTGCCGCCAAACCATGGCTTGCACGGAGACCTATACGGCCGTTTGGTAGAAACCACGGCCATTACCAGCCAGTGGCTTGGTTGTCACGAATGCTGCTTCATTTCCAATGCGACCATCTCCCATGTCCAAAGGCAAAGAAGCACGCCCATTCCGAGAACGCAAAGAGAAAATCCGATCAATACAAAGATTTGAGATCGGTTAGTATAATTCATAAAACAGGCGGCAAATATGTTAGCTACCTGAAAAGCCAAATGAAGTTAGTTACTGAGTAAAAGATTAGTTCTGTGCAGAGGAATAGGCATCAGAATGAATAGAAGGTTCATGCTCAATTCTTCTCGCGGAGCCCGCAGAAAAGTTTCCAGCAACCTAGAGGTAACTTGTAAATAAGACACTGGACACTGAATAATGGAAGAATTCCAATGCCCCGAGAATGCATGCAGCTCCCTCCGTGCGATTCTAGATCATGAGGTAAGGTACAAATGGTCTCTGTGCGAACCGTGCGTCGCAAACAAGAAATGCCATCAAGAAGACCACCCCAAGGACCGGTAGCGCAAAAAGTAACCCGTGGGTCCATGCACTACTGTTGTTGGAACCTGTCAATGACAGTGGTATCAAGAGAAGAGACAATCCAGCCATGAGAAGGACAGCTTCTGGCAGGTCGAATTGAATCGAAAGCAGTCGGTAGATCTTTGTATCCCAGGTATCACTAGGCTTCCGGCTCAGTGTCTCAGATACAGAGGCTGTAGATGGAACCCGACGTTGATAATAAAGCATAGTGCCAATCAATGGCAGTGGTGCAACGGGGAGGACAATTGCTCACATACCCCAGCCACAGCGCCAGGTGGTGTAATCGAGGATGCGCTGAGCAACAATGGTGCCGAGATACAGGGTGTGGATTGTTGTGTGAGAGTCGAATAACGTTGACCAGACGCCACGGTTATCCAACGAAGTCATATCTGCCATGAATACTTGTTTTGTGAGAGCGAATCCGGTGGACCAATAGCCCCAAAGATACCAGCAGCTTGTAGAATTGTGATTAGTGCTCCAGTATACTACATAGACACCAGAAAAGAAAGCATCGAACCATATATTGGGCAATATTTGTGCAGGCTGCATAGATAACATAGCCCAGAAAAGATGAATATTTCTGCGCTGCCGAAAGCCTACTCTACCATTAGTTAGAAATTTGTATAAAAACAGTTGGATATACTGACATCGCCAAGCTTAGAAATGATGGGATATGCAGAGATGTGTGCAATATTCATCACTACCCCAGCCGCACTCATGGCAGAGTGCTGCTGCACTCGTTGTAGATGCGGCATAGACTTGAGTCGAGTAATCAGCAAAGTTGATTGCCAAGGTACACACAATAGTCTGTCGGTTATAACCAGCCATGCCGCTGCTCATAGGATATTTATGAAAATTAACCCCGCGAAGACAACAATCAAGCCTTGCTTAGTCCAGCTTTTCCGAAGCACATCGGCCCGGTAGACTCCAGCCTGAAAACTTGAAGCAGACGATTGGTTTTCCAGGTTGTCATCTTTATCCCTGTTTGCGACATGACTGTTCTGATTATCCAATGGGCTGATCTCGACAGCGATTTCTTCTTCCTGCTTCGCCGTGGTTGAAATGTATCTTTCAAACCAGAAGAAGATTTCCAGGAATGTTAAACTTTACTAAAGTAATAGACCTATCAAGCGTCTTATAATGCCGGTCTATCATAGATGGAGTAGTAAGAAAGACCTCGAATTTAATCACACTATACGCGAACTTGCCGCTATGTCGCTAAAAGGAAGAACAGATGGTATAGATGAAGGCCTGGAGAATCCAGATAACCCAAGCAAATTGGCTCCGCCATAGTTTCGAGAATAAGTATGGCTGGCCAACAAATTCATCAAATTTACATGGCAATTCTTGGTAACTGGTGGAGGCTAAATCTAAGCTTATCAATCAGATGGTGCATAAACGGCGCATGTCCACGACAGGAAATTGGGACGACACTACATGCGTCTCCCTCGCATTCGAAATTGCCTACTACCGAATCAGATAACTCTTGCCAAGATGTCCAAGGGCATGCCAAGCCAACCGACCGAAATGTTGCTGTGACAATACATGTAGCTTCAGACCGGAATTAATTATGCGCAGATGCTATATGGACACCCGATTATTGTATGACGGACAACTGCGACGAGATGTCCCTGCGACTCGAGCAGAGTTGCTACCTGCGGTCGGTCAAAAGCAGGAAATACGAAGAGGAAGATTATGGAAGGTCATTGCTGCAGCATTGAATCTTCTATTTCCTCGATCATCCAAAATGTTTATAGATCTACCACACGTGACTTCCCAAAGGGGTTAGGCTGCACGGCTTAAGAACCCGAAAACTCAGCGGAATCTTTTCTTCTCCATGCCACTCCCAGTGCTTGCACAGAACGATTACCATTCCAATGGCAATTCGGTCTTCATCGACGCGGGCCTTCACTGGACTTCGTTATGGGAGTGGTAGATAAGATTCCTTGTCACTCTGTATCTGCTGCTCTTGATGGAGACATCTGATGGAAGCGGTTCGTTTTGTAGTGATACATTCATTACTCTCATTAGCTATTGGGTAGCTTGTTCTGCCAAATCCTGTAGTTTTATAGCTTGCGGGCTGATGCAAGCAGCTGCGATTTCAAGCATGTCTGACGCCGGGTCGAGTTATGGTGCCTGCAACCTGCAGGGCATATGGGTTTCCAGTACTTCGACCTGGGCTGTCTCCTTCCGTGGAAGTGATGCTGTATGATTCCTCCTTGTTCGCGTGCGTTTAGTCGCAACACGCAACTTTTCACTCCTGTGCCCCCGGCTCGACCACTCGAGCCCGAATGATCTTGACCTCGTCCATAGGCTTGTCTTCTCCGTTTGTCTTGACGAGCCCCAGGCGCTGAATGATTCTCATGCCACTCTTGACACGGCCAAAGATTGTGTGCTTTCCGTCCAGCCATGGGGTGGGCGCAAGTGTAACGAAGAATTGACTGCCGTTGGTGTTTGGCCCACTGTTGGCCATGCTCAAGATTCCAGCTCCGGTGTGTTTCAAGTCTCCGCGAATCTCGTCTTCGAATTTCTCGCCGTAAATGGAGCTACCGCCTCGACCAGTGCCGGTAGGATCGCCTGTCTGAACCATGAAGTTAGGGATGATACGGTGGAAGATGACATTGTTGTAGTAGCCGCGTTCGGCAAGTGTCGCGAAGTTCTTGCATGTCTAAGGGGCGAGGCGTCAGTAAAAAGTACTGGGAAGCAATGCCGAGGAATTCATACCTTGGGTGCATGGGTATTGTAGAGCTCTACAGAGAAAGAGCCCTGGGAGGAGTTAGTTAAATATCACAACGAGATATGATGGAACGACAAAATACCATAGACGTGTCAAATGCTACCTCGGTCGCCATGATGAAGCTGTGAATGCGGAGGGTCAAAAGTGCAGAGAGTGTGAGAGAGGAAGGCGGGATCGGCCATGGAGCTTGGCACTCCAATCTCTCAACAGCAAGCAACCTTCTCAGTTCCTAAACTTCTCAGCTTCTATAGACATGGACTGAATTTCTTTTGGTTGTCTTTCGCTTAACTCTACCTTCTTTTCTCTTGCGATTACTCCCTCCTTCGCTATAACAGGCCACCATGTCCGATGTCAGCCCTGTCGCAGAGCTGCTTGGACAGGCGCTCTACCATTACGAACGATTGAGACCACTTTTTCCCACCTATGGACACCTTATCGTTTCTGCTCTTTTCCCAATCTGGATCGGTTCCCATGCATCGTTGACCAGACCTTCGTCCGCGGCCAAACCCCCCAAGAAAGACACGAATGAACTCGAAGACACAGAGGATGAGGTGGGCCCGGGACCGCTGCAGAAGATGGAAGGACTTGGACCATCTGATGCCCTGATGCTTCCAGTGACTGCTGGGCTCACCCTGGGTGGTTTATATCTGGTGATCAAATGGTTGGAAGACCCGGCTATCTTGAACAAGGTCCTCAGCTTCTACTTCTCCCAAATGGGGCTTTTCTTCGCCTTCTCCTTTTTGAAAGATGTCCTCTTGATGATTCGGTCGTTTGTGTTCCCTCGGCGCTATCGCCAAGGTGGACAGTTATGGAAGGTGGCACAGTCAGAGCGCAAGTTCATCGCATCTGGCAGTACTTCAGTCAAGTCACCGTCTGTCCGGTATTCACCACTTGCTGGAATCTGGGGCTTGATCCCACTTCCAGGTATGGTAGCCACGCTGATTTGGAAATGCCGAAATGCCTCCTACCAGCGACTCCAGATACGGGCTCAGGTACGAGGTTTATTCAACTTCAAATGCCCTATCGGTCTCATTGATGTCCTGAGCGCGTTACTTGCATTATCAGCTGTGGGATATTTTGCCTTTGTCGCAAAGCTGTGGTGGTTGACCAATTTCCTCGGATTCTGCTTCTGCTATGGTACTCTCCAAGTCATGTCACCGTCCACCTTTTGGACAGGCACCCTCATTTTGGGTGCTTTGTTTTTCTATGACATCTATTTCGTCTTTTTCACTCCGTTGATGGTCACTGTTGCGACAAAGCTGGATGTACCAATCAAGCTGCTTTTCCCCCGCCCACCAAATGCCAACGACGATCCTAGTACCACACAGTTGGCCATGCTTGGACTGGGCGATATTGTGGTACCAGGAATGGTGATGGGACTGGCACTTCGTTTCGATCTTTTCCTCTACTATCAACGGAAGGGTGCCCAAAAGGCACAGATTGAAGGGTCAGATCTGGCTGCCGTCAAGCCTGAGTACCAATCACCAACTGGAGCTTGGGGAGAGCGGTACTGGGCTCCGTCACCCAAGCCAGAGAACCCAGAATTCCAACCTCCTTATTACGACGCTCGCACGTTCCCCAAGACATACTTCAAGGCCAGTGTGGTTGGCTATGTTTCCGGAATGGTCACGACTCTCCTCGCGATGCAATACTCAAACCACGCCCAGCCTGCTCTTCTTTACCTGGTTCCAGGCGTCTTGACCTCGCTCTGGGGCACCGCGCTTGTCCGGGGTGAAATCAACACTATGTGGCACTTCTCCGATGAAGAAGAAGTGGAAGTCGACGAGGAAAAGAAGGAAGAGGCTAAAGAGAAGTCCTCTACAAAAAGCCAGAAGAGTCTGTTTATGCGTCTTTTCTCTAATGAAATCGATGCCTCTGCATCAAAAGACGGCGGCTCACAGTCTAAGAAGGTTGATAAGAAGATTGACACGAAGAAGACCGATGATTCAAAGCCCAAGAAGGCGAGAAAGGAAGAAAAGGACCAAAAGAGTTTGGACCTGATCTCCTTTTCCGTTTCTATTCCGCGGAAGTCCAAAAGCGAGACTAAAGACACTTCCTCGGAAACCCTTGAAGACGAAGAGGACAAGGTGACGCAGGTTTATCTCAATGCCGATGGAGACAATGAGCCTCCGCTAAAGAGAAGAAGGCGTAGCGTGAAGAAGCCAGCGAGCGACTGATGCGACCAATAGAGTCTCCTAGCATGCACCTTCATGGCCGAAAAATGATTTCATGTATTATTAAACTAACACCCTCGGCCTCAATGTATTGCTAAGTATGCTATCATTTTCTACAACTCGAGTTTTAATTACAAGAAGCCTGGAAGATAAAATTGTAGTGGTATCATTTGTTTGTATGGCATCTGATCAGCATTGATCCAATATCCGTTTCATCTCGTCCCATCTCCGAGCAGAAACATCCACGAGCTGCCGCATATCATCGCCGTCTAAAGCCCAACCACCATGCTTCTCCATCTTCACAATCACAGTGTTCCCCTTCCCATCATTCTCCTTGTCCACAACAACACAAGCCCGCTCCTGACTCAATCCCTCCTCGTATCCATCCGGGTCCGCCAAAATCCACCTTTGCTGCATGCCCTGCTTCTTCTGCTTCTGTTCCTGAGCCTTCTGCTCCTCGGCATTGGGAATGACAACCGCTCTCCAGCCAGCAGCGGCGTCAGCCTCAAATGAGCAGAACGAGCTAGCAATGGGCAAACCACGTAGAGACAACTTCTGTGCATCCGCAATATCATCCGAGCAAAGGATCGTCTCATTATCGGCATCCCACCAAGCCTTGGGGAGCTTTGTATCGCGCAGCGCAGCCAATACAGAGGCCCAAGCAGCATCGAATGGGTTTCCAGCCAAGGAAATGATCATTACATCAATGTAGAGCACCCAGAAGGCTTTAATCTCCCGTGCAGGGTTCCCACTCCCTTCCGAATCCACATCCATCTGCTCACCCAATGCCTCCACTTCGAGGTTCGGCGGCTGATACCAGATGCGCAAGTCGTCTGCTTGGACGAGACGGGTGCTGTGCAGTAGGGAAAGAAGCTGGTGAGAGAGAGACTGTGCGAGTGCGGAAGGCGCCGCACCGGGAGTGAAGCCCGGCGCGCAGCCAGTGCTGAGAGAAAGATTGGGAACCAGCAGGTTCAAGTTTTGGATGTGGGCTCGGTCTTCCCTATCTTGCGAGTCTGTGTCTCCTTCTTCGGGTTTCTTGTCGGTATTTTGCTCTGACGAGGCCTGCGATACGCTCCATGAAGCGATATCGTCTGTGTTAAGAATTTCCGCGCGAACACCGCAGACGGCGGCAGTGTCGCCGATTCGTACGACTGCGCTACCATTTGTGTGAGTTAAGGAGCCTGCATTGGCGGATGTGACACGAAATTGCGAGGCTGCACGACCGTTGGCACGGAGCGAGGGTTGGTTGCTTGCTGCTGGTGGGGAGAGGTGGGCGAGAAGGTAGGCGTGAGGTTGGAGGCGGGCGAATTGGGATGGTGGCAGGGATAATGATGGAGGTGCCGGGTGGCTAGGAGTAGAGGACGCCATTGTTAGTTAATGTCCCTGACTGCTCTTGTTAAGACTGGAATGACTGAAAAAGCCGACGAGCATCAATGGCAGAATAATTTCCTATCGAGGGCGGTGGAAGCTGTTGTTAGTGCCTCAGGCATAAAACGATATCCAACTCGGTGGAAACAATCTCTCTTCATTACACTCTGCCTAATTATTGTGAGAAACAAATACTATTTAACATACTGTAAGACTATTTGGTTGGCCTGATAGTCCCAAGAGGATATCCGCAAAGGCACAAATCATAACTTGTCCGAACCAGCGATATACAGTGGAACACGATCAACTGGATGTCGAAGGCAATATCACATCGACCACAGGTGCCGAGATACGAAGCAGATTTAGCAGGATGCAGAGTCCCCTGCAAGATATCAACAACATGAGCGCAATCTCCGGAGTCCGGTCCTTACCGAAGCTCCCAGATAGCAGACCATGGCCGTGACACCAAGGAGGCATATATGACCGACTGCATTAAGGACTAGAACTTGAGATGCTCAGTCGTACTCGAGATTGTATGTATTTTCAACGCCTTCACGGTGAAAGTTACCCAGATCCTTCTCGCAAATCGTTCTATAAAAAGACAAAGTATTGTCGCATGTCAGCTACAGAATGCATACCGTTGATGCTGTGACGGTTCTCGAAGGTTGCACGTCTCTTCTATGCCCCAAGGCAATTCGACCATGCCAGTTGGATTTAATTGAGGAGGGTACTTCCCCCAAGCAGACAAATTGCCTTATTTATAGTACTCCATTCTACTGTACATTCAATGTTGGCTGGAGCTTTAGGGCTGTTCTGCATGTATACTTCACGTTTCCGGCTAAATAAACCAGGAACCATATAAAGATATGATTGGAGCTTAAAAACCGAAAATCTGACCTGACTGATATGCAGCAACTTCCCCACTGCGCTAATGCGGGCTCATCACTCAGTCACTTTGCGTCCAACAATGTGATGAGTGATTGGGCGTCAGAGCGCTAAACCGTCACGCCTCAGTGGGATATCACTCCGCACTGAACTTCACTGGCGAACCGCTCGGAAAGCCAAGACTCGGTCTGTAATAGGTGTATTTTATTGGCTCATCACTCGGAATCTTATGTTGGGCTTATCCTGCCACAGCTGCAGAGCAGTTTGTGTGACTTTCCCTCGCATACTTCTAGACGGGATCTCCCCCGAAAGTTCCTTTTTGCTCTTTTTCGTGATGACATCAAGCTTGAAGCTCTGACATGAGCTCAGAACTATAGTACAACACTCTTGCGAACGGGATATCTGGTGAGTTTTTACTTGCAACGCAGAATCATTGGAGGGATTCTAACCTGGAGAATTAGAACATCGCATTGTCTTCCACCAGCTTCACCATGTGGGACTCAGTTGTATCCCTCGCCAAGCGTGTCAAGGTCCCGGTCACGGCCTCGACGACCGCCGCCGAGGCAGCTGAGATGCAGCGAGACCCGTGGTCTAAATCAGCCAAATATGGAGTGGGATTTGTATATTTCGCCGTCGTGCTGCTGGTCATCACGACTCTCATCCGAGGCTGGCATATATGGGGCGACAAGATGCGCATTGCTTTTCATAAAGAAAATCGACTTCAAATATTCCGTGACGACTCGGTGCCAGATGAGTATGAGCTACCGAGTGCAGGAACCGATGCTTCCAATGCCCATTTCTTTCCGTCACCAAATGCAATCTCTGCTCCAAAGAGACGCGAATCACTTCTCTCCAGGATTGTTCCCTTAAACAAGGCAATTGCTTTCATGCGATGGATCTTTTACAGACCAATGCCAGCCCTCAAGATTTGGAAGTGCGAGATCGTGTTTCCGTCTTTGGCAGTGACAGTGATTGTACTGGCTGCGCTGATCTTTGTCACATTGTACTGTTTCGTTCCTCAACCCTTATACTACTGGTCGATTGCCCTCGGATCACCTCCGTTGGCTATTCGATCGGGTATGCTGGCAGTGGCCATGGTTCCTTGGATTGTTGCACTCAGCACCAAGGCCAACTTCATCAGTATGATGACTGGCCTTGGCCCTGAGCGGCTGAATGGATTGCACCGCTGGTCTGCCTATATCTGCCTCTTTCTCTGTCTGATTCACATGATTCCGTTCTATATTACTCCAATTTGGGAAGATGGCGCATTGGTCAACTATCGCCTAGGAATTCCTGCGCATGTCTATGTGTACGGAACCGGGTTTGCAGCACTGGTGCCTCTGCTAGTCTTGTGTCTTCATTCTCTTCCTATTTTCCGTCATTGGATGTATGAGCTGTTTGTGTTTGTTCATATTCCGGTCTCGTATGTTTTTGTGGCATTACTGTTCTGGCACACAAGGAACTACCTCTCGTCCTGGGCCTATCTTTTCACCACCCTCGCCATTTGGGTCATCACTTATATCATTCGGCTGTTCTATTTGAACTGGACAAATCCTTTGCGCACGTCATCGTTCTTGATCGGAGAAGAATGCGCCATAACTCTTCTCCCACAGAATGCTGTCAAAGTAGTAATTCCTACAAAGATGCGCTGGCGCCCTGGACAGTATGTCTACCTTCGACTGCCGAGAATCTCAGTTCTTCAGAGCCATCCTTTCACAATCTCCTCGCTCTGTAGTGATGACTTTCCGTCTGCCTATGGTGAGAAATACCGTGACCTGACACTTGTCTTCCGTCCATTCAGTGGTTTCACAAAAAAGGCATTCCGCAAGGCCTTAAAGCATGGCCCTTACAAGACCTACAGCGCATTCCTAGAAGGACCGTACGGTGGTATGCAGCGTGAGATGGCTGCCTTTGACGATGTGATCTTCTTCGCTGGAGGCAGTGGTATCACCGCCATTGCAAGTCAACTGTTGGATCTCATCAAGAAGATCCGAGATGGCAAAGCTATCACCAAATCAGTCCGAGTCATCTGGGCATTGAAGAGCCCAGAAACAATGGAATGGTTCCGAGAGGAGTTGCGTATCTGCCGTGACTATGCACCGTCGAACATTGTAAACTGTCACTTCTTCCTCACGGGCGTGAAGCAAGATGATCAACTCGGGCGGGATATGGTCCAGGAGAAGATCTACGGCATGCTCCAAGGCATCGACAAGCGTAACTCTGCCTATATCCGCGCCGAAGCTGCGGGTAATCCAGATGTGGAAAAGGAACTGCGCCGTGAGAACGAAGATGGCATTACTGCTCTACCCAATGCTTATCCGGCTGCTCATGTGCCAAACACCCGTCAGTACTATCAACCGACAATGGACCCATATGCTTCACCAGGATCTGGATCTGTCAACCCTAACTTCGACTTTGGATTTGGCACACCACAAGCAGTGCCACAAAGACCACCGCCATCCCCAGCACCACGCTTTGCCTATTATCAACCACGACGAGACAACTGGCGTACCGACTACTTCCGTCCAAATATCCCTCAAATGATCAACGAATTTTCTAAGACCTTTGGCCGTCGCACATGCGTGTTTGTCTGTGGGCCACCGAGCATGCGTGTGGAGGTGGCCAATACAGTGGCCAAACTCCAGCTGCAAGTGATGATGGATTCATCGAAAGATGAGATCTTCTTGCATGCTGAGAATTATAACATCTAATGTAGTGTTACTTGTCTTTTGTTGGCGCGATACCCATGGCGTTATATTTACATGGATAATGCCCGTCATATTATGCTTAGCTTCTACGAATATTATGCGTGAGGAAGTATGTATCACAATAGATGGTGTCACATATTTAAATCAAATATCATCACGTATGCACTTGATGCAGCACCAGCACAATTCTGCACAAATGCAAAGGGTATCCAAAGTTTATAATCCACAAATATCATTTCACTCGCCTCGATGTGGATAGTCATCTTCCTCGGCCTTACGCTTGCGCGAGGGCGTTTCTTGCTTCTCAAGGACGCGCGACTCACTCAAGAGCTGGATGCCGTGGTCACCTTCATCGCCATCCTCCGCCTCTACCTTCTCCCAGTCCTCGTCGTCATCTTCATTGCAAGAGTCTTTTCGAGTGCCTGTTTCTTCCAGGGAAGCTTCTTCCACGGTCTCTTTGTCCCACTGCAGCTCTAGTCGGACGATCTTTGCGCCAGAGGGCTTCAGTCGACGATAGTATTCGGCGACATGGCCATCAACCCTAAAGCCGCGCGCAATATACCAGTTCATGGCATCTTCATTTGCTTCATGTACATGCGCTGTCACAGAACGAATGTTATAGTGCTTGACAAGCTCAGAGACCCGGTATAGTTCTTTGTTCTTGGAGTCTGGCGGCGACGCGAAGAGAAGCGCGTTCAAGAGTGAAGCTGCCACACCATGGCCTCGATATGGCGAGAGCAGATGTAGGGTCTGGATATAGAGATTTGTAGTGTCTCCATTACCATGTCTTTGAGATTCCCGGGTCGAGTCCTCAAGCTGGCGAATCCTCTCTAGCCGACACCGAATGCCACCGATCACTTTGTCTGTCCCAGCCGCTCCAACCCCTGGAACTTCTGCAACGGGGTGATCATGGTAAATAGCAACCCGCGACAGGGAAGCGATCACCGGATCAGTTATTGTAGCCGTGTAGAACGAGTTCGGGTAGCGGATTGGCAGGAGTAAGCCCGTGATGCGTGTCAACGAAGGGATATGTGCCGTGTTGACCTTCTCAATAGTGATATGTGAGTGTGGAGTCGCAGTTCCAGCTGGAACATGAGGATATGGGTCAAATGTTTCTTCCCTGGAGCGCTTAGGTCCAGACGTGTTTGCGACAGCGGATTGAGGTGGCTGAACGGGAGGGGGTGGATTGGAGGGTTTGAGGGTTGACGCGGAGACAACGAAGGCGCAGAAGGAGCAGAAGACGAGGAAGTCCTCTGGTTCTTCTTAAACAGTTGATATGCCATAGTGAAAGAGAGAGAGTCGCAACAGAAGGCGAATGCGGAGATGCGATAAGCGATAAGCAATGAACAACTCTCTCCAGCCTCATCTCTTCATCTCCTCGGGATTCAGGCACTTTTGACGGCCGTTAAAGCTTTTGGACAATAGACTCCTTTTCAGGTGAGTGCTCTATGGCTATTGTGTGATTGACTGCATTGTCTACCCCTATTGTTGGCTATTCACCCAACGTCTCCGGCCTCTCCCTCATCGAGCCTCACTGACAACAGGCCCAGGACAATCCCTCCCTCCTCATTGTCTCTTCCGCTTCTTTGGATTCTATGATTTGGACTCCATATAAACTCCAACCTTCTCGGACTTCCCTTCACCGATTGCCTTCGCCTCGCATAGATTTCCGGTACATGGAGAACTAGACCTCGGACCGGCTGGTTCGAAGAACATCACATCTGTTCGCTGGCGAACACAGCTGTCGGCCATTCGGAAGCTGATCTTCAACATCGTGCGAAACTTCCTCCGGACGCAATCCGACAATGGCCGACTCCACCGGTGGCCGCAGGCCGACATACCCTGCTGGAACAATTGCGAAAGTGGTACGTGCAAAAGATTTCGCGGTGGGTATTACAGGTGCTGATAACTTTTTACTAGTCAACCGATATTCTGAACGAGATGTTTGGCAACATCATCCACGATCTCGTCGCAAAGGTTCATCGCGAGGAGAAGACGGCCCGGATGCGGTCCGCGGTAGTGGTCGCGAGACAGAAAGCGGAGGACCAGGCGATCATGCCCGACGATACTCCCAGCAAGACTTCCACCGATATCAAGAAAGAAGTGATTCTCGATACCAAGAAACTGTCGACCATGCGCATGGAGACCGACGCAGCCACTTTCGACCGTGGCAAAGTCTTTCTCAAAGGCAACCCCCTGCACACCGTCAAGGAGCTTGTATGCCCTGAATGCCGTCTGCCTCAGCTCTTGTACCCAAGTACCGGGGCCATGTCCCGACCTCCCCCCGACTCGGATTGCGAGTACTGTGCCAACGGACCGATGATTACCCTGCCGGGTCACGATGTCCACGGCAAGCTCTTTGCCATCATGCCCAACCCCAAGAAGAAGAAGGGAGACCGCGACAGCACCATTCCCGAGATTCCCACTACCAAATGTCCTCTTTGCCCTCGTTACTTTGTCATGAACCGCCTTGCACAGCACCTCGACCGTTGCATGAACATCTCTGGTCGCGGAACCAGCATGCGCAACAAGACCCCTACAGCGGACAGCAATGGCAACAGCCCCACATCCTCAGCACCCAAGCGCGCGCACGCAGATGAAGACGACGGAAGTCCCAGCCCTACCAAGAAGAAAAAGCCCAATGGACCCAAGAAAGGCTCCAGCAACAAGCCTGGTCCTAGCAAGCTTAAGCAATCCTTCACAGCTGAGGACAACGACGACGACATCAAGAGCGAGAACGCGGACTGAGTCACTTATCTTCATACTTTTTTCCTTTTCTATCATGGTGTCCGCGGCGTTCGAGCTTTGTTTACTGGGCATATCCCACGGCGTCTCTGGGTTCGGTGCGGTCTGTCTTCGTGGGCTGTTGACCCCGAAGAATTTGCATAGATGAATGATGATGGGGGCTTGTAGGATTGTACATTACTTCATACCATGGAATACAGTGGACTGTGGCACTGTAAGAAACATGCAATTGATTTCTTTTATCATTATCATTATCTCTGCGTCATCGTACTAGCCTGACTGGCGAAGATAATTGCACTTCTGTACTATACAGGTTCAATTAATGTATCCAAGCCGAGTCTACTTCGGATCATATAAAGCCCCTGTATGTCTCTTTCAGGCATGGCAGTATTTGCCTCGATGGAAATGCCGTCAGACTCTCTATCATGGAGTGTGGGAGCTGGTGATATAAATATCAAATCGATTCTTCTCATGCTCAAATTGTTATGCTGAGCTGCATATAGCTATACCATGTTGACCTTGCTCACTTCATTCCGCTATACTTCAAACAAACATTGCAAGTGTATATCTCCTACTTCTTACTAGCGTACCATTCTGTACACTCAACCGCAAACTCACAACATCCCGTCAGCCAACTATGTGCTGCATAGCTCAGCTCAATGCAATGCGGCGCATTGGGAACAATTCCACGTTCAACCCTGGGGCTAAGTAGAAAGGCATCGCGGCATTTCTCAGGTGCATCAGGTGTTGAACTCTAGAGCTCGTCAAAGTCGCTGACTCCATACTTGAGAGGAACCTTGACTTGATGAGAATGTCGATGCCAATCCCGCAGCCAGGTTGTATTGATTTCCATAATCTCACCTACAGGAACGGGCTTGTTAAGACTCGCCGAGTGCTTCGTCACTTCGGGATCTGCAAGAGACATATTTGGGATCTTCAGCATCATTTGATCCTTCATTACAGGGTCAAAGTTCCCATGGCTGACGCCTGGCTCGATGAAGTTCATAAAACTTTCGAATATGGGTGAGGCTCGTCTCAGTACCGATTCCGGAGGTGATCAGGCCTGCAAGTGAATATCCTTCAGTTCCTGTATAGGATCCAGCAGTGATTGTGGCCATCATGGCACCAATAGAGTGTGCGAGAAGGACAACTGCCGATGCACCCGAGAGCTCTCCATATTCCTTCCAGAGCGCAGACAAGTTAGTGCTATTGATGTATTTCCCCTGTCGCTCAGCACATGTCTTATTGGCTTCGAATTTCAGTGACATTCCCATAGCCCGGGTGATTGAGTGCAATGACTAGAATCCCCAGTGGATCAGTGACCCGGGTGATGGAGTACTCGCGGGAAGCATCGAAGCATTTGGCGTCGTATGTTCCACCATGCAGGCAGACAAGTAATGGCTTCTGGGTTGACTGTGGAATAGACAGAAAACCTGTTGCGATCTCTCCATCGGCGAGAGTGAGGCTGAACGACTTCACGATGTGTGACCAGGTTGGGGAGGTGCTTTATATGTGCCATTTAGCAAAGCAGTTTCGCCTGAGGAGGCGAGAGTTGTGATCTACACCATTAGTGTAGGGGAAAATAGCCTGGAGGTGAGGGAATCAACAGTAGACGAGTCTATACTTCCAAGGCGGTGATAAGTGGGGACTCACTCAGTCCGACACTTCATTTCTTCGACGTTTCACAACATGGCCGATCTCAGCGCATGGGCAGCTCCTCGCCTCTCTCAGCTTCTTCCCCTCGATGAGGAGTCGCTGTCGCAGGTCGTCGAATATGCCGCCAGTCTCTCCAAGGAGGCTTGCGCCGACCACCTCAAAAACCTCCTCGGTGACTCCCCCGCCGCCCTCGAATTCATAAGCTCGTTCAATACGCGCCGCGATGCCCGGCAACTGCCCCAGACGACATCGACCCAAAGCAGAGATGCGCCGCGATCATCGGGAGCCAAGAAGGGTAAAAAGAAGGCTCCGTTGCACAGCGCTGGTCCGCCACGCCGCCCAGACAACTACGGCAACGTTGGAGGGGGCTACATGAAGGCCGAGGAGGAGGATTATATGTCCTCACGAAAACCGACTACAAGCCTCGCGCCTTCGCAGCCTACGTCCTCGCAATCATCGCGTGTACCCTCTCCCTTGCCCACATCATCATCAAAGCCACCGCCATCAGCAAGTGGCCCTACAATTTCGGATATGCTACCAAATGTACGATCAAAAACAAGCAAATCAACTCGGCAGGCTGGATCAGGATCAAGTAGCAAGGGTGCGGCTCTGACGACGAATAACATCTCAGACCTTACTGCAGCTATCGCCGCCTTGGAGGTATCGACAAACCCGACACTGGAGGAACGACGCAAGTGCAACTGCTACGCCTCCCTTCACCCGCTATTTGATCCAGCTCCAAATTGTATGAACTGCGGGAAGATCATTTGCTCGCTCGAGGGTCTGCAACCATGCTCCTTCTGCGGCACACCGCTGCTCTCCGCAGAGGAAGTGCAAGACATGATCCGAGAACTACGTGCTGAGCGTGGACAAGAGAAGATGCGAGTACACAACGAAGGTGTTCATCACGAAGGAGGGCCTAAGCCTACATCCGGGTCCGGGTCCCCCAGTAAACTCGATGCCGCCAAGGCTCACCGTGACAAGCTACTTCAATTCCAAGCCCAGAATGCCCGTCGGACCAAGGTTGTCGACGAAACAGCTGATTTTGAAACACCCAATGTCGCCTCGACCTTATGGATGAGCCCCGTCCAACGCGCGCTGGCGCTTAAGAAACAGCAGCGCATTCAACGCGAAATGGAGGAGAAGGCTCGTCCCGAGTGGGAGAAAAAGAAAACAGTCATGAGTCTGGATATCAAGGGTGGCAAGGTCCGTCGTGTGTATCATAATGCTGCAGCAGAGTCAACGCCGGAGGCCAGTGAGCCCGAGCCAGCCGAAGAAGCTGCCACAGAGCTTCCACGAGGCGAACATGCTTTCAGTCGGAACCCGCTTCTTGCAGCCGGTGGTCTTCTGCGACCTGTCTGGAAGGCTCCGGAAGGGAAGACGCCCGAAGCAGCGGAGCAGACTGAAAGAAAACAAACTTGGCGACGGGTACAGGATGACAATGACGACAATGAACAATGGATTCTTGATGGTGGAGTACACGGGCATACCACCTAGTCCGTCAACGCTCTAGAGTATGAGCGCAAACTACAAGTCACAAATAGCACAGACAGGGCGGTGACTTTACAATGCTTATTCCAAGCCCAGAGACCAGTCTCAGTGTGATTCCCTGATACCCCCTTGAGAGGATCAAAGCTTATCATAGCCTGGATTTGACACCCCTTCGGTCTCACATTTTCCAACATCCGCCATTCTCGGAGCGGATATCTGATCACCCGTAGATCGGTTAACGGCGGTGATCTCGGAGATCCCTGGAGAAACCGCAGTGGAGTCGGAGGGGTAATTCTTACGGCGTAACTAGTTGCATAACCTCCACTTTATGTACGGGATAGTGCAGCTCATTGTTTCTATCTCATCAAACTTGTTCATGTAATCTAGGTAGGGGAGTGTGAAAGGACTTACGGCCTATGACTATACATAGTTTCCACTATAGAGAGGCACCTTTCACAAGTTCTTTCACAACTCAACAAGATCTCTAGATCTCCATTACTGTCTGTAATAGGCGGGAAAATAGCAATGGCGGGCAGTTGAGGTGCCTGGAGGGAATGGTGAGCGGAAGGATTGCTGGATAGGCTTGGGCGTATAGGAGAAGTGCAAGTTTCTATGCCTTTGAGGATGAAAGAAGCGAGCAAATTCGTGATTTTTGTCACATCTCGCGTTAAAGAGCATACCTGTGTACTAAACAGCTTGATCCAAGTAATAGAGCGTGTAGCTTGTCCCCATCACTGAGGGCACCGTAGACTGACCAATCCGACTGGCCGCGTTTTCTTCCATCAGCCTGAATCATAGCTATGTAGGTCAACAATTTCCTACCTCCGCCATCGTTTTTAGCCTTGACAATAATGACGTGACACGCAAGGTTATGCTGTTCTCTAAAAGCAGGCTATAATCGGCCCTGCCTATACAAAGACGTGGCTCCTCTTAATATATGATAGGATCCCAAGGTACGGTTACTAAACGGTTTTGTGCCGAGAGCGAATGGTGAATTCTCTGGATGAGCGCACCCATTGCCGTTAGAAACTAAGCATTAGTATAAACCCAAGGGTATAACAAGTCTATCTACTCACAAAAGTCGTGTGGCAGGCAAATCTGCACTTGTGGGAACTGCCACATCGCATATCCATCGATATCTTTTAGTCCAAAAGAGTGGTTCGTGTCATAGACGCTCATATTGGAGTGGCTAACTCGGGGTAACTCGATAGAAAGTTCGTTGGTGTGATCTCCGAGGTACGCTGGAACGGCCGGGCGAGCCGCGAGCTCTTGGAGCTTGCGGTACAAAGCTCTAAACTCCCGAGACCAAAGTCCCGAATAAGCAAGCAACTACTATTGATTCACACTTTAAATTCGTCGACAGCCATCATAATCCCGTCATTCTAATCGTCCTACTTTGGCTTCTCTTTCTTTCACGTCTTGTGCCCATTTTCGAGGGCCTCTCTTTAGCCAGCTAGATCATATAAAGGTGGAGGGTGTGAAAGACTTAGGGTCTATAACTGTAGTAACGTTATCTCTCAAAGTAGTATCTGATCTAACCGAGCACATGCCTTAATTATCCGTTGATATAAAGAGGCTGTCTGACTGGCGCAGTCAGGCCCAATCAATATCCTTAGCTATATTCCATGTGAATATCTGACAGATAAGAGACCATGGGCAAACATTCTAGTCGCACAGTCAGACACAGTCGATTACCTAGTTAGGCTTGTTACATTCCTAGAGGTGTGTAGTCAATACTACTACTACTGTACCGAATTTGGGAATGATGACGAGCTTCGCCCAGAATAGAAAAGAGACACTTTTTGTATCTGAAACGAGACTGTTGACTATCTATCTACGAGGTCAAAAGACAACTTTCTTTAGGAACACAAGGAAAGCTAAAATCCCCGCAAAAGTACCAAACATAAATTGTGCTTCCCCGCGGCTAAGAAGTTCACGGCTTACAGTATAAGCACTAATATACTTCATTATGTAGCCACAACCCCAACACCCGCCTATAACCGAGTCAAAGAACAAGTATCCGCTTGGAAATGAGCAGGTCATCATTGGGGATCCGCGTTCACCCCAACTTGTTTCGTCGGATCCGGCGTCATCGACTATTCGGCTGGGCGCGGGTATCTTCGGCGCCGAAGTATATAAGCTGTTTGAATACGACCTTTTGAGGTTTCGTCCAACAAATCAACCACAAGATGCTCGTTGAGACATTACTGGACTGTTTGTCCTTGCAGAGGGTCTTGGGAGGGATAGCTGGCCTCCTAACCCTAGCGGTATGCATATCCAAGCCAACTATACCTTCAATGTATATCTAGATTCCAAACACTAACGCGTTGTTTAATAGACACTCGCCTACTCTCTGTACAACCGCTTTATCCACCCTCTCCGCCGCATCAACGGTCCACTACTCGCATCCATAACACCCTGGGTCCAACTTTACCACGGCCTCAAAGGCGACCGCCATCTATGGCTTCACGATCTCCACCGACAATACGGGACACACGTACGCGTTGCACCGAACTTTGTCTCCGTAAACTCAGACCGCGGATTACACGATATCTACGGGCATGGCAAGCGGCTACAGAAGGCGGATTTCTACAATGCCTTCCCGGCCATCAAGGGCGTGTACAACACCCATAATGCAATTGACAAGACCATGCACGGCCGTAAGAGACGAGTACTCAGCCAGGCGTTCTCGGATAATGCGCTCAAGGGAATGGAAGATGTAATGCTTCTTCATGTGCGTCAGCTTTGTTCAGTGCTTGCTGGCTACGATGGGAATTTCGAGACATATGACCAGAAGGGCAATGTGAAGAATATGGGAAATTGGTTCAGTTATCTCTCGTACGATGTCATGGGCGAGCTCTGCTTCGGAAAGAGTTTCGATATGCTTGTCTCTGATTCTCAGAGACACAAGGTTGGACTGGTGGATCGCGCTGCGAACAGGCACTATGTGGTAAGTTCTGTTGTTAACTGCCCTTGAGAACTGTATCTGACTCGCACAGTGTGGACTATGGATGCCTCTCGACACATGGGGTCTGGATCAGATCTTCATCCGCAAGTTGACGCGCGACCGATGGAACTTCATCATGAACTCGCGAGTTGAAGCCAACGAGCGGGCGAAAGAACGTACCCAGATTGGTCACGATGCCAAAAAGGACTTCTTCTACTACCTGTTGAACGCGAAAGACCCAGAAACTGGCAATGGCCTCACCACGCCTGAGCTATGGGGAGAATCCAACGTGCTTATGATTGCAGGAAGTGACACAACCTCAACCACACTGGCAGCCACACTCTTCTACCTCGTCCGACGACCAGAAGCACTAGCCAAGCTGACCGCCGAAGTGCGCGGCGCCTTCAACGAAGTCGAAGAGATCGTCACCAGTAGCCGACTCAACGAGCTGGTATACCTGAAGGCCTGCATCGACGAAGCCCTTCGTCTCGCACCAGCCGTCCCAGGCGCAATTCCCCGCGAGGTGATGGAAGGCGGAGCGGTCGTCGACGGCGTCTTCCTGCCAGCCGGTACAGACTGTGGTACACCGACCTACTCCATCCACCGACAGGAGAGATACTATCGCGAAGCAGGGACGTACCTCCCCGAGCGCTGGATCGAAGGCGCAACATGCACGAGCGCCGGGTTAACCTGGCAGACGACCAAGGAAGGGATTGAGACTGCTCGCCACGCGTTCTGTCCATTTAGCATTGGGCCTCGTGGGTGTATCGGCAAGAGCATGGCATTTATGGAGATGAGGTTGACACTGGCGCGGCTCGTGTTCCTCTTTGACATGTCATTGGCTGATCGCGAGGGCGAAGTTGATGGGCATTTGGCGCTGACGGATCACTTCACCAGTGCGAAGAATGGACCTAATGTAGTTTTCCGACGCAAGTAAAAGAATGAGACGATTTTCTTATTTTCAGTGCTAAATGTATATATAGAGAGAATATAGAGAGTATACAGAGAGAGTAAAGAGAGAAGAGAGCCAGGGGGACTTGTTGTTCTGTCAGGACACGGTTGCGTGTCTTGGCATCAAACCCTCAAATCTTCAACTTCCACTCCGTGTACTCCATGTGCTTGGAAAAGGGGCACCAATATGCCCTCACCCTTGACTGTGACATTTGTACAGGCAACCATTCTTAATGCCATATCCAATGTCCTGGCACAGCTGATCGACCAGCGCAACAGCAAAGTAAGTTAACAAAAGCCAAGTGACAACATAACTAACAAATCACCCAGTCTCCATTTCATCTCAACCCAATCGCATTAATTCAATTTGTAACTTATGGCCTAATCATCGTGCCCCCCAATTTCTACTGGCAACGTGCCCTGGAAGCGCGTTACCCAGGCTTTCCGACACGCGCCGAGTTCACCAGCGCAGTCCGCTCTTTTTCACTTAAGGCCATCTTCTCACCTCGAGCATGGCTAGCTCTTTTTTAGGCTCGAGCAAGGAGGAAACTCTCCCGAGCCACGACAAGGAGAAAGAAAAGCATGTCCGATGGGCACCGCGAGTCCAGAATTCGGGACTCCGCAATTTCATCATGAAGTTCTTCTTCGACCAGACCGTTGCGTCGGTTACGAACCTTGTTTTGTTTGTTGTTTTGATTAATCTCCTCAAGGGGAGGCGTTGCCCAGGGTGTGGGAGTTGGTCATAGAGGTAAGCTACTTGCTTGCTCCTTGAGCGCGACCTTGTGGCAGACAGAGACTGACTATAGTAGGATTTCCGGCCCATAATGAGTGCTCGTCTCAAGTATAGGCCTCTCGTCTCTATTCTAATGTACACAGTTATCCCAGTGGACCGGCGGGTTGTTTTTGGGAGTGCCTGTGGGGTAATTTGGGGTATCTATCTGAGTCTATACGCGGTTGTTTAACGCGTTTTTCATTTTCATTTTCATTTGTATTTCAGCGGTTTACCATAGAATAGGCAGGAAAGGAATCCATTTTGATTGACATTAATATACGTGTAAATTATCATAAATCACTACAGAGGTATAGGTATAAGCTCTAATGCACTGTTCACCCAGGACAGACCGTAGATCATGCCACAAAAGAGAAACGAAACAGAGATTGGGAAAGGATATGCAAGAAAGACGCGCTAGTGGTCAAATATAACCTCACACGGCGGCCATCTCTACTTTCTTGCCCTTGACCGAGATCCACTCAACAAAGATAGGACCGACCAGGGACAATGCACTCATCGCGACAGCAACATAGAAGGTCTCAGTAATGGCAGCATTGTAAGCAACCAGTACCTTGTGGAGATCAGACCCAGTCACAACAGAGCGCAGCATAGTAGCACCAGTCGAGACGACTTGAGCGACATTCTGATCAGGGGCATAAATGGCCAAGTTATGAACCAGTTGGTTTTGGAACACATTCTGCCCGACGGACACGAAGATAGCACCGCCAAGGGTCTGCGCGAACATAACAATCGCCATACCGCTGGGAACATCTACAGTCTTGAGAGCAGCCTGTGCGACAATCATGGGCTGTTGCATGCCTAGACCGATACCGATACCGAACATGGCCTGGTATCCGATCCACTTGGAGTGATTCGAGTCTGTTTCCAGAGTGGCCAGGAGCCCGGCGGCGATAGCCATGATGATCGACGAGGCGATCATGAATGGTGTATAGTAACCGCAGGCAGTGACGAGACCACCGGTGAGGATGGAGACGACAATGACTCCGATGATCATGGGTAGATTCATGATGCCTGACTTGAGGGCTGTTGCGCCTTTGATAGACTGGAACCAGATGGGGAGCTGTGGGATGTTAGGACTTGCACTTGACGTCGGCGGGGGACTTGGGGGAAGATCTTACATAGTATGTCATGACGAAGAAACCAGCACCAAGAGCCAAGGCATACCAGGCCGCGCCCCAGACACTACGGTTCTTGATCAGTCGAGGAGGTATAGTAGCTTTGTCTTGGGCCTTGTACTGAATGCCCGTGAAGATCAAGATGAGCACACCAAACACGACGAAGAGACCGATGATACGTCCATTGCTCCAGTCATACTTGGTACCACCCCATTGCAGAGCCAACAGCAAACTGATAATAGCAGGCAAGAAGAAGAACGAACCAAGCAGGTCCAGCTCCTTGATCTGCTCTTTGAAGGTATCCTTGGTCAGGATAGGCTTAGGGTTCTGGAAGAAGGCCAGCACAAAGAAGAAAGTCACAGCTCCGATGGGCAGGTTAATGTAGAAACACCAACGCCAGGTGAGGTGATCAGTGAATGCACCACCCATACTGATAGATATTAGCAATCCGTAAACAGCAAAGGATATAGAAGCAACTTACAGCGGACCCGCCACATTAGCAATACCGGCCATCGAACCGATGAGACTGGTATACATAGGCCGTTTGACAAGAGGAACAGTCTTGCTGATGATAAGAATAGAACCAGAGAACAATCCAGCAGCTCCTAAGCCGGCAACAGCACGACCGCAGATGAGACCGACCGAGGTGGGAGTAGTAGCACAGACAAGCGAGCCGATCTCGAAGACGATGAGCGCCGTCAGGTAAATCCACTTGATCGAGTAGAAAGTGTACAGTTTGCCGAAGGTCAGGGTGACCGCGCAGGTGGTTAGTAGATAGGAACTACCGTACCAACCGACATCTCCGAGGGAATTGAATTCATCTGTGATTTTGGGAATGGCTGTTGCGATGATTGTGTTGTCCTAGTTTGATGTTAGGTGTATGTAGAAACAAAGTATGTCGGGGACGTACCAATGCCACGCAGAAAACGCAGAAACAAAGACCGATAGTGATCAGGGTCAATTTCCACGCAGACGGATAATCCTCCTCATCTGGTGTTTCGGTTTCAACCTTCGCTTCTGTTGCTACTTCCTGGTCTGAATCTTCCTTTGGGACATTTTCCTTGGGTTCCTCCTTGGGGTCCTTTTCACTGGGAGTAGAATCCTTGTTCTCTTGTAAGATGGGCTCTGGGGTATGAGGGCCCGGACTCGGGCTGACAATTTCTTTTTCGGAATCTTCATTGAGCATTGAGTTCCTGATCGGCTCATCGACCAGAGTACTCTCTTTCTCGCTGGATGGTTTCGAAATCTGACCCGGAGAAGGAGACGGTGTGTGGCGAACATCGGTAAGTGAAGCGTTGTTTGTTTCCTCGGGCACATTGGCCTCTTTAGAGGATTTGAAATTGAAGAATCTCATAACGAACGAATTAAAGAGCCAACAAGGAAAATCAAACAATGCCCGGATTGAGCTTAACGAACGTTGGGACAAAATGACAAGAAGAAGGGAGGGGCCTGCAGACATTAAAAGGGCAAATTTAGCCAAGATTAGAAACGCAACTGCCCTTCGTACAGGTCGCATCAAGGACCTGTGGGTTCTGCCTAGGAAAGGAGAAAAGGGCCAATCCAAGTCACACCGACACTGCGATCGTATTTCAAGATCCCATGTGGTAGGTGGGACAGTCCGCCAAGCTGCAGCTGCAGGTTAGTTAGGTCTGGAGTAACAAACAGATACGAGAGTGAGAGGTAATGCCAAACCTCGAACCCAATTGAGGTTGACGAGATGCATGGTTAGCAGTAGTTCGTCGATCCCGACCATGAGACGTCAGAAAGGAACACGAATGAAGTCATGAACTGAATCAAACACTCGCTTGAACGCGAACAAAAAGACGGGTTTAGCTGTCGCCCCACCTGGGCAGTCAGGAGTAATGCAAGGATCAGGTGAACATTATTCGAATGCTGCAGGAGTTTATGTATAAGTCCCGGTTGTGATTGTAGTCCAATCAGCGATCAGAGGGGTTTGAATAGTGAGATGCCCCTTGCTCAACTCTCCTAGAGACAGAGACATGGCTAAAGGGTTTACACCGCTGTCCATAGGGATAGTCATGGGATGTTATTAACGGACTAAATCCGGCCGAGCTGAAGACGAGAGAATTGTCAGTGAGAGGAGTTAACGATGTTCACATTCGTCAGTTCATCGGATTTAATACATGATGACAGGTGCTAACTGGATTGGGATTAGCGCATATCGGTACCACGGGAACACATCGGACTTTGGGGTTAAGCTTGTTCGGACTGCCTCTATGCATGTACATCTATACATCTATACACGTTGCATGTTCATTGTTTAGTTGTTCAGTATTTGTTATTCACTGCCACTGTTGCGCTACAGAGTGGTAGAAGAGGTCTCGGAAACGAGGACACTGTAGACACAGTACCATTCCTGCTGGTAACGTTAATATTGGGATATCATGTCTCCAAGGTAGCTATCAAGGTAGACCAAGGTAGATCAAGTAGATTCTCTCACGCAGCTAAATACAACCAAATTATGATACACATGGCTGACGAAGATCATTCGGCAGTGATCTATATGCTCTGACATCATGTACCGTCATCAGAACCTTAGCCATTTCCACAGACTCGTTAAGTCCGGGCTAGCATTTGTAATAGAACACGAGCTTAACTATAAAAGGACCCTCATTGGAATCTATATCCCATCTCTCATCATCATATCTCACTCTACATTTACACTATACTATACTATACTATCACAATGGAGCTCTTCAGACCCGCCCCTGAGCCCGCGACCCCTCTGGGCCGCTACCGGATCCTCTCCTCAACAGCAGGAGTCCGCGTCTCGCCCCTCCAACTAGGTGCCATGTCAATTGGCGACGCCTGGAGCCATTTCATGGGTAGCATGAACAAAGAGCAATCCTTTGCCCTGCTGGATGCTTTCGTAGCCGCCGGAGGCAACTTCATCGACACGGCCAACAACTACCAAAACGAGCAGTCAGAAGCGTGGATAGGCGAATGGATGGCCGCTCGCAAGAACCGCGACCGAATGGTCATCGCCACCAAATTCACAACCGAGTACCGTAGCCACGAAGTCGGCAAGGGCATGACCCCCAACGCGAGTGGTAACCACAAGCGCAGCATGATACTTAGCGTACGGGACTCCCTCCGCAAACTTCAGACAGATTTCATCGATGTCCTCTACCTTCACTGGTGGGATCACACCACCTCGATCGAGGAAGTCATGGACTCGCTCCACATTCTCGTCGAGCAGGGCAAAGTCATGTACCTCGGTATCTCCGACTCGCCCGCGTGGGTCGTATCCGCCGCAAACACATACGCCCGCGCCCACGGCAAGACACCCTTCTCGATCTACCAAGGCCGGTGGAACGTGATGCGCCGCGACTTCGAGCGCGACATCCTCCCCATGGCTCGTTATTTCGGAATGGCCCTGGCACCGTGGGATGTTCTTGGTGGCGGCCACTTCCAGACAGCGAAGCAGATCGAAGAGCGGAAGAAGAAGGGTGAAGGTTTGCGCAGTATGATGGGTAACGAGCAGACCGAGGAGGAGAGAGCCATCTCCGAGGCATTGGCGAAGGTTGCAGCCGAGCATGGAATCGAGTCTGTAACGGCGATTGCGTTGGCATATGTGCTTTGCAAGGCGCCGAATGTTTTCCCGCTTGTTGGTGGACGCAAGATTGAACATTTGCATGATAATATTCAGGCTTTGTCGATTCGGTTGACGGATAAGCAGATTGAGTTCTTGGAGTCGGCGAAGCACTTTGATGTTGGGTTCCCTCATGACTTTATTGGTACTGATCCACGGCACAATGGTGGAAAATCGGCTCCGCTTGTGGCTTCTGCTGGTCCTATTGACTATGTGCAGGGACCTACTGCTATTGGATATGAGCCTACTAAATAGGTGGATTAATGTATTTAAAGCTGTGTTGACAATTCTCACCTCTCATGTTTATATTCGGATACAGTTTATATTTCATATTTGGCTGAGCCTGGAGATTTGAGAGGACAATTTTGATTGTAAAAAATGAACAAGAAATGGGATTGAGAGGTTTAGAAGCCTAGTTCAATGCAATGTGCTAATATCGCCATTCCGCGCCGGGAAGTCTCAAAAGGAAAACGTCTGCAACGCCAAAGATAAAGCCCGACATATTGCGACATCGTTCCGGGGAATATACTGCAGAGAGAAAACAGGATCGACCTAGCAGGTAATCTCTGCGCGTTGGCAAATCGACCATCAAGACCTGAATTCTGATTCCGATTTCAGCTAACAGCGTTGCCACGGGTATGAATGAGGTGAGGAAATTTTAAGTGGGTATTGAAAGAATTGAGTAAGAGGTTTCCAAGGTCGGCCGGCGGAAGATAAGTGATGGCTGGCGAGCTCGCGGGAGGGCCAAGTGCTAGTCAGTGGGGGAGAAAGATCCATCATACTGCAGGACGGACATGAAAGTATGAAAAGCGCCAAGCACTCAAGGCTCATGAGGAACCTGAAGGTCCTCATCCTTGCTAGCAACGAGCGCAATCAGAGCTGCGCCGACACCGCTGCCATCCTTGGAAATGCCAATGCGGATCTTCTTGTCGCCCGCAGCACCGACCTCGGGGACCTCGCGCAAAGCCTCGCGCATGTGGGCCTCGAAGTTGGGATAGAACTCGACAAGACTGCCATCGACACCGATGTCGACGATATCATCTGTCGCGAGCTTGTTGGTGTGAACCAATATCGCTGCCAGAGGGACGGCGCTCAGACGAGCGGCACGCTTGCCGATGGCGTGGACCAGGACTTTGACAGCCTGGCACTCCTCGATGCTGGGGTTTTCAATCTCGAGGTGATCCTTCAATGCGGTCTTGACATCCACCAAGTCCTTGCTGCTGTCGGCCTCGACCGCACTGAGCAGGCTGGTATCAAGACCCCATTGACGGAAGAGCATGGACTTCTCAGAAAGGACAGTCTTGGAGTTTTTGTTGGCCTTGAACATTCCAAGGTCGGCATTGTGGTGAAGCGAAAGGAGCGCACGGCGCAGAATCTCGCCCAAGAACATGCCGGAGACGCGCTTCTCAAACATTTGCACACCAGGGTTGTTGCTGTCGGCATCGAGCTCATCATCAAATACCGTGGTGGGGAGCACGCTCATGTGGTTATCGAAGCTACCCCACTCGGCGTTGATGATCATCTCGCCAGTGGAGAGGTCAAAGTGGGCATCCTTCATGTCCTTCAGCTTGGTGATGTTGCTGGTCTTCTCGACGTAGGCGCCGTTGGTACCAGTACCGAATATAGCACCAAGGAAAGTTCCGGTCTCACCGGGCGAGGTGTAGGAACGAGCCATCAGAGTACCGACAGTGTCGTTGACCAGGGCAGCCACGCGCACGGGGAGGCTCAACTCGTCAATAGCAGACTGGAGCAGTGCGCATACATCGTGGCCCACGGCATCGGGAATGTTGAAGCCTTTGGTCCACCGGATCAAGGTTCCGCGGTTAATACCGCACTGGCGCACAGGGAAACTGAAGGTGAAGCCGAGGTCGAACAGGTCTTCCTCATTGTTGCCCTGCTGCCGACGGAGCTGGTGGGCCTCGAAGTGCTCGTTGTGGTGAATGCGCAGGAAAGACTCGATCTGGCGGGCCAAGAAGAGGAACAGGTCCTTGGAGGTACCGGAGGCCATCAATTCCCGGGGAATGAGGATCTTGGACTGGGTGAGGGAGAAGGTGGTATCGCCGTGCAAAAGAACTGAGCAAACACGGAAGTTGGTGCCACCGAGATCAACGGCGAGATATAGGCCCTATTTCAAGGAGATGAGTTTTCAACCCGCGACGTGGAATCTGCCAGCGTACCTTTTCTGTGCCATTGGGCACAGCAGTCACGAAGGTAGGGATCTGGCTCAGTGTAGCGCCCTCCTTACCCAAACCCTCATCGGACTGCTTGATGTACTCGGCAACCCCGCGCTGCACCTGTTCCGCGGGGTATGCAAACTGGCCCGCAATGCGCGTGGCCTCGTTCAGTAGTGAGGAAGACATGGTGTAAAGAAGAAAGCCGGCTGGTGTTAGGAGAGGGAAGTATGTACAGCGCGGCAGAGTGAAGGAAGTTAAGAAAAAGAAAGGCGGGCGAAGATGACGGAGGGGTCCATGAGGTCAGATAAGTTACCTTGGCAGTACTTGGTTGGCCGTACCGACAGCCACCACTGACGACGTACTATTGCGGTACTGACATTTTGCCGGCTTCACCGGAGCAAATAAACTGTTTGTACGGTTTATACGGGGTATTCCGTATGCATCGGCCATTTAATTGCGCTTCTCTACTTGATTATATGCAGTTGTATGTCGTGCGCCGGAAGCAGTCTCCCTGCATTCCAACCCTACATGGACGGGAATACACCATGCCTGTAATTTTTTGCTGTTTTCCTGTGACGCCATGAACGGTTTCGACGTAGAAATTGTGTGGGGATAGTTGCAATTTCTCCAGTTACACATTTTCCCCGACTTCACCGGTGAGCCACACTGGTTAGGACAAGGGGGAAAAATGCACGGGGCTCGTCTGCCTCATTGGACCAGATGTCGGCCCTTGTTTCTAGACTGCGTATGGGCATGTCTTAGCAGGTTTGGACTCTGTAGAGATCGGGATAGATCGGCCCCAACACGGCATTGTCACTCGGCTCCAATCAATGTGAATGGTCAATGGCCCGAAACACCTGCGGAATCCCGATGCCCCCAGGTGTTGAGACATTGTGGCTTTTCTCTTATTCATAGTTATTCTTTTTCCTTCTAGGGCAAAACAGTGGTTGCAGGCCATACACTCCGATTTTACAGTAGGCGCTCCATGGCTTCCTCATTCCCTGCTAGATGGACACCCTCCTTTTTTATAGAGAAGTTGGGCCGAACCTGTTATGTTCTTGAGTATTGAGCACAATTACATTATTTCCTGGTCTCCCGGGGGGCCTGAGGATTATACTATCCTAATTAGACATCATCACGTGACCCTCCTAATATTTGGCTTGATTTTGTATTTGTATCAGCCCCTAATGAAAAGGATCGGAGCCTCAAGACCTGGACGTTCTAGCTGAATGTCACTTCTAGAAATATACCGAATCTTTATTATATGACTTTCTTCTAAGACATCTCATATAGGTACCAGTTTATAGATCAGAAATAGAACAATTTACTTCAGAATAGAGTTTAAAAAAGAACCGTTTTGAATGGGCGTATGACTACGTTTGCATGCTGTTAAGGGACTCCCAGAAATTGAAAATCGAAACCTCATCCATCAGCGCGTCAATAGCATCCTCACCTATAGTTATTCCAGCCATAGGGTCATTGACCGAAATATCCTGTGGTGGTGAAGATTCAGATGAAGCCAGCTCTGGTATGGTAGACTGGGCCACATAGCTTGGAAAAATGTGATGAATAGCTGCTAGGAATATACCCCGGAACAATGAAGACGATGGGTGGGTGTGTTGCATTTGCTCCAGAACCATCATGCACAATTCTAGTTTGTTGAGACCTAGACGCCGAGAAAGGGGACCGGGCGATTTGCAATTTAGAAGGTGGACATGCATGGCTGGCACTAATAGTGGTGGCCTGGGGTGATTGTCAGATATGTTCTTTTGTAAAAAACTTTTTGTACTCACGTCATGGGACCAGAGAAATCTAGCAGCTTCTCACGGACTAGACTGTCTAGTACAGCATTTGTCTGTAGCGCAGCGGTGTCAATTGAGTTTCGGACGTGAATTTGCCATGAGTTCTGACGAGGTATTGGTAGCCCCTCGGGTGTCTTTGTAATGAACGGGCGATAAAAGGTGACGAGGAATGCTCTTTTGACTGTTAGAAGAGGTTTCAGGCAGATAAAGTGCACTCACTGGTAATGAAGTTCAAGGTGGTATAAGTAAAAGGTCGCAAACGGACTTGATCCTGTGTCGTGGTTGTTTGGGAGTTGGAAAAGCATAATCTTTCGCTCAAGCTCTTCAACTTGTTGGAAAGACGGGCTGGGTCCAAAGGGTTGATAGCTCAAGGTCAGAGTATCTCCCAAAAGCTGAGTGAGTTGTATCATTGTGACCCAATAGTCCGCCAGCTGTGGCAAATCCCTCGGGATAAACGCTGTAGACCCAGGTAGTTCAACAAAATCACTTAGCATATCATCTGCAGAAGGCATCATCGTGTTACAGTCATTCATGTTGATTCTCAATGGACGACCCATTGTAAGGCTGAGCCAACGGTCTCGGAAGACACAGGTCCACCAAAGACGACGCCAAAGACGCTGTTGCTGCTCGGGGATAGGCGAAGTGGCGCAGACTGCACTAGAGAAACGATGCAGCCCAATCGATTGACAAAGGCTGATTGCTACCCCAAGCCAATACCATGGTTGTGTGTGGGTATCAGCTTCAGAGTGGTAGAATCCCAAGAGTAGCGCCGATTGTAGGAGAACCGTGTGGTCTGTTTCGCCGCCAATATAGTGCAAGCACTAGTAACTCGCCGTTAGTACAGAAATCCGAGACAACTGCTATGGCCCTTACCTTTGCCCGAGAATACATGGAGTCCTTCATATCCTTTCTGGACGAAAAGCCCTCTAGTCTCCAAGTATCGGCCGAGATATACTAGGTTTCCGTTAGTTAAATTGGATTTCTGAACAAGGGAGTGTTGTAGCTTCACATTTGCCGCAACAAAGCAAATGCTCCATATCAGTAGCAAATTATGTTGTTGGTTATCTCCGGACGGATATAATTGGGGAAGCGTGGTAGCGTCTACCACCGGCGTAAGGGGATGCACATGATGAAAATATGCCTGCAGAAGCTCATTGTAAGTCTTCTCCCGAGGCAAATTAAAGACACCCTTGTATTGTAGGTATTCTTTATCTTCAGGGGATAATTTGGTCGATGTTTTGGAAGTGAGTAAGATGTGCCTTTGTACAGGCTGCCGGGGAGATGAACATATATCGAAGACACCACCAAATCCAGGAGAATCACCTATAACCTTAAATAAGCGTCATATGAAGCAATATGCCTGCATGTTACGAACCAGTATAGAATGGCGCTTGGCCATTTTTGTTGTTTCCCCCAGAACCTTGGTTGCGATCTCAACGCCGGTCTGCTCTTCGTCACGGCGATGCGGATAATCCGGGGGATGAGACACACTTCTAGCGACAGCTACTGGAGGTCGAATAAAATTTTGCACCTGAGAGGCACCTGGAAATGCATCCACTGAAGTCGAAGACTGAGAGACCATCCCGGCAGGGCGCGTATTGACCGGGCTGCTGACTGCAGACGCAGCTCGACGTGCTTGTTTTTCACGCATCCTGAAAAAGTTATTATTGATGCTCCAGCAACGACGGATAAGTCCTCACGTTTGGCCTTTTGCTGGAAGATGACATTCTCTGCCATCTTGTGTACACCCTATACACGGGACGCCGGTCACCGTCACGCTACAACGGACTTTGCGCTGCCTGCAGTTTTGACAGGCAGCAGCCGATCGATAGCGGCGCGTGGACATGGCAGCTCTGTCAATTTCACTCTCTCCTTGATGAATCCTCGGGATGCCGAGAGTCAGATAATATCCAAGTCTGAGCTAAAAAAAAAAGCCGAGGTAAGGCTACGTCATTCCTTGCCGAGGTATCCGACATTACTTCCCTCAAAACACAAACCTGCAGTCTTTTTGCAGTCTCTTTGAAGGAAACATTGAATTAAAAGATTCCAATATGACTTGTATGGAAGGTAACAATTTATAACTCAAGGTCCTAGAAGAGTAATTCCAGTAAAGGCTCGGTGATCCTCGTAGTAGATCTGCTCCTTATGGTTGCCGTCCAAATCGCATCGGTAGATACTTCCACCCAAATCAGTGAGGTAGATGTGGGAGTTGATCATATCCAGCTTCAACCCGATCGCTTCATTGAGACCCCTGGTGATGGTTTGATATATCCGAGGGGATTCAGCCGACAGAGGAAGACCGGTTCCATCTAAGCTGATTTTGTTCAATGAGTTGCCCCAGGGAATTTCTCCACGATCAGTCCAGTAAAGTGTGCGAGAATTCTCGTCCACCTCAAGATCAATTGGCTCGGGGAGGTCACTCAGAATGCACTGCGTATCATCTCGCAAACCTCCTGGTCGGCCCTTGGGTGTTGTGATATCGGCACAGAAGATGCGCCCTTTGCCACCCTTTGATGGTCCTTTCTGTGTCCAATAGAACTTACCTAGGCGGGGGCTGACCGCAATGCCCACACACCAGTCGCTGACGCTTACTTCTGAGGTAAGATCATGGGCAATATTGTCGATCAGAACATCCAAATTGGAGCCGTCGAACCCACAGCGATAAACTCGACACCCTTCGCGGTCACAGAAATAGACTTGCTGTGCGGCATGATCAATAGCAAGTTGCTTAGGAGTATTTACAACACCTGGAGCAACCAGCGTCATGATATCCGACCCATCAAGCTTGGCAGAGTAGACTGCTCCATCATACTTCCCTGGCACTCCCATACAAGTCCAGAACATGCGGCCACAGGCTGGATCCACGGCCAGCCCGTCAGGTAAGGATTGGTCTTTTAAGATTGTTTCATGAAGCATTCCGTCAGCGGTGACCTTGAGAATTTGTCCTGACGTAGTGCTAGGCGTAGAAGCTGAGAGGCCCAGATCCAAAACTAAAATGTCAGGGTCTCTTGAGTTGACCTTAGTGGCGGTCGATTTGTCGCTTGGAGCATAGAGACCGCCTTGCGAACACTTAGTTCCTAGCTTGCCTTGGTCAAGGTAATTGGTTTTCAAAAAGCCGACGGTCTTCTCCGGAGATAGTCCACGTTCAGCCACATAATGACTCTCGATAAAGGCAACGGTGTCTAGGCCAACGTCTAAAAAGAATTTGTCAGCCAAAAGCACCCGCTATGCGAGAAACCAAATTAAATGACTTACTGTCCATCATCTGGCATGGAAGGGATGCCCCCTTGACGAACATCTCAAGCCACATGGCATCGATTTCTTCGGGAACCGAAACACCCTCGGCAAGAATAGTCAAGACCTCCCGCTTCACAGCAGCCCAGAGTCGATTGAAAATGAACCCAGTAGACTCTTTCCTTGCAACATAAGGGATGGTAGCGGCCTCCTTAGAGCGTTCAACCATGAAAGGGAATATCTCTGGAGAAGTAAATCCATCAGTCATGAGCTCCACAATCATACACTGAGGTGGCATATAATAATGCATGTTCAGAATGCGCCTCTTAGTCAGATCCGTGACGCCGCTGATCATATCGGAAGACTTGTATGAAGATGAGTTGGAAGCCAAAATGCAGTCTTCCGCAGCAATGGCTTCCAGTTCTGCAAATGTAGCAACCTTGAGTCCGATCTTCTCCGGAACAGCTTCAATGACAAGCCAGGCATTTGCAACGGCATCTTCCATGCCTTCGAATGCCTCAAAGGACCCTGGGACTTTTCCGGTCTTCGCGCTGTATGCTTGCACATTCTCTTCAATGTATGCAATCCCGTCCACTCGTTGTTGCTCACTGGGGTCTCGAAGTCGAACATCGTAGCCGGCTGATGCCCAAATGCATCCTGGTGTGGAAAGTCTTGTCAGCATTGAAGTCCATTGAATAACATGCCGTAACGTTATGTGTTACATACCTACTCGACGACCGAGTACGCCCGCGCCAAGAATGGCGACGGGGCGATTGCGGTAGTCTCGCGGTGGTTGCCAAGTTGGCTTCATGTTAGATAGCAAGTAGTATGGATGTGGTCAAGAGGTAACTGAGATTTGATATCCAGAGTGTCAAATATCCGGGACTTCAGATGATTGCAGACATTCCCTTTTATGTCCCATGGCTTTCAGTATCATGCCGTTCACCCTCGGAAATCCAGTGACACTGAGACCGAATCCAATATCAAGGAAGCCGACAGTCCCGTTGATGATACCGGGGGAGCAAGGATAGCAAAAGCCGCTCGGTACCAATGCCTCGGAGTCTCCATTCTCGGGCCGTGAATGAAAAAGAGCGAATCCATATGCAAGAATAATACGGAATATCGTTTCCTACTCGGATGGTCGAGGTCCTGTTTGCTGCCGATGGGCCCAACACACTGTGGAGCACGATGCCGAGGTAGTCTACCTCGGAAAGCACTGGCATGGAAATACCTCATGTTCGTTTGGTTAGACAATCTGATTAAAACAAAAGAGAGTCAAATCTTTTTCTCCCCCTCCCCGAAGGTATAAATGCATTTGGCCTCGAATTAGTGCCGCGCCAAAAGTCCTCCGTTGTCAATCCTGCAACTCCCGCATCAGAATGTCATCTTTGAAAGAGTTCAACGTGAGCGAAGTGGCAGCTCATAGGTCCAAAACGGATTTGTTTGTCATAATTCATGGGAAAGGTACTTTTCGTCTTTTCAACTTTAAGTTAGTCTAAGGTTCTGACATATCTAGTCTATGATATCACAAACTACGTACGAGACCATCCGGGAGGCGCGGACGTGTTGATCGATGTCGCCGGCGGAGATGCGACAGCTGCTTATGAAGATGTCGGTCACTCAGAGGATGCAAATGAGATTCTCGGGACATACTTGGTTGGAACCGTCAAGGATGCGCAGCAATTCGTTCAACCCAAGACCGTTCGCGTGATCCAGCAACGCTCCTCCAGTACAGACACGTCCAAGAACACATCATTGGTCGCAAAAGCTGTAACAGCAATTGGCGCCACGCTTACTGCCACTGCAGTAATCTACATTTCCATCAAGCATCATCCGGCTCTTGGCGACTTGGTCACAAACTATATCCCAGCTTCTTGGAGAATTACCAACACTCATGTGCCACACCCAAGTTTCCTCCGTGGCGGATTTTCAAGTGGGTTTGCAGCTGCTACTCTGGCATGTACGGCTGTTGGTGGAATCATAGGGAGTAAACTCTCGAGCTTCACCAAGATCGATTCTGGCTTCACAAAATACCGCCCACACATCAAAGCCTCTTCCGTGAAGAAGCAAAACCCGCATCTCACAAAAGGCTTCCTCGAACCCAAGAACTACAAAAAGCTTCCGCTGGTCAAAAAAGACCAGTTGTCGTCCAACGTGTTTCGCTTCGTCTTCCAACTTCCCAGTTCACGGGACGTAATCGGACTCCCCATCGGCCAGCATGTTGCCATCAAAGCCATGGTCAACGGTGCCGCTGTCTCGAGGTCCTACACACCGACATCCAACAATCTAGATCTTGGGAGACTGGAACTAGTCATCAAATGCTACCCGGACGGTCTTCTCACTGGGCAATATCTTGCGGCTCTCGAAGTTGGTGATAAGGTGGAATTCCGGGGACCGAAGGGTGGAATGAAATATCACAACGGTCTTTGCAAGAAGATCGGAATGATCGCCGGTGGAACTGGAATCACCCCAATGTATCAACTTATCCGGGCCATTTGCGAGGACGATCGAGATACGACTGAGATCAGTCTGATCTACGCCAACAGGTCTGAAGAGGATATTCTTCTTCGTCGCGAATTGGAGACTTTTGCTCGAGCTTATCCCAGGAATTTCAAGCTCTGGTATATGCTTGATCATCCCTCTAAAAACTGGGCCTATGGCAAGGGATATGTCACGCCTGAAGTTATGGCTGCAAAGCTGCCGGCATCGGCGCCTGATACGAAGATCATGCTTTGTGGGCCACCAGGGATGGTGAATGCTTCGAAAAAGAGCTTGGTGGCAGCTGGGTTTGAAGCTCCTGGTGCTGTGGCGAAGATGTCAGATCAAATATTTTGCTTTTGAAATCGGCACGGTGGCTTGCTGCTTTTTGTCAACCCTAGATCGTTTGTTTAGATATTTGTAAATAGAGCTATTTGCCCATGTGTTTTCCATTCTCGCCGTCAATCAACATTGAATCATGTATATACATAAATGGACTCGCTCTAATCTACGATAGACGTGTTTTTCTACAAAGGACTACAGGGATACAGAGCAGGATTTCTTTTTGCCGCCACTTCGTATCACAGAACAGAACGTAAGATCCATGCTTGTGGGCTAGGTCAATGTTTCTTTCTTTCCCTTTTTTTCCCTCTCTTTTTCTGTGTAGATCGAAGAAACCAATTCTTCAACTTATTTTGAACCCACAAAAAGTCTCTTCATTTAGTGGTGCTTATTCATTTTTAGTTTTGTCCCTCCATTATTGGAGGACTTGGGAAGATCCATGACCGGAGAATGCCGTGGCACCGAGGGCCTATCACTACAATACACAGTAGAGGCCGAATTACCTCGGAACTTTTCTAACATCATTTTTGGCCTTCCAAGGTAGTGTCAGATATGCAAGACCAATCGGAAACCATGTGTGACCCACACACCGAGGAAGCGGCATCCCGAACTATGCAATCACCGGGGATATTTTTATCTACGTGAAACTCTTTCGTTGATATAAAGGCTTGGATCTGTGTTTGGATATACTGTCTAAATTGCTCAGTACCTCATCACATCACAATGCCCGCAAAGCAATTCTATCTCCTTGGAGAGGCAGTGTCCTCTGCTAGGAACATTGATTTCGATCCCACAAGTGGCTTAGAAGACCTTAAGCACTTGATTGCAGCTAACTTCGCAGTCGTTGAGCCTAATGGTAGGTTGAAAGCATGACTCAACTATCTCTTACGACTAACTGGTTCTCTATAGGTATCGGGTTCCAAGCTCAAGACTACGAGCTGAACGATGTTTCAGAAATCACCTCGGCAGACACGCCAATTGCCATCACCATTGATGGGCACGCGATTCGTGACCCTCCGGGTCCGAAGGGTCTGCCTATTGTCGGAAATTTCTTCGAGGTATACCCAGATCACCTTGGCAATCACCAACGTCTTTTCGAACAATATGGACCTATCTTCAAGACAACGAATCTCGGGCGTTCAACCTATCATACCAATGATCCAAGTCTCGCCGCAATAGTTTTCGCCGAATCTGACTTCTTCACCAAGGAGATTAACGAAGCTCACCCGCTCTATCCTCTGAAGCAACAGGCTGCTGGTGTTTTCCTTGGAGATACGGACACTCCTGAGTGGAGAGTGACGCATAAGTTTCTACCACCAGCCCTTGGCCCTAAGGCTGTCCGCCACTACGCACCTATGATGCAGAAGACAGTGGAAGATTCTTTTGAGGTTTTTGATGCCCTCGATGAGCAGGGTGAAGCGTGGAACGTTTATCAGTATATGTTGAAACTCGGATCTCAGGCCGTTGGCAAGCTCACTCTTGGGTTAGATTTCCAGCATTTCACATCTCCAAATGCTCAACTCCATGAGATGGTGCATTTGATTGCGGATATTCTTGCTCTTAACAAGAAAGTCTCATCGAAGGGAGATTGGTACGGTCGACTACCTTTCGGTGATCCACAGCGGCTTAGAACGACTAAAGCCAGAATTGAGGAGCTTGTAGGAGAATCAATCAAGAAAGCTGAGAGTGGTGGAGTGGAAGACCTTCCACTTCAAGATGCGGCGCTAAAAGCGTCGAATATGGTCGGTGAGTAAATACCACACGTTACCTTTCTTCTGTTTAGATCCTGACAACTGTGCAGACTATGCAATTCGTGCAACCGACAACAAAGGAGAAAAACTTCCAAAGGAAAGCTTGATTTGGGCTTTGCTCGTCGCGACAGGAGCCGGTTTCACAACTACAAGTTCTCTACTATCCTGGTTGATCTACGGTCTCGTCACATACCCTGGCATGCAAGACAGACTTCTCCAGGAGTTAATTGATAACGGAATTGACGAGAACACCGAAATCACAGCGGATGTCACTGACCGACTCGAATTCCTCGACAAGTACATCAAGGAGATGCAGCGTCGCCACAACCCAAGTTTCCAGCCGGCACGAACCGCCAAGGTAGACCTCGTGCTTCCAGGTGGTTACAAGATCCCTAAAGATTCCGTTGTGCTTCCGGCACTCCATCACATTCATAACAATCCTAATCTGTGGGATAATCCTCACAAGTTCACTCCTGACCGCTGGGACACGGATGAGGTCAAAAACAGACACAAGGCAGCCTACGTCCCATTCGCAATGGGTCCGCGCATGTGTATTGGGTTCAACTTCGCTCTACAAGAGATCAAAGTCTTCCTTCCAAAGCTGATATATCGGTATAAATTCATTCGGGAGGGTGATGGACCGATCGAGTATGATCCTATGTTCCAGTTGATTCGGCCCAACAACCTCTACGTCAGAGCGGAAAAGAGGGTCAAGTGGCCGCCGAGGACCGATGCCTTGGGAAACGAGAAGGTTTGAAAGTCTCGAAGCATGGATAATAATGTATGCATAGCAAACAAGATCGTTAGTTTGAGGCGAGTGGAAGGCCATAGGCCTATAGGCATAGAAAACGGATGCATATTCAAATCAATTACATACAATACATCAGTAACCAAATCCAAGCATTTGATACTTTGTGTTAGAATCTTGTTTCTCAAGATTACCTTGGTAATCAAATAGTCCATTATGAAAGAATTTGAGGCCTTACCGATCTACTTCGTCCAAGCCTCGCCATGCCACAGATCGCGTGACGTCTTCATTCATCATTTTCATGAGACAGTAGGCTAGATGATGCTTCTCTGTCATCTTGAACACCGAGGACAAGCTCTTTCAAGACCTCGGCTTGCCACTCGTCAGACGGCCAGGGAATATGTATACATGGCCATTCTTTCTGCACCGGGCAGAACATCTCGGTCAAAACTATGCTCGGATGTTGTGACACTCGCTGCTCTGCTTGTCTTTGCGTACATGCAATTGTATTTGGAGCATGTGGGCGTTGGTTCTTTAGTTGGGGTTTCTAATATACGCCGACTTTGACAAAATTCAAATTATGGGAAAATGAGTAACAAAGATGTCAAGAATTATTCCCGTCCTATAGGCCATTTGAGAGTAAACATGACTAAGCACACGTGACCTCCAACATCCTCCGAGCGGATCGGGAGAGCGGGCATTGTGAATGCACTTCTATTCCCCTTCACAGGACTCGTCATTCTCGAAAAATGGGTGCTGGCAACTCTAAGCCCGAGGCTTCGGCCGGCTCACAACATGTGTTCTCCAGGTAATTGCCCTCCGACCTCGCAGCTTCCGCCGCATTTGGTGCTGGACGATCGAGGGAGCAGAAACAACCTCTCAATTGACGTCAATTGGGAAGAAGAGATGACATTGTCAACATGAAATCTTTCTCTAAGATGCCAGCACCATATGCGATCTCGTGGAGCACCGCTAAGAACTCTACAGCCATAGCTAACCCATCCATGCACAGCAACTCGCCTGTTCAATTCTCCTCGAACCTAGTGGACGCCCTCCAGTCCAACTCGGAGGTATGCATAATCCTGCCTTAACCAAGCTCCTAAAGCCAATCACAAACTCACCAACAATCAACACAACCAGACCGACTCCACCCGCTCCAAAGCCCTGGAACTGGAGATCCAAAACCGCGTCGCACAGGAACTGCAACGCCTCCACGAACGCGAGCAGCAAACCCTCGCCGAGATCGAGAAGCGCATCGCCGAGTCAAAGGATACAACCTCCCTGCCAGTCACAGCTGCCACCGCCCCGGTCGCATCCAGCTCCTCCGGCTACCCAGCCGGCTCATTGAATCTGGACGCACCGCGGATCCCCTTCGCGGGCCGAGAGCACGACCCCGTGGCCACATTCGCTGCGCCGCAGGAACCCGCCGCCGCACAGCCCGTGGCCAAGCGCGACGTGTCGCGCAACGCCGTAGCAGCCGAGATCGAGCAGTTGCGCACCAAGCTCGATGGACGGAGGAAGGTTGCGGACCTTGACGACAGCGTTGCCAAGGCCAAGTCGGATGTTGTTAGCTGCCTGCGGTTGAATGACCGTCGGCCTTTGAACTGCTGGGAGGAGGTTGATGCTTTCAAGCGTGAGGTTGCGCGCTTAGAGGCCGCCTTTGTGGATCGCATAGTGGGTTAGATTTAAGCCGAGGACGAGCGGATATGAGTGAAGTCTCTACGGTTGTTTGGGCCTTATTGGATTGATTGGGCTTATTCCTGCTGTACTGTATGTATAGAACGTGCATTTTTCTTTGTTCCATTTGTTTTCATCCGATTAGGATAGAATTAATCCATGGATGAGAGTGGATCTTGATCAATGGCTTTCAAGTCATTATATTGTAACAAGCAACTAGTATAGACTGGCCAGGGCCAGGTTACTGTGTTAGATATGCTGTATCCACAACTCGGTATCTTCGTTGCAAGGGTTCTTCGATATCATACAAAATCCCACATCGCTAATCGTCCACTCTTCTGTCCGGATGTTCGAATTATACACATCCTTCTCTCGGATGATTTGACATCAGACTCCAACACCTTAGACAGCTGGATACAGCCAACGCCTGTCCCTTTGGCTTCTGAGAGGTTATAATTGCCCGTGGTAACAAAGCCAATCAGATCATCCTCGGTGGGAACATCCAAATGCTCAGAGTCAGGTTCTCCAGCAGCAGAACCCGAGATGAGAGACTCGGCAAGGAGACGTCGAGCCTCCTCGGAAGCAGGCTCAGATGTTACCTTCTTCGAACTGTTCGACCGACCAGCCTTGTGACTTTTAGAAGCAAAATCGAGCCATTTTCGACGTAAGGCTGGGTCAGTAGGGAGGCGGTAGATTCGTGCATGGGGTGTAGGTGTACCGCGCCCAGTGAGAGATATATAAACAGAGGCAAGAGTGGAAGCATCAACAGATTCCTTGTTGAGCTTGTTCAGGGTTATGTGGGTATCCGCCGAGGCTAAACGGACATTGTGAATGTCGAGCGGTGGAACAGCGAGACTGGTAGTTTCATCTGTAACCTTATCCTTAGACTGGGTCGGCTTTTCGTTGGAGCTCTTGTCACTGGTCTCAGCATTCTCAGTCTTAGAATCAGAAACATCTGGTTTGGGCCCTTGAAGGAGCCGTTCCCAATCACACGCCCAACCGCGACCAATCTCACCCTTGGGACGGCCCTCTCCCAGTAGGATATTATCGTATTCTGCACGACGGCCCTTGGGACGCCGCTCCCATTGACACCGAGATTTCTCAGTATCACGTTGTCCCCATTCCCAGCCGACTCGCGTTCCTGGGAAGTCTCCAGGGAACCAAGGCTCACCCGCTTCGAACGCAAGCTGTTGTTGCTCTTTTAGGCCACCAAGGCATGGGTTTCCTCCGCTCGATAGCGGGTAGTACATGATGGAGTACCAGACTGGAACGACACATTTCCAAGGTAAAAGGATGGTGAAAGATCCCGGGGCATTGCTGCGCCTAGACCGAGCTTGCGGCTTGTTTGCAAGAATGATGACCGGGATTTGGGGGTCAGTCGGCTGAGCTGGCGGGAAGTTACCAGGCCCAGCAACGGTACGGCGTCTGTTGATGGCTTTCTGGCTCGGAAGCAGACGAGCTGCCGTCAACCGATTTGATCGGTCAAATAGCGAGGATGGACCCTGTGTTTTGTCTGGATGCCATGAGGCGAGCGCAATAGCAAGGTCGCTCATGTGAGATTCATTGTCGGGGACATGAATGGTGCGTGAGGGGAAGTGCAGACGTGGATCAGAGATATTAAAGGAGAGGAGAGCACCTTGTGGCAGTGAAGAAGGATTTGATACTCCCAGAAGAGATTGCCAGACAGCTTCCGGGCTATGCTCTGGGGCTTTGCCGTCAGCTCCAAGAATTGGCTTCAATGCCGCCAGCAAGGCCTCTACAGATCCTGGCCCGGTGATTTCGATGCTGCCAATTTCAAATCGCAGGTCCTCTACCAAGACAGGAGGATTCTGCTTTTTGGATACATCAAGAAGATCTGTCCACAGCTGAAGGAACGCCGAAGGGTGGACCCTGATGAAGAGTTTCCGATAATTCTTGGATGTTTTGTGAGATTTGTCGGGATCAACCATCTCAACATCTTCTTCTTTGTGGCGGGCGCACCAGATCAACGTAACCGGCGCAGTTAGACGTTTCGAATAATCCCTTTCGAACGTCCAGGCTTGCAGAGATCGAGTTCCTGCTCTCCATTTCTTCCCTTTGATACCCCATGCATTGTCCCCATCGACACCAACTGCAATGAGAACAGCCTGAATCGCTGCTTCTGTGCCCTCCAGCTGAATAGTAGACATATAACTCATATCCCACGCTACAGCCCCCCTAGCGCCCCGAGCCCGATGAGTAGGACGGTAACTTTTTTCTGTGGGAGACAACGGAATAGCAAAGCGCCAGATCGGGTCTTTGCTGGTTGCCATATGGGCACGTTTGGCGTGGTACAAATGAGTGGGTAACCAGTGCTTGCACTTCTGGCGCTTGCGGTATTTGGGCTCTGCTGGCGGCGGTCTAGAAAGCTTGTTCTTCTTGATCTTGGGGACCCGCGGAGCAATATCAAACGCATGGCTACCCTCTTTCTCCAGGGTAATCCCATTCTCTTGATCTCGCTTTTGCTTCGCTGCCACCCGTCGAGCCTTCGTCTTCGCGTTAATAGCCTGTAGGCGCCGAGCGGTTTCGAGTCGAATGCGCATCATATGCGATGGTTTGCGTCTGCGCGCTGTAACGGTAGGTGTATTGTCCTCGAGCATCTAACAGTTGAAATCGCGTGTCAGTCAACAGTCATATCTTATCAGAGATTACTGCCAAATACCTCTCGCTTCGCCCGAGCCCTCAACCTCCGCGGAACACGCTTCACATTGTGGCTCGCCGTTCGCCGCCGCAACTTACGGGGCACTTTTTGGAACGCCCGTGTCGTCAGAGCATTTTTCGACCGTTGAATTCCCTCCTCAAGCGCCTGGATCTCGAATGCGCGGGCTGCGGAGTAGGCGGCCACATCGAGCTCGCCCGTTGCGGAGAGGGCGGCGTCGGTCGACTGCACTGCCAAGGTGCGGGCGTCGAGAGTTTTGGCGCGCTTGCGAGCTGCCCCAGATGCGCCATTTGCACCGGGCGGAGCGAATGGCTTTCGCTTGGGGGCGTGGGAGGCCATGGCTGCTTGTTGAGTTGTGTGTCGAAGTTGCAAGTTAAAAAAGTTGCCGGGCTTGGCGCGTCATGATCGGCGGCCCACTATGAAGTATTTACATGTGCTCTTATGATTTAACTTTACTGTTTAATGGAGATATTAAATAGATCATTCTCATGACGAAAGGCTACCCGCATTATAAGTAGATAGTTCATATACGAATAGGTTACATATCCTTCCTCACATCACGACGGCCACATGGTCAGTCATATACTTCTTGATATCACCCAAGAAGCAAGCAGCCACGATTGAGATACCGCCGAACGCAATGCTAACATAGTACACCCACTTGTATCCTTCAGCGTATGCGAGCTGGCCAGCCTGCACAACCATCTGGTATGCAGTCTCGTTGCCAGCAATGCCAGGGACGTGGCGAATCTCGTCCAACAACGAGGCACCTGTCAGTTCGATTACTTCGCCAATTAACTTGACATCGGTGATGTTGAGCTCCTTCATCATTACTCCACCAATATAGTATGTTGCCTTGGGAACAAACTTGGAGATGAAGACATTGTAGTAGATGGTGTAGCCAATGCCGCCGCCCACTACACGAATAGAAAGGGTGAGTGCAGAGATAGTGGCAATAAGATCCTAGAAAGAGGTTAGTCTTGAGTTGACGGTGTTCTGTATGGATCCACATACATCAGGGCAAATGATGGTCGTGATAATTGAGGCTGGCACCACGATTCCTCCAATTCCGAGGCCGGCAAGGACGAGGATTCCCCAAAGTTGATACATATTGTCGACTCGACCGATAGACATGGCGCCACATCCTGGTAGTGAGAGAACATTAGCATCCTTTCATCCCAATATTGGAGTCCGTCGAACACTCACCTGCTGTCATCAGAATACTACTGATAATCAAAAGCTCTTTATTATGTCCTCGGAAGACACTAAGCAGAGCTAGCACAATGCACGCCCCAGCCATGATAGCGAAACCGATAGGAATACTGCGAACTCCAACCATCACAGGATCATGACCGTAGACGTTGAATGACTCCGTGGGCCAGAACATGAGCACGGAGAAGAAGTTTGCACCGGAAATAAAAGTAATGACGAGAGTCAGACCAAGAGTCCGGGGCTCTTGCTTCAGGCGAGATGGGAAGATAGGATATTTGGCTCCATAGATCTCCCAGAATCCAAATGCGACAAGCAAGAAGAATCCGATGACCAATGGCGCCAGGACATGGGCAGAGCTCCAGGGATACTAGAAAGAGTCAGTCGATTTAACATTCTCCATATTTTTTATCGAAGCATACCATGTATCCACCCCATTGCAAGCCGGCCAGGAAGACAATCAGGCCAGTGATACTGAGGAACCCACCAACAAAGTCGATGCGACCAATAATCTCCTTTCGGCTCATTCCAACTGAATTCACTCGTGGCGGAGGGAAATAGAAGAAGATAGTGACCAATAGACCAAAAGCACTCCACGCACCGCAGAACGCTCCGACATAGCGCCAATGGCTGTGGTATGCGATAAGCTGAGCCCACAAGACCGAAGGGCAAAATGGAACAATCGTAAAGATAAGAGCGGACACATAGACTCCTCTCTTACGAGTCGGGGCCATTTCAGAAGTAGCAGCTAGGGCAGTCAATTCGTTGACTCCAGCACCAGCGCCAGCAATAGCCATTCCCGCTACAAGGAATGTCAGAGTATGCAGCTGTAATGACAACGACGATACTAACCGATGAAATAGTTCATTGAGTGCACTGTGCTGCAGACAATCATGCCAATAACGATCAGGGATGCGCCGATGATTGCCACAGTTCGTCGGCCGATGAGATCAGACAGGGAGCCCACGAAAGGACATACACCAGCGAGACTGAGTAAGTTTGCAAGGACCTATAAAGAATGCTGTTAGTTGATTGTCTATAGTCTCCAGGACTATAGAACCTCCACATACAAACCAGATCCATCGATCCGCTCCACCAATGTCTCCATAGATATATGGGGGAATACCACCTATAAGGATATTAGATGGTGACTTCAGGCTCCACTGATTATCTCATACCAAACAAATAGACCGGGATTTGACTTCCAGTCCACAAGAAAGCCATAGCAACAAAGCCCATGAAGCGGCGGAAGGTCATCTAGCTACAGTTAGTACATCGCACCATAGATCACAACAACAAACTCCTACCGGTACATCCATCTCCGATTCATGCAATCCTTCCTCGGACCCTGGACTAGCCATTTCCTGGTGACTAAGACGTTGTTCAGAGTCGCTATTCTCCTGGTGCCGCACCACACCCTTCTCGTCGACAGGGGTCGAGTGATCGGTTAAGCCCGTCATAATGGGCAGATCTCAGAATAGAAATAAAAGATAGAGAGCCCTAGAATAAATAAAGAAACCCGGGGGATTGACGGGCCCACCGAATTAAGTATGTCAATTCCGACAGATCGAAAGTATGGGAAATGAACAGAGACTAAAGGACAGGTTGAGAATATATCCCAAGTTTCACAAACGAGTCATGACCGAATGTATCGGAAATGCCCGCTTCGGGAACGAATCGAGAGGCCAAAACAGAGCTTGTCGTGGACTAACGACAAGCCAACGGGCCAAGACTTGACAAGTTTAGCGATAGCCGGGGCAAGAATGCTTGAAATCCAGAAAATACCGAGGCAGCTTGGCAATTCGCGTCCAAATCTCCTCACATTGGGGCCGATTCGCCCCCCGGGAAGGGAAATGCGGGGGAGAAAACGTGGAGATGGGAAGTATACACTCGGGCCTCGATCCTTGTTTCGGGGGCCATGCCAGAAAGGGAACAGCCCCGAAACTGTAACATTGATGTGTTAAATCTAGTAGATATGTAAAATGCCAGTGTCCAGATAGCTCATGTAGATAGTGAATGTTCAACATGAGACCCCAATATGAAAGTCACAGTCTAAGCAAAGAAGCAAAGAAGCAAAGAAGCAAGAAGACGAGTCGAATACAGCGTAACACGGAAGCTTCCGCGTCACACGGTTACCCCGGATCCGTCATATCAAGTTATCCACGGCTCAAAAGTGGTCCCCGACTTTAGCGAGCTGCAGTTTCTTGGGGACAACGAAAAGACCCGTTGCCTCGACACAGAGTCGGCCTGCCATATCGCGGACTTCGCACTTGGCATAGCCCTTACTGTCCGTGCTCCGTTCCTGGTCTAGGGTTGTATGCAAGGTATAGAAATTGTCTGAGTAGACCGGAGCACGGTAGTTGAGGTTGAGGTTGGCTGTAAGACCAGTTCGCGCAGGGAAGTGCCGAATAGCTACTCGTCCCAAGTTCTCATCGATGACCGTGCCCAGCGCGCCGCCATGAACCATCGTTGGCCAGCCTTCCAGGCCCGGCCCAAGGAAGACCACGCTAACGATTTTCTTCTCTTTGTCATTCCAAAATACTTTCTGTCATGCAGGAAAAGAGTTAGATCAAACGGGATCCCGAGGTTCGGTAGTTGGAGAGATTCGGCATTTTCATGATAGGGCAACACTGCAGACGCCAACGAGGGCAACCAACCTGTAATCCTAGACCTCTGCTACCAGCCAAGGGGCCAGAAGTCAGCCGCTGTTCCTTATGGTCCTCCGAGAAGTTCTCGTAGACGTCCTTCTCCACATAATCTGGGTTGCGGCGCAGCTCCTGCACGATGGGCAGACCAATGTCGAACACGCGTTGTATTTCCTGAAGCTCCATTCGGTCCTCTACAGACCCTGGAGCTGGTGGCGCTGAGACTTTATCGTCCATCCATTTCCCTGCACCCACGCCAAGCGCTCCAAAAATTCCCGCATATATTAGACGGCGCGGCCACCGCGATGGTCGGGTAGAGGCATTGGGTGCGGTGCTGGACTTTCGGACCAATACTCGCCAAGAGGTTCGTGTTCGTGTCGTAGGTTGGCGCAGAGCCGGAAGGATGCGAGAATGGATCATTGTGATCACATTGCCCAGAGATGAGAATACATCCATCGGATCTTTGAGAGCCGAGGCTGAGGTCACGTGAGCCGGATACAATGTCATCTGTCTACAAACTACGGAGTCATGTTGTTACAAACTAAGTCAAAGGCAGTAATCGATTGGTCACAATAATGGCGTGGAGACGAGCATCACTCATGTTCATCGTTCTATTCATCTAGATAACATTTCAAAGCTTTAATATGAATAGATGCTTCAATCATACAACCTCGAATTACTCCGTAGGCAGATCAATAGCACGGTAAAGACAAATGAGAGCAGAGTGGGATTCACCTGGACATACAGTTAGTCATGTTTCATGCAGAAAATGTGATGTGTTTGACTCACCACCACCGGAAAGAGTCTCGATCTTCTGTGCCTCGACCTCGGTCACAGTATCGTCGTTGAACCACCACCACTTGTCATCCTCTTCGCGGCGCTTGCTGCCGGTCTGAGTATTGTCTTTGTTCTGCTTTTTGACATATGCCGTGTAGTGACCGCTGTCGGCGCTAGCACCCTGGTGGGTAATCACAGCACGAAGCTCGTACAGACCAGATTGGTTGGTTCCGCTGTCTCCAGAACTCTGTTGCTTGACCAGCTCTTGGAGTTCTTTCTTGGCGACGCGGATGGACTCCTCCTTCTCGGCTTCGTATTCGGCATCCGTCTTGAAAGTCTCCTCCATCTGGCTATCGCCATCCTTGTCTTTGGACTTAGACTTGCTCTCCTCGGCTGCCTTCTTCTTTTGCATGGGCTCCACACTCTCTCCCAGGTCAGTTTCCTTCTTCTGGCGCTCTTCACGCTCCACGGCAATTCTTTGGCGCTTCTGGGCGCGCTCAACATCCACTTCCTCCTTGCGGATCTCGCGAACCTTATCCCGAATTGGGATAAGCTGCTTGCGAAGATCGTCGGTGCAGAACTCCACCACATCCAACTCGGCTGGGAATGTAACCTTGCGCATAATCTTCGCCTTCTTCTGAGTCTCACGCTTCCAGAAGAAGCGGACAAAGTGCACCGTAAGGTACTTGGGTAGCCGGGCAATACGGGATCGCTTTTTGTACAGAGAGTTGGTACCCAAAAGAGGAGAGTTCTTTTCAATGTGCTCTTCCAAACCAGACAGGATTCCATCTTGCAAATGGTTGGTTTCCTTTCCAATATGACAATCAAGCTTGTAAAACACATCGGAACTTTGGCTTGGTTCCTCGCCGAGTTCTTTGGCGGCCGGGTCCTCGCATTCGGTGACGGATTCGAATTGTCCTGCAAGGTATTTGTCCACAAACGAGGTTTTCGTGACAGACTCTCCCTCACCTTCCGTAATGGTCAGCTTCGCTCTCAGTTGGTTGATAATTTGAGAAAAAGCTTCCTCGGCATCCTGCTGGGCGTATCCTTGTCCGTTTCGGTCACGTTGAGCGAACTGAGGGAAAACGGCCCGGAGGGCGTTGAGGAACATCAATGGAGGAATGCCTTCCTGGGTCTCGGACATCTGCTTGAACAGATCTCGTAGAGCAGCGGCCAAATCGCGCGAACCTCCCAGACCACCAAGACCAAAGCTACTGAGATCGGACAGACCTGAGCCGCCAGCTCCTGCAGTTGGACGATATCGAAGAAGCTCTTCTTGGAGCTCCGGGACACTCCGCAAAGCTTGTAGAGAAGAATTGAGGTAGCATGTGTTGCCCAGATTCTGCAAACCAGCCGGTGTAGCACCCTCCTGCTGGGCCAGGTCCGCCTCGGTCATATCCTCCAAGAACTTGACAGTCTCCTTCGGCCGACCGAGGTCAGCGGAACCCTGGCCTCCGGATGGTGTGCCCATCATCATGAATATCTGCCCGGGTTTGGCGTTGAGAGAGGAAAGTGGAGTATCATCCTTGAGCTGGCCACCCTTGATCAAGACCTTTTGACGGTCGGGTTCCACACCGGTCAGGGAGAATAGCTGGTACTTGAGGGTTTCGCCGTTGGACGTTGGATCGAGCTCGACTTCGTGGCGCTTGCCGGCATGTTTAACAATGACTAGATTCTGTCAGTGACCGTCGGGAAACATAAACTCATCCAGACTTACTCGGTATAGCCGCCATATTGGATAAAATTGAGCGATAACGTTTGAAGAATAGAGAGCTTGAAAGAGCTGAAGGGTAAACAGCGAGAGGCAAGGAAGCGTGGGGGGCAATGCAAACTGCCCAAACATCATCATCACCGCCCACTCGGACGTCAACCTCCCCCTCTGCCTAGACACTCTGTTCTCTTCGTACTCTACGTTCACTCTTCAATTGTTCAGGTCATTTTCCCTTGAATACCTGTCTCCGCATTCATCTACACGAACTCCGCTACTTCGGTCCGTTATTTCAGTGCCTGTTGGGGGCCTAAACTATCCGCGAGCTACCCTTCTTACTGCCTCTGAAAGCTATCAATTGCCCTCCACCATGGTGAGTCCTGTGCCACCGAGATATGTTATTCTGTAACTGACAATATCTCAGTCGCAAAGCTTGAGGCCATATCTGCAGGCCTGTCGTTCCTCCCTGACGGCCGCTCTTGCGATCTCCAACTTCGCATCCCAAACATCGGAACGCCGTATGTCTAGATCATGACACACACAGGCGGATATACATACTGACCGTACTGTTTAAAGACAATGTGCCTGAAATTGAAGCCCAGAGCAGCCCTGAGGTCTTGCTGAACCCATTGACCATCTCGCGCAACGAGAACGAGCGAATGCTTGTCGAACCGAGTGTGAACAGTGTCAGAGTCAGTCTGAGGATTAAGCAGGCGGATGAGATCGAACACATTCTGGGTAATATTGGAAATCACCTGTACGCGAAGTATGTTCGCTGACCTTCCCCAGTTCACAAGTTCACTCGTTTCTTGACCCAACGAGCCGAGTCATTCTTCATCTTGCGCAGGAAGCCAGTCGAGGTAAATTGCACTGATATATTAAAACGGTCCAAAGCTAACTCTTTCAGGGCTATGATATCTCTTTCCTCATAACCAACACCCATGTTGAGATGTTGCTCAAGCATAAATTAGTGGACTTCGTCATCCAGTTCATGGAAGAGGTGGACAAGGAGATCTCGGAGATGAAGCTCTTCTTGAACGCGCGTGCTCGATTCGTTGCCGAGTCTTTCCTGACACCGGTATGTTTGCATTGGACGGCCGCTATTGACGATTTACTGACGAAGACCCAGTTCGATTAAATTCCCTAGCGTTTTCTTGTTGCTGGCTCCGAATAATGAATGACCTTGTGTTTCCTTTCTTTTCCTGTACAGATAGCACAGGCTTGCAATGATTCAGAGAAGCTTTTACTGATGCCCATCCCCCATACTTTGTGAGCCAGTGTATGGGAGAGATATTAGAGTAATAGAGCCACTTGTCAAGTGGATTAGGAGACTGAAATTCTCTACAGGTAAGGGAAAATAGGTTGGTATGGTGATCATGTCTGCCAGAAAAACAACGTGGTAATATATTCATTGCACCCGTTGGAGTTTCGGAGCGTAACATATTAGAGGGTACAGCATGAGGGGACAGTATCATGCTCATAGATGCAGCCCACGGGGAACACAAAGCTGGACAATCCCCAGGTTATATTCGTATACATGTAGCAGGGCTGAGCCTGAAGACCTATCAAGCTTACAAGTATGACTTTATTGCTGCACGAAATTGGCTCCAAGGTGAGTTCAATGGTTTCATAGCCTAGGAGGGCCCTAAGATGCTGCCGCACAGGTACTATGGATGAGTTAAGGTCTCACAATTTCAAGGCATTTTGGGGGGGGGGGGGGATGTTTCTGGACTCGCAGGAATAAAGCGCATCCGAGATTGTTATGTAATGGAAGCTCAGCCAGTTCTCTACAATTGCCATCAAAAACTAATGCAATTGAGCAAGAATTGGCTGAGTTTTGGCATAAGAACGGTGAGGGTGTGGCTGGTGTGGCGCAGGCCCAATAGGACGTGCGCGGAACACAGCGGCGTGGTAATTTCCGCTTTCTGGGTTGCGGTGCGTGGCGCTACGCCCTGGAGGTGTTTATCTCGGGTTTACGCCTTCCACTGGGCCGATTTACGCCGTTTAAATTGTACTATATGTAGAGAATATAGATATATCCAATCTCTGAGAGATTCATGCGGGTCGAATATTTGGGGATGGTATAATTTCAGTTTCACGCTCTGATGGAAGCATGAGGGCTGTGGCTCAATACCTCATGTTGGCGGAACTTCGATCGTCTCTCGCCCTCGATTCCCCGCACCGCCACACCACCTTACTGCCACGCCGCACCGCCACAATATACTTCGAATCCCAAACCCTAGCTACAGCTACGAAGTATGTGGTTTATCTGGATCCTTTCGTTCATCATTGAATGGCTTCGGGCAGCCTTACGTCTGAGGATTTACCAAGATAATTTCTCCAACAATGAGCAAGAAAATGAGCCGGATATTGAGGTATGTTCAAAATACACTTACAGGCACACATTATCTCCCTACAGGAGTATACGCTAAAAATGGTCTATTTCAGGCATCTCATACTAGCAACTGCTGCTGTGCACTATTTCAATGTTTGCGCTTTAGCGGAGGGCATGAGATTGAAGAAGAACACCAATTGTTGAATGCCCAGGAGCTGCACATTTTGCACTGGAGAACCGAGCCTCGCTCTCCGGTCAAGGTTTTGGCTCGCTTTGGAGGGGATGGAGCAGAAGAGGAAGAACTATTGTTTTCCAACTTGGAAAGGATTATTGATTTGACTGCATGGGACCTTATCTCTGAGGATTCTCAATCAAGGTATCCCCTCCTCTATCGCTTTTCCCCCTCCACCCAACTTCCCTTCTCTTCCGATCTTTTCTCTCTCCAACTCCATCTCTTCTTAGTCCACTCCCTCAACTCCCTCCACTCTTGTTCCCAACCCCCGTTCCCGTTCCCCTTACCCAAGCCCCGCTCTATCACGTCTCTGGTGTCTTCCGCATTGTGGCCAGCTGCTAAACATGGCGTGGCCTTGCCATGGTGGGGAAGATGTCCCTGACATGCAGGACTTGACACTTCTTCAAAGGTCCTCAATCTACGATCTTCTTAAGGGTGCCCAAATCCCCTTCATTGCTACCGTGGACGTGGTCAAGCCGTCTCCTTTCGGTGTTGTCCTGGTCTCCAACGTAAGTGACTTTTCTAGCCGGCGCCCAGCTGTTGTTGTCTGGTCATTTTTGTTTGCTAAAAATCATACCCAGATCCCGTACGGTGTCACCCGCGAGGAGGCTACCCACTTCCTAGGATCTGACTATCAGTATCTCGCAAACCACAATGGTGCCTGTCCCATCCATATCATGATGGAGCGTTCCACTGGCAAGACCATGGATTGCTACTTTGAATTTATCACTCAGGAACTTGCTGAAAGGGTAGCTGCCCGCCTTAGGGTTGCTTATGATGCTCGCAGTGCTCCCAAAATGGGTAGTCGCCACGTCGAGGTTGAGCTCAGCAGCCAGAACGCCCTGCTCAAGGCCTTGTTTCCTCTGGCTAAGTGTGTCACATGGGAAAATGGCTCTCCTGTTCTGCTGGAAAATGTCGATAAATGGTCGACCGGTTTTGATGGCTTCCTCACTGACGAGGAGCTTTTTTGCCTTGGTCGTCATTCGGACGCACCTCACCGGGTATGTCTTCCCTTTCTCGGGTAAACCGTCATTCAAGGTATCTAACATGTTGCAGAGTGCATTTGCAAGCAAAGTTCCCCAGCGATGCTATGAATCCATCATCACCACTATCTGGAAGGTGAGAGCGCTTGGCTTTTCCCGTTCCCGTTCCCGTTTGTGCTGTATCGTGCTAACCCTGTTGTCTTACATTATAGTTCCCATGGTATGCAACCGGCATGTACACTATTCACACTCGCAATCAGGTCTTTGATCTCCTAAAGAAGATGGTCGACAATCTTCGGAATCACTTGCAAAGGACCACCCGCACCGTGGGTCTTGACCAACGCCTGCTCCGTGAACTTGCCTGGTGTGGAGTTCTTTGCCCTGGTTTCAACCCACGCCAGAAGTATTCCATTGCTTACAAATCTGGCTTGGACGAATTCGACAACGTTCTGGATCACGACTGGTGCCTTTACTTTTCTTTCGACACTTTGAACTACGCGGATGATCACCCACTGCAGGTTTATCAGGTATGAATATGGCTGCAGGACTGACTTGTGGGCAATGCTAATTCCCTGAGCCTATAGTCCTATGCCTTCTTGGTATCCAAGGGTTCTGTCAGCAGCACCGAGGTGGCAGGCTTGCATAACCGCCACACACATCCGAAAACCCGCAGACTGTTTGGAAGGTACTTTTTCCAATGGGAGGACGAACCTTGCAAGAACATACTTTTCAAAGATGCGATTGACTACGAGATGTGCATCCTTCGCCAATTTATCATTACTGGATTTAGGGACTACCACGAAATCCCACGTCATGACAGCGACTATTCGATTGGTGCGCCTCCTGATTCTCCAACAGCCAGCGAAAGATCCATTGACAGCCAGCGAACGATTTCTGCCCTCCCTCCCACTGCCCTGGCTCACCCTGCTTCAGCTAACCGCGAGCTCATACCCATCCCTGCTCCAGCTCGTTCTCGGCGTCAACTCTCCCTTGGACAAGCTATTTTTGATCAGGGGACCCCATTTTCTCCTGAACATACCGTTGAGAGTGGAAACTCGCAGACTCGCTCCCAACGTCAAGCGTCCTCGCCCGATGCTCGTTTTAGTCTTCATTTGATCTCATCTGGTCACCAGCAGGCCAGCGAGAGTGGAAGCTTGCAGCGTCGCCCTCGACGCCATATGTCCTCACCTGAACAGGCCCGTATCATTGATGAATGGGACCCACCTATCCCTAAGCAACTCACCGACAGCGAAAGCTCGCAGATTGATGACGATGGTTCTTCTAGTTTGTCTCCACCTTCTACGCCTCGACCGGCTCCCGCTACACTAAACTACACGGATGCCAATTTCCGACGACCTACTTCACCCAAGCAGACTCGTTTCACTCGGCAGTCGATGCGTCTCTCTAAGCAGCTCGACGATGAGGTGATCTCTGATTCCTTTGATAGCATGTCCGAGCCTCATATGTCCAAGTATCAAAACCGCGCTGAATTCGATCGGGAGTGGCGTTTTCCCTATGAAAAAGGAGCTCCTAACATTCCACCACCAAGTGCCATCCCTATGCACCGTGCGATGCAGCGTCCTCAGGGACCTGAGCAGGCTCAGCAAGCTCAGGCCCCGCCAATTCCTCTCTACCGCACCCCGCATCACCGTGCAACGAGCTCAACATACAGTCAGGCCCCAACTTACCATGTTCCGCATGCTACCGCACAGAATATCCGTTCGCACTCTGACCCCTTTGCTCCTGGTCCCTATGAGGCATCTAGCAGCCGTTCTCGATCTGACATACCTTCTGAGATCCCCCTATCAACACGCCTTTCTTCGATAGCGTGCGTCAGGGCCAGCGCGAGCGATACGAGCACCACGAGTATGGTGCCTGCAACTGATCGATATGGCTTTTCTTGAGCCCATCTCCTCTCCCGAGGAATAAATCTGGTTTGTTCGGCACGGTAACAGTCTCAACGTTTCCGTCTGGTTTTTTACTTCTTGGCTCTTTCCCCCGGCTCCCGCCGGTTTCCCCTGGTTCCTTCTTGCCTCAGGTTCCCTGCTTTTGACGATACCCCCGGTTTCGACAATTCTCTGATTTATTTCTACCCTAATTCCCCTGTTTTTGACGAGTGGAGACGTCCGCAGACTGACAACAAATCTTCTCTTCACATGGATACAAACATATGGAAAACAACAAAGACCAAAAACACGCAGAAAACCCAAAAAAGTCCTTGCACCTGGGGTTGTTGAATCTATGGTTACGACGGCATCCCGTCGAGTAAATCTGGGAGTGCTGAGTCCACGATACAGCGGTACCTCAATTGCAAGACATGGTTGATAATTTCCCTTTTCCCGGTCTCAAATGATCATTTTTACCCTTTTGTTTCATCGCAGGATTCAGTCTAAACTGACTAATATGAAGTTGTTGGGAGATGTCGCCCCGGAGAGGTTCTTCATGATACCTGGCGCCGGCCGCTTGACCAAGGACACCGAACCACCAGCAAGGCATGGTCTTGAATAGCAATAAGACAGTTTATGTCAATCTTCTTCTTGCGTGGCTTTCTTTGTAGTCCTTGTTTCGTAGGGCATGACGGGTATGCAGGGCAATATGCATAAACAATCAGAGACCCGTGCTACATTCTTCTTTATGTTCTGGAACTGTAGGCTTCCTCGTGAAGCACATTTGTTGTTTGAGAATGCATCTAGACTCTGCGTTGACCTTATTACTTGATTTCCGCTGACTCTTGATCTACCTAGGACCCGTCATACAGGCAACGGGTTGCTTCTTACGATGCGTCGGCAAAAGCCCTCTCGTGACAATCGAGATACGTCTGCAGAAACCCATGACACAGCCTCGGTCCCAGATATAAGGCATCAGAAGAGATATCACTGAGCCATTCTCCAAGGCAGTAGCTCAACCCGGACAATACGAGAACAGAAGCAACAGGAACTGGATCACTGTTGCTTTCCAGGCATCGAAGCTCACATTCGCACTTGACGAGCTCTCCACGCAGATAGTGGGAAGAGAGACTGGCTATCAGTGAGTGTGGGTATTCATGAGGTACCAGAATCAGAAGTTATTGAGACAGAAGCTATTGAGGTTCACGGGCATTGCTTTGATCCAACAGCATCATTGAGACATGGCCGACGGTCAACGCCTGTTACAGAATATGTCACTATTCCATCCCAAAGCCCTCCCGAGAACACCATACAATCCAGATTGAAGCGTGTCGATACTTTCCGTTGTCCTATTTGGCGATTTGTTGTGCCGCGACATCCATTCAAAGAGAAAAGCTCGTAGAACAACATACCGGGGCTGGTCTATGTGTTTTGAGCGCACCCAGTGACATCTGGGAGTGATTGAGCTATCATTTTACCAGGGGACATTTTCCACGAGTTGCGATACCACTTCTCTCGTCCAGATATCTTTTTTGCGGCGTCGATGAGCTTTTGCGACCATATAACAATACATGTTCTGTGACATACAGCATTGCGACCGAGTGATAACTAAAGTGCGCTTATACTATTTCGTTACATATCGAATTCTAGGTTTCGAATTGTCCTTGCTGAACAATCGAGCAGAAGACCGGCATACTTAGGGGTTTGGGAAGTTCTGTGTGTAAGAGGTCTACATGTCTGAAAGGTCAAGATGAGGCCCACTATAAATCCTCCACGACGATATGCGATGTTCTTCAGTGAAAAGTGACTCAAATGACAAAGAGGTGAATCTAAAGTTGCGGCAAAGGGTTTCGGACAAAAAGCGGAGCCGTTTATTACGCAAAGCCGGTTTTAGGCCCCTTGGGTATTTATTACTTCTACTCCGTACACTACACTTCTACACTTCTACATCTTTCTGCTTACTTTGCCTTTTTTTTGTAGGAAATTCCGATTTTTGAAAATTCTTGCTCTACGCGAATTGCAGGAAATAAAAAATAAAAAAGGCTTTTCAAAGGTCAGTGTTCAGCTGTTTAGGAATGCCTCCCTCGTCTCGGCCTGTTACCGCGTCGCCTGAAGCGCCTGTGGCGCCAAAGCGACGCGCTTCAGCTCGACTTTCCGCCGTGGGACCAGAGGTCAAACGGGTCAGGTCGAACGTCGACCTGCCCAACCGCAGGGCTAAATCCACGACGAAGAAGAGCAAGTACTTCGAACCGGAAAGCTCTGACGAACCTAGTCTCGAGTCCGATGACTCGCAGGGCGCCACCTCTGGCTCCGCGTACGAAGAAGGAAAGGAATCTTCCTCAGAGGCAGAGCGGGAGGAGCCTTCCGAGAGCGAGGAAGACACCAAACCAAAGGCCGGCCCCAAGGGTGGCCCGCGACAAAGCGCCAGTAGCGCAAAGGGCCAAGAGCTTTGGCGCGAGGGCGTCAGGGCCGGCCTGGGACCCGGAAAGGAAGTTATCATCGCAAAGCCCAAGGCGCGAGACGCGGGAAATACCCCATACAAGGATGAGACACTGCACCCCAACACCAAGCTGTTCCTGATCGACCTGGCGGAGAACAATGAACGCGAATGGATGAAGGGTAAGTGGGAAACATCACTTGCGAGTATGGAGTGGCTGGCTGACTCTGCGCAGCGCACGATCCGGACTACCGCGCGGCAAAGAAGGACTTTGAGACATTCGTTGAGACTCTCACATCCAAGATATCGGAGGTGGATGCCACCGTCCCCGAACTTCCTGCAAAGGACCTGGTAAGCACACACCCATGTCACCTATATCACCCACATTTATCCTTGACAGGCCCCTCACTGATGTTCCTAGATATTCCGCATCCACAGGGATGTTCGCTTCAGCAAGAACCCACTTCCATACAAGGTATGTATTGTGTTCCCTCCCCGGGTTCCAGGTTCCTGTTGCGTGTGACGAATGTGCTTGTGTGACTGTGATATTCATTAGCGGCGCTTATGCTGACACGAGTGACCAGACCCATTTCTCTGCAGCTTGGTAAGTATCGACGGTTATGTCTGGAGAGAGTCCACTGAACGTCATGCAGGTCTCGCACTGGTAAGAAGGGCCCATACGCCGCATACTATGTGCACTTCCAGCCTGGCTCTTGTTTTATCGGTACATCTGACCCTTCTTTTTCCTCTTGTTCCGTTATGATAACCCAACCGGCTCACCGTTCTGTGTACAGGCTGTGGTCTGTGGCACCCAGAGGCAGAGCCGCTTGCTCTGCTCCGAGAGGACATCGACGAGCATGCGGACCGCTGGAAGGAGGTACTCCGGGAGCCCGAGCTGCGCCGCGAGTTTCTGAAGGGAGCATCCGATGATGACGACGCGGTTGTGAATGCCTTTACGCATCACAATAGGGAATCTGCTCTCAAGGTCAAGCCCAAGGTATGAAGCTCTCTGTGTCTACCCCCTGATGGTCTCTCCATCGAGACCTTACTTCTCCTGCCACTTCCCCTTCGCTTATCACAGTTGCACTGTCAACTGGTGATGCCCAGTGATGCCTTTGTACCAACCAAGACAGACGGTCATGGGCGGATCGTAGGGTTCGCCATCGAGGGTCGCGTGCATCCTCCGACCGGTGGCTCATCGATCTGGAATCTACTTCCATCTCGATCAACGAGTAACATGAGGGCAATGACTCGATGAGATCATAGAGATTGGAGTGGTCTCCCGATCTGCCCACTGTTTGGACTGCCTGTACGCGTCCATGGCTGAGACCCGGACCATCCTCTCTGAACCAAACTCAAGAAATTGAGTATGGAGGTTCTTCTCACTGTGAATACATATTGAGGATCAATTTGCCCCCTTTTTCAACGCGTTCGGATAAATGGACCGGGAAGGGTTACGCCGTCGTTGGTTCCATGGTTCACATCGGCGCCAGGCTCCACGTTCCAGGGTTCACTGCTGACAAACAATTAGGGCTACGACGTGAACAATGCGAACATCAAGTTGCTACGTCTACGCAGTTTTACGATGGGAAAGCCTATGGCTGATGAGGATCTGGCTGGTTCGGATGCCCAGGAGAAGATAGCAGCCTTGGTGGCTATCATGGAGCCTTTCGTAAGATCATTCCAATTTTGCCCCCCCTCTCGACTAGTCGGTTTTCCCTTCTGAGCTAGCCACTTCGGCCGTGTCCGTCCCTTTTTATCCACCGAATCACGCTTCATAGCCCGCCCTTTTTGATTTTCCCTGGACTGTGTGTGCTGACCGCTTCTCTTCATGACAGGTGACGTATCTGAACAGTATTGTTATGCCCGATCAGTAATATGATTGGGGCCGGGAGGGGGAAAGAGATCTGACTTTTTCCCTTTTTCTGTTGGGGGGGAACAGTCTGCATTGTGTTACCTGTCAGTTTTCACCTTTTTTGTACGGATTACGAAGTATGGGCTCAGGATTTTTTGTCTCTCTGAGACGTGAAACCGGATCCCCATCGACGCCTCCTGCACACGGCCTTTCTTGGGTCCGTCCCCGCCACCATTCCTGGTACTGCAGACCTGAAAGAGGGCCCTTGGGCAAGTGAATTGTCACTGCACCTGCATTACATCCAGCTACTGCACACTGCATTGTCCACAGAGTAACAAGGGTTCAGATTGGATCCTTTGCGCGTCCTTTCCTTGCCTTGCATTTGTCCTTTTCCCCTCTCCCTGCCTGTACCCGCCCAAAGCCGTCTCAACTTACAGTTTACAATTTGCATTTACCCTTTTTACAATCTCGAGTCCAGAACGCCAAAAATATTCTCTAATTAAATCCCTGACGCGCATTATATCGCCACCGCACGCGGCCGCCTTCGGCCCGTTGTCGGGCATGCCCGCTAGACTAACCTTGGGAATCTGTGGATTAAGGCCCGGGTCTACTCCGCCAGTCCCAGATTGTGGTTTTTGAGAGCACCTTCCTGGTCTGGAATGGACTGCATTTATTTGACTGGTTGCGTATTTGTATCGTTTCGGTTGTATAAGAGTTGGGCATATATTCGTACTGTAGGTCCGGTATCAGGCAGTCCATGATCGTTACATTGTGACTTTACATGTATAACTTGACTTTATTTTCCGTATTTTGGTCAAAATTGAGCATTGGCCTACTTAATAATTCCTGGAATATATATTACAGATCTTGGTCTGTGTTAAGATCGCCGTTGCCGTCGGAAGCTCAGCCCCGAAGATCTAGGATCATAGTTTCCCTTGAAAAAAGTACTAAATGTATGGTACATTAATTTTGATTATCTATTTCCTGCCGAACGGGGAACCTGAATTATATTCCTGGTGGTATTTTTGATACAGGTCGAGCGAGAGACTCGAAACATTCTACCACTCCACCTTGGTCATTGCACCATAATGTGATCGGATTCGGTTACAACTTGATATGAGAATAAACCCTGTATTTTATGGGCAGTTTGACACACAATGTGTTTGCATTCAAGGTTGAAATGGTAGAGGCGAGACTGCCAGAGTTTCATCAGACCCAGTAGCAATATAGCACAATCTCAGCATTGGAGACCTGAAACGTCTTCTTCTCCAAGTAAACACACATACTTTGGGGATCTAAACCTTCTTTTCATTATGAAGAATAATATTTCTCGCTATTCTCTAGGATCGCTCATTAAGAACCGAGCACCGAGCTACAGTGCATGTGAAGGGACGATCCTGATCTACATTCTTGAATAATATCTACTCCACATACTTTCCGTCGTCGATATAAAGCTAAATAAAAGACAAGCATGAATCAGGGCAAGAGTTATCACATGTTATGATTTGTCTTGTTTGCTACCCAACACCAGTAAATCCTTAACAGGCATCATGTTTGTTTTGAATGACCAACAGCCGAATCTGGGGACCAACCAGCGCTAAGTGCGCGTGATCAGCATTGAAAGCTACAGTAGACTCAGTTTCAAAGCCGTCTCCAAATAGTCGAGTTAGGTTGATGATACCGGTGCCCTAGATGCACGTACAGTATGCACATCACACGGATATGACGCCCAGACCGGGGCGGTTTGAAATCGACAAAGTCAAAAGGAACACCCAAAAAAGCAAAAAGAAAATGTGCTGCAATTAAGCCTCCGATAGATCTAATGTGTCAAAGATGTCACTAGCTCCACGCAAGATCCCGAGCGACCAGTTGCCGAGCAGCGTCCGTAAAAAGCAAGGTGAGATCGACTCGCTTTGTCTCCCGAATGGCGCCCCCGAATAGAGTTGGCAAGGCCCAGCTGCAGCTGCAGCACAGCCTGGTGTCACCTGTGTGACGAGGCACCGACCGGGGAGAGCACCAATGGGAGACATTCACTAGGCGAACTACGTGCATACAACAAACCACCCTCAGAGGAAAAGCAGAAGAACAAAGGTAGAAAAGAAAGTTTCTAGGCTCGGCTAATAACGAGTCCTATTGCGTACAGTAGCCCAGGATCAGGTAGTCATCAGGCATCTCTCATCACACGACCTGCAAGCCGTTCAACCGGTTCGTGTACACCGACTCAAGCACTGCCTCATTCCGGCTCGGTGCAGAAACCCTCCAGGTTTTAGAATTTTTAATTTTTTAATAATAATATTTTCCTCGCCACGTCAGATCCTGACTAGCACAGACCTTTTACATAGGCTGTTCCCGTGACCGTAGATGCATGCGGGCTGCGCCTATTAGTGCCCGACCCGTCTCCATCCCTGCTGATAGACGCGCTCCCGTGTGGGTAAAGGAGGGGTATGGCCTCACGATGAAATTCTTGAAAAGAAAGAGAGAAATTACCTAGAGCTGCAAGTCGGAAACAAGATTACATGAGACCAAGTAATAAAAAAAGAACAAAAGTCTCAGAAATGACCCGGTCGGAAATAGCGTTGGGTCCTTCGAAACAGGCGCTCAGTCCTTTCCTAGTTTTGAGGAAGACTAGCGCGTCCCCAGGACAAACGGCATCGAGTGGCCAGCAGCTTTGGATCGAGTGGGTCTGGAGATTCCGGAGAGGGTACGCTAAGAGAGCTAAGTCAAGCTGAACCGGCCACGCCAGAGAGTGGGGAGCGGAAAGACGCGGACGGCAATGCACTCGATTGGGTTCGAAAAACGTGGCCTGAAAGGGTAGTGTACAGTAGCGTGAAATTAGTGTATAAACTTGTAGGGGTGCAGGGATGTACTCCGTGTACTAAATGTGTACTATAAAAACGAAAGTCATACTGTAGGGCTAACATGCCACTACAGGAGACGCCAATATTTTACACTGCCACACTGCCCATAAAATACGAGTGGTATGGCCACATACCAGATGGCCATGCATAGATCGGCGGGAAGGCCGGAGCGGCCCGTGGGACAACCCCGAGTGTACTGTTACTGTATTCAGTACGAAGACCTCGGGATTGGCGACGGTCCACTAAATCCCGTACAACGTGGTTGTGGCTCCTAGGAACCCCCCCCTGTCAGCGCTGCGCTAATGCAGGTTACCTTGGCTCATGGGCTTTCCGGATCCAGTGCTACAGCCCTGGGAACTTAGGGCACTCCACCCCCTCTTCTGCCTGGATTCTTTTTTCCTTACTGGCTCCGCTCTTTTGCTTCGGCATGGGATTTCGTATCGGAAATGAGTGGCGAGTGGCCCAACTGAACCCCACTCTTTCAGCTGAAGTCTGATCGCCACACCCGAGGGACATTCACCGCTTGATTTCTCAAATCAAAACTAGACAAAACCTGATATACATGCAGACGCCCCGACCCGAGCCCATGTATCGCGGGGCCGGATGCGGTTGTGCGACTACGGTCCGAGGCGGTCCATAGTTACGCGAGAAAGAAGCGGTCGCCGTTCTCGGGTTCCTCACCGAAGACTGGTACCCTAAGAGAACCATGGTTCATTAATTACCCACAGTTATTCACCTCATACTGTACACTGTATACACACTATACACGGTACTGTCAGACTGGGTACTGGCGCCTCCCGTCTCCACTTCTAAAATCCCTGGCTTTTTAGGGGCTTTTCCAATCAAAAAATTCCCTTTCTTATAATTCTTGCTCACGTCATAATCGCCGAGGCTCTTCTCTTTTCTTTTTTTCTTCTTTTCTTCTTTTCCACCTTATTTCCTTTTTCCTCTTGCCTATTCTGGTTCCCCCCCCCCCTGGGAACGCGCTATGCTCGCTTTGCCCGAGTGAATATCCCCCTTTCATCCCTGTACTCACCTTCTCTTTCAACCATGTCGGGCCCCAACGACAAGCGGGAGGATCCGAATCGTCAGGATCCCCGCTGGAATCAGGACGAGCAGGCTCCCTATGTACGTGATGTGCTGACCGGGCTTTTGTGCTTTTGTGCTGATTAAAGAAAAGTATCCCCCGACCTCTTATCCTCCACCAGACGAACAACAACGTCCCTATCCGTACCCGCCTCAATACGCGCCTCCTGCCTACCAGTATCCAGGATATCAGGCGCAGTATCCAACTTCACAGTATCCGCCTCCACCCAACATGGCGGCCATTCACGGACAAGATCCCTACCGCCTGCCTCCGCCGCCTGGTGCCTACCGTGGAGATCCTTATGCGCCCCCTCCAGCACCTCAAGGCCCGTACCAAGCAGCAGCTCCTCGCCAGCGAACCGCCATTGCATGCCGATACTGTCGGCGTCGGAAGGTATGGGGGATTGGGTTGTTTAGGGAAATGATCGCGCGCTGATTCCAACCTAGATTCGTTGCTCGGGATTCGACACCTCAGCAGATGGACGGTGCAGCAACTGTGTTCGATTCAACCAAGATTGCATGTTCACCCCAGTCTCGTCGCAAACCCAGGCCTTTGTGCCCGCGCACGCCGCCTACCCTCATCTACGAAATGGACCGGCACCCGGTGTAGGGGGACGACAACCTGTCCTGTACGGCGCCCACGGGCAGCCACTGCCACCTCAGCAGCAGCCGCAGGGCCCCGAGACCACCCTTCCGCCGCCCCAAGGGATGTACTATCAGAACGGACGACCCCCATCGATGGTGCCCCGCCGCCCCTTGCGTCAGGTATGCCCGATCCGGTAAGGCCACCATTCCCTATCTAGCGCGAGAAGAAGGGCCTGATCTAACGATGCCACAGCGACACCGCCGAGGCTCGAACGGAGGATTCGAGTACCCTGATCCTACCAATTTGGCACCCGTGACTCCCGCTGGCTCCGCGCCCGGATACCAAACTCACACCACGCCGAGCCCTTACAACTATCCCCCTCCACCGGTGCACGATCGACGCACTTCACCGCAGTCGGCATATGCATATGATGCCCGCCACTCGTCCTCGCCGCACGGATCGCCCTTCCCACCCATGCAGCCTCACCAGGCACCTGTGACAACTCACTCGGCTGCCCCTCCGAGCAGTGCTCCCCCTCAGTCCAGCGCAACCCCTCAGCCAGGCGGTGTGACCCCACCCCCTACCTCTACACCTGGGGGCTCGCAGCGAGGCGGATTGAATGTGCGCGATATGCTCAATCCCGGTGATTCCCAGGGCCGATCCAGCACCGACAGCGACATGCTCAATGCACTGAACCGCCGCGGCCCGCAATAGCCATTTCTACGCGATCAATTCTAGGAAACTAGGGCGCAAAGAATGCGATTACGAGAGCGGTGGGGAAATAGTGTTCAATGGAATGAGATCGTGTGCTGGCCACACGGTCTGAGAGCCAGGTGTTGAGTGTTTGGAATTGAAAGGAAACATCTGTGGTTTTGTCGGACATTTGAGCTTGACGATCCATATTCGAAAATGGAACCCGAGCTTTCCCGATCTAATGAGACAGTCGGAGCAAGGGGATACTCGAGATACATTCCAGACGATTCCGAGCACGCAGGACGATTGAACGCGACAGCAACGTCACTCTCCGATCCGTTATGAGACCACCATACGCGAACCCACGAGCTTCACGAGCAACCTGAGAACTTGATACCAAGACTTCCAGACTCTTGGGCTCTGGTATTATTGGCATACGAATTTTTATTTCTATATCTTTTTTTTTCCCTTTTTCTTCCGTCATTATCGTTCGATATCTGTTTAATTGCAGATCCAATTGGGTCTGCGAGGGGGTTCGATCTCATGTTTGGCTTCCCCCTGGATGCTCGCATGCCGTTCAACTCGAATTCCGAATTCACCCTCTCTCCGTCATCATCTTGGCATACATTTCCAGTATGACAAAACATCGCGTGTTTTCCAATTTCGGGTGGCTATTTGAGATCTTTGCATGCGTTCGGTTTCCATCCGCGTTTTCGCACTTGCACTATTATCGGCTTTTTTTATTGCTTTTCTCCCTATCTATCTTACATCGGGAAGGCATTCGTCTGTTTGAGGATGTATGTTTGGCCATCTGTTTCTTCGCGCGAGCGTCTAGAAGACCGGGGTCGGCTGTGTCATCATTTCTCCCTTGATTGTGATTTTGCACTGGGCCTGTTCTGATCTTTTTTTTTTTCCTGAGTATTTCTTTTTCTCTTTCCCTTACTCTTGACTGTCTTTTTCATTTTCCGTCTATCAAATGTCTGCTTATAGTTATATCCGGGAGGCTGTCTGATCAATCTTTCTGCTATTCAGTTATTGCATGTTTCTTGCCCGCTCTTGTTCCTGCTACTACTGTTACCGTTACGTGTTCCATGTTTCTATCGTTTGGACCTGTGTCCCTGAGCGCTTTCTGATGAAATTCCATTATGCGACTTATATCGATATTGATACGTCTTCTATTCGCTTTCGAGTCCGACTCGGATCTCGAATCTCGGATCTTAGGAGTTCTTCCCTTAGCGCGTCTTACATATGGGTATTAATTTTTTCGTGCAATTCCCTTGCTCGTCTATTAATCGCTTTTTTCTCTCTGAGAATGCAAAGTTACATGGGCCCAATGGCTCTAGCTCTGGCCCTGGCTTCGGGATTAGACTGGACTGTGTGGCTTGCTGCATCCTGCGAGGGAGGCAGCTGCATAATGGAAGTCAAGTGTCGCATTCAATACATGTCCATTAGTGGAGAATCTGTGCTGCGTCTAGATTGCCGAAGATCTGCAGCTGCGCCTGCATTTGTGTAGCCAAACCATACGCTTGGGCTGGTCGTCAGGACAGCCACGTGACAAGCCTTAACTTCTGAGGATCCGTAGAATGCGTTGCGGTAAGGTGATGCAGTTGGAAAGTGATTTGGATGGCTACTATAGCTATCGAATTGAATCTACTACATGCAAGTAAGACTTTGATCAACAACTTTCAGTTTAGTTGTCACGTTCATTTTGTTACAGAGAAGGAGAAAGAGGGTTGGTTGGGGGCTAAACCGGGTGCCATCGAAGCTATCTTCCTCTCAAGCATTATGCATTACTAGTCCAGTGTCTTAGATACAAGTATAAGAAGCAAGGAAAGGAAGCAAGAAGTGACTATGCTGGAATTGAGATGATTAAGAAAATCAGTAAGACCAACAGAACTAGATACTTAACAAAAAGAAAAAGTGGGATCACAAGCAAAAAGAAAGGAAATCGAAGTAGAGACTATGGAAGCGACAAGCAAGACCTGCCTTAAGATGGATTCTTGGTCTTGCAATGCGATGTGAAATGAGCGTGGAAGGTGTAAGACAAAGAGATGCAGGGAATGAGCTTTTGCAGTGCTAAAACGCTAGGGTGTTGACGAGCGTGACGTTGAAAGTGAAAGGCAATAGCTGGTTAACAGGGCGGCTGATAAACAGACGGTTTGGAAAGGAAGGATATTAACGGGATCGATCGTGTGCTTGTTCATGGTTGGGGATAGAGTCCAGGACTTGGGTCATCTTCTTTGCGCGAACAGGATCCTCGACGGTCATACCTCGGCGCTTGAGGGTATTCTCCACAGCTTCGACGACCTGGTTGAAAGAGGAGGCGGCACCACGCTCTTGCTTGAAACGGGCCACGCCGAGATTGCCTTCCAGACCGTGTTCGAGAACGGTATAGAACTCGGCAGTGAATTCGACTTCCCGTAGACGCAGGACTGGCATATGGTGAGTGCTACGGATAAGGAAGTGGGAACAGAGAGACTCACAGTTTGCTTCGCTGACACGACCGTGAACGACGCTGTTGGACTTGTCGAGCCACACATCCTCCATGCCATAGTCTCGCCATTCACGAAGGAGCTTGTATAGCTCTCTGCGGCCTTTCTGCTTCGAGCAGTTGAGAGCAATCACTCGGCTCGCAGGCTTGATCTGGAAAACCCGTGCAAACCAGTTGTGATTAGCGACCGAGCGACGCTTGTTGCGGAAGGGGTGCTGATGGTCACCAGCGTCAAAGGAGCTGTCGGTGTCAGGCATTCCGTTGGAAACTATGGAAGATTGTCGTTTGTCCTGAGGAGATGTGGCTGGCTTTTCGGTCTCTTGCTCTGTACGTTGGTCAGATTGGGAAGTCGGGATGTCTGTATTAATGTACTCACCATTGAAAGTTTCTTGCATGTTCTTAATAGATTTCTTGGGCATAAGCTTCTTGAAAATACCACCGGTAAAACGATCCATAGATGTCTTGCGGGTGGGAACCCGTTGAGTGCTCTCGATAGGAGCGGAGGTCGGCTCCAGAGTAATGGGCTTGTGTACTGTTGTGCCTCCGCTGGGAAAGATCGGGTGAGAGTCCTTGGGTGGCAGAGCCGGTGGAGTATCCGAGACCTGGGAGCGGTGCTTGAACCATGACCATTTCTTGCCTTCCCCGCGTGTGTTGTTCCGCCTGGGGGATAGAGGCACTTCCTCAATGGGTGCCAAACCGCCAAAACCAAACGCAGGAGGAACCTGTCTCGAGCCAGTAGAGAAATTCCGATTGGCAGCTGACGGCGGGCTGTTGGCGAAGTCATGAACATCCGATGACAAAGGCTTGTCAGACTTCTTCTTGCGGATGGTCAAAGGTTTGACTTCTTCCATGGAGCGGAAGGAACTGTGAGGCACCATACGGATTGTGGTCTTGACATCGCCACTCTGGGACGTAGCAGCCGAAGTTCGGGGCTTTTGCTTGCGTCGAGAGCTAATATCGCTCAGGCCAGTAGGCCTGGCGAGTTCTTCGCTGATAACGGGCAGAGAAACGTCGTGTGGAGCAGACACGAAGGGATCATGGAAGGAGACTTCTTCCGGCTCTCTTCGAGTAGCATTCACAGCTTCGTATTCTTCAATCAAGCGATCGAAATGGTTCAGTACGCCGGTTATGTGGGTAGTTGTGCTGTCCTTTCTTCCCTGGCTTTGTTCAACCAGCCTGCGGCGAGTCTCTGTGAGCTCCTTGATACTGTATGACCGTGGTGCATCTTTGGGTGTTTTGGAGACAGGCTTAGTAGCAGATACTGGACGGTTCTCTGGGGTCACCATCGACACGGGAGTCGCTGGGGTCTCATACCCGGAACCAGCGCTAGCAGTGCGGATGGTTGAAACGGAGCTGCCATTGAATGCCTCCTCGCAGATTTGACTGAGCTCATGTGACACTTTTCTCGTATCTTCCCTCCAAGTGTAGTCCGAATCCCGAAGCTTGCGCACATGGCGCAGGCTTTTCACCTGTGGACCATGCGATCGAACCACAGTTGGCTGAGCTGGTAGAGGTGGGCTGCTCGGCATATCAGATAGATCGGCAACATCTGCCATGATTTGTAAGCTACATGTGCTAGGTGACCGCTTAATCTCATTCTGCTGAGTAGGTGCTGCTGTCTTTCTGCGTTTGGGCTTTGCAGTTGCGGAGCTATTTGAGCGATTGCGCGCGTGGCGGAAAGAGACATTTCGGCGGTAGCTGGCAGAGTGTGGTGTCAATCCACGGATACGAGAACTGGAATGCGGTACTCGGGAAGAGTGGAAAGACTTCATGGAGCTGGGCTTGTGCTTTCGCTTTTGAAGGATAGTGAATGGTGACCCTTCGGGTTCATCCGCATCCTCCAGTTGCTCTTCCTCAACCTCTGCAATTGAGGGGGAGGCTTTACCACCAGCGAGGATTCGCCCTCAGTGGATGGCCGGTGGATAGTGATTTGAGCATACTGTGGCTCCGACGCTACCGCATGCTTCGGTGATCGGTATGGATCATAGCTCTCCGTGGTCCCAGAGGACATGGGTTCTTTGAAAGAGCTCATTCGCCGAGGGAATTCCTTGACGGGAGTGTGCTGAGCACGGCGCTTGGAGTTTCCTTGACCAGACTGGCTACGGCCTCGGCGAGCTCTGCCCCCAGGGCGAGCGATGTGATGGTAGTCACTCGCTGAGTACTCAAGGGGTTGTCCTTGGTAGTTCTCCAATTGCTCATCTCTGAATTTGACCAAGGCATTGTAGAACATCCTTTCATGGGTAGGCCTTTATCGTGGTTAGCTGGAAAATGTTTGGATGAGAAGGATGGGTCACATACTCGATACACAACAGACGCTGGATAAGGTCTTCCGGCTTCACATCATGCCACAGAGTCTGGAGATTTCGCAGGATATCCAGGTCAATGTCTTGTTGACAGGACAATGTCGGTCCGCAGTCCTTGACGGACAAGGGGGGTGGAGGCCCAACATAGTGGTTGACCATGGCATTGTGCAGCTTTTCATATTTTGTCAAAAGAGGATGCAACCAGATATTCTGCATAGAGATTCGGTCCTCCGGTCGCTTTTGCAAGATGCGTTGGATCAGATCGGCTGCCTCGTCACTCAACTCCGGAGGAATGATGTAGTCTCCCTTCTTTACCAGACGCAAGGTATTTCCAAGGTCACCTCCATCGAAAGGCAGATAACCAGTCAAGAGAGCGTAGAGAATGATACCACAGCTCCACATGTCAGCCCTGTCACCACGGTACTTTCGTCCGTAGATAATCTCTGGTGCTGCATAGTGAGGGCTACCACATGAAGTGTTCAACCAGTGACCGGCAGGCTGAAGGGCAGCCATTCCGAAGTCAGCAAGCTTAATATTGTGGTTCCCATCGAGAAGGATGTTCTCGGGCTTCAAATCACGATGGCAGATATTGAATCGGTGGCAATACCCAAGTGCGGCGATTATCTGGCGGAAGAGTCGAACAGCTTCTTCCTCGGGGAGAGGTCCGTTGTTGGAAACGTAGTCGAACAATTCACCTCCCTCAACGTACTCCAGGACAAGGTATCTATCTCATGTTAGCTGATTGGCCATGGTAAACATAGTCAGTACGAACAGTTCTCCTCGGTTCTCCCAAACGTCATATAGGCTGATCACATTAGGATGTTCAATCAGCTTCATGATAACTACCTCACGCTCAATTCCACAGGGCATCTGTCGGGTGGTGGAGTTCCCCGTGAATCGACTCGCGTTTCGATCCATTGCTGCAATACTTTCACTTTGAACCATGGCAGCTGATTTCTTCGAAACGATCTTGATAGCAGCGGTATTGCCGGTGACAGCGTGCTTGGCGAATCTGACGCGACCAGTGGCACCTTTGCCCAGGTCTTTTCCAAGATGCCATGGTCCAACATGTGTCTTTCTCTTCCCTTTATTCGACAGCAGAGAGGCTGCAGACATCACTGAGCTTCGGGCCGAGCCAGGCTGGATATCAGTGGCTACAGACAGTCGTTGGTTCTCTTTATTGGTTTGTGGCGTGGGATTCATCATGAAAGACATCCTGTCAGGTGTCTTCAGCTGTTCTGTCTCCTCTATTGTGACGCACGGCGTCTCTGATTTTGGTGATTTGGAGTGGTTGATGCGGCTGGACACATCTGTCAGGGGCTGACGCCTCCTATGAGGGTCATTAACATCCAGCATTATTTGATCCATTGTGTTGGTGTGAGACGTGATGGGGACTTGTCAGTAGGTATGTTGCTAGGATTAGTTGTCTATATCACATATGGTTAGCTGGGACGAGAACAACGGTATTGACGCAACGCACGAGATGCAACAAGAAACATCAACACTGAAAGGTCAAAAACAGAAGCTTTTATGAAACGATGGGGGCCGGCAGTCTCTGGAAAGTGAAAAGAGTGACAAGTGACTGATTAATGCATCTCGAAATGGTAACAGCGCAGCGAAATAGCGAACGGCGGACGGCGAACGAAAGACGATATTCCAGATAGTCCCCAAGAGGAGAAGCAGAAGGAGGAAAGGCTGTCAGTGAGAATCGAGGCGGTTTGGCATGCCGGTGTTGCGGAATGAGGATTCCTTCCCTGGCTATGGAATGTCACTTTCACCACCCAATTACCCGGTAGGTACCTACGTGCTCCGAATCGGACTGTTTACTTTTCTTGTTTTGTCTCTTTTGCATTACTACTGGGTGTTATCACCGTTTGGGGTCGCTCTCAGCAACCTTAAACTATACTGCCTAGCCTTTGTGGATTGTGATACTCACGAACTTATACCCATGAACAGCACAATTTAGACGGCATATAAAATTACAAAAGCAAGAACCAAGCGTTCCCCGGGCAGTTTCAAATCTACGGCTGTTTGTTTCCAATGGTGATCGAAGCTGGGGAAGGTGCGTATGCATTCCACTCCAAATTGAACCTCAAATGAAGGGGGAGGGACAGGAGCAGATCATCTATAGCCTTATCACTGTTTATCAATTGGAAAGGGGCAATCTTCATTCACATTCCATTCCCCTGAGAATCAGAAATCCTAAGATCTGGTTTCTTGGAGACCAGTTAAATCCAGGTCCAGATAGAAAGCTTTATAGGACCAGGATAAGACAGCCATTTAATCTGCATCCTGTGTAAAAAGGCTTGACTCGAGGATCGATAACCTAAGATTGAGCTATTTTATCAATGGAGTTATCTCTATATTTAGAAATTGAGAATAGACTATGAGCTTTCGGTGCCTTCTTACCAGTGCTGCTCGCCAAGAGAGATATTGTTCATATCAACTGCCTCCACCAACCAGTACTCCTCGCAATTAGCTTCTAGTCATATTTGCAAATTACTTTCTCTTGCCATATAATTGCTTATATTTCTCATTTACCAAAGGTCCTGTTCTTCGCTCCACAGGACGCGTCCATCGTCTTCTGAATGCATAGCAAACCTCCATAACAGTACTATCACCCCAAAAAGGACACAGCTACTTTTGAAATTGACAGTTCAATCCGCGCTTCCAATTTTTTCTGTCATTAATGCAATTAAACAGTATCTGCGATTAAGGAAGGAGACTCGGTTGCAGAACCACGTTACAGTGCATGGTCAGAACGTTCAACAGACCACTCACTACGTCACATTTTTGCGACTTCAGTAGAAAGATTGAGGGATCTCCAAGAGAAATTAAAATCCCCCTGGGCGAGGCATGCTCGTAGGTGCCCAGGGCGCCGCACAGACAAACACTACAGGGGTGCAACAACGCAAGGGATGAGACCTCCGTCACCCTTCTTTCGACCACATGGTCTAGTCAAGGTCAAAGCAAAACGGACTCGTGACTTAAATGTGTATGCCCTATCTGCTACGCTGCTTTGACTTCTACTGTGACATCTCGGTAAACGGCGGTCCAAGGTCTACCGTCGTGGGAGTTCCGGGGTTGCGGGGTTGGGTATAGTTACCATTCTCACTTTTGATAGCAGATTAAAGGCAAAAAAGTTTAAGGCTTGCTAGGTTAGCTCGGTGGCTGCATTGGCACCGGTGATTGGGGCATGTGCAGGTTCTCGCTCTCTAAGACAAGCAGTAACAGTCCTTGTGGCACATTACAAGTAAAAGTTTTATAGCCGCAGAAACCTCCCTAGCACAGATACGCAATGAAAGTTTGATGGCTTTACCCCAATCATCCACCTATTAAGCGTGGTGTTAGCTCCACCAGCCCTTTGCGGTCAACTCGATGCCTATTGACTTGAACCCAGTCAAAAAGTTCTTTTACGAAACCACCAATAGAAAAGACGCCGTACAGTAGTTCTAGAAATCAATTCATATTCATACTATTCATTAACACTGATAAAGGCCAATTTATTAATCTGGACATGTAGTTTTAGGTGCTGGCTATGTATCTTGTGAGGCTGTTGGAGATTATATATCTTACTCTGGCATCCATTGCACCTGGCTGAAAAGAAGTCAACCTTGCAAATATACCAAATTAGTACCTACAGTAGCCAAGAAATAAACTAAATAACAGTAGGGTCAAAGAAATACATTAAAATAAATATTTTCCAAGCTCTATCACGCATTTTGGTTAGGGGCGCCAAGACCAGTCACGACTTTGAACTTGTAAACAATCGCCTTCCACTTCCTTTCTGCTCACAGCCAAGACACAAATACCCAAACAAAGATTTAATGCAGTTTTACTTCATCCCTGGACTGATGTTGGATACTAAATATATGCGCTCCCTCCGTGCGATCACCCGTAACGCGTCAAAGACATCAGCAGCTCAGTCTACTTGATGTAACCCTGCAAATTAAACCACCCGCCTCTTTCACTGACCGCACTTTCATAAGTCAGACTTTGGCCGGGCAAACTACAATACTAGCCGGTTCTAGCCTCTGTGACTAGTGCTTACAAGCGTCCAAGCCGATTTCAGCAAACGGTCGCGTCCACATATACGAGCTGACCAATCGATCTAACCAATGGCATACGCTAAATCTCGCAGTCCGACAGCAAGCCGTGCATATGGACCAGGATTCGCTGAGACCAAGGCCTTGACAACACTAAAAAGCAAGATGATACCAGCCTTGCCTCAGCCGAAGATCCATGTTGGAATCATTTCGACTTTCTTCCTACACCTTCCCGAGCAGTTCTGGCTATAAGCCATAACCAAGTCCAGTATGTGGTGGAAATTGCTCGGGCTGTTCGCCATAGGGAGCATAGCTCTCTCGGAGAAAGATCAACTCCCATTTGAGTCTGCCAACTTCGATGTCAGCGCCGCCCTTAACGACCTTGGTGTTGGTCTTTCAGAAATTTCAGCACTGAGCATGAGAGAATCGTCAACCGAGGAGGGATGCTCAATTGCCGTGAGTGAAATTGGACCTTACCCAATAATCAACTAACGTTGCCCAGTGTGGCAGCTTGATCCATGTACTTGGACTTGGAAAAGTCTCCAGCCAGGATACACAACCATACAAAAACTTCACCGATTCATTTTGGTCGACCCAACAAGGGGCAGTCGCACCACGATGCGTTATCCAGCCATCATCAAGCAAGGATGTCAGCATTATCGTGCTACTAGCTCGTCTTACTAACTGCCGATTTGCAGCCAGAAGTGGCGGCCATGCAGCTTTTGAGGGTGCTTCGAATATCCCCGGAGGAATCAGCATCTGGTTCAAAGATATGAATGAGATCACACTGAATGAAGACAAGTCAGTAGTTTCTATTGGACCAGGCAATCTTTGGGGCCAAGTGTATGAGACTCTTGAACCTCATGGTTTGGCTGCTGTGGGCGGCCGCGCCTCTAGTATCGGCGTGGGAGGTTTCATTCTCGGAGGTGGAATTTCATTCCACTCCAATCTGTACGGCTGGGCTCTCGATAATGTGCAAAGTTTTGAGGTAAAAACCTGTGATGCTAAAGGGTGAAGTCCTGCTGACCAACAACCGCTAGGTCGTCACCGCGAGTGGCGCTATTGTCACTGCCAGTGAGACTGAGCATTCTGATTTATACTGGGCCCTCCGAGGAGGCGGCAACAATTTTGGTCTGGTTACCAAGTTCAATCTCTATACGATTCCATACACAATGATGAGAGGGGGAGCTAGATCATTTGTTCAGGACCAGTTCCCAGAAGTCATTAATGCGTTTGTGAATGCTGTCAATGACGCACCAAAAGATGGGAATGCCCAGCAATGGCTGGCTTTCCTAGACTATCAGGGAACGAAAATCGCATCAGCTGAACTGACATATGCTAAAGATGTTGCCGACCCGGACATCTTCAAACAATACAGGGATATCCCTGCTGTCTCGGATACAACGACATCCAAAAGTTTGGTCCAGTATTGCAAGGATATTGAAGCCAGCAATCAAATTGGCCATCGCGAGGTATATTGGCCAATTGCAACACAGCTAAATGAAGAGTTTGCTTTATGGGCGGCTGAGGAGTTTTTCACGGCCTTACCACAAGTCGCGAATGTGACGGGCATACTCCCCGTACTTATCTACCATGCCCTGACAGAGCCAATCTTGGAAAAGATGTCCAAATTCGGCGGAAACGCATTAGGTCTTGATTCTTCCAAGGGCCCAGTCCATTTGCTACAAATCGCTTGCTGGTGGGACGACGAGGCGGACGATGACGCGGTCTATCGATTTATCAATAGCTACTGGGAAACCGTGCTTGAGAAAGCGCAGACCATGGGAATTAGCAATGGCTTTATCTACATGAATTATGGAAGTAAATTCCAGGATGTGATTGCTGGCTACGGAGATGCCAACGCGGCTCGCTTGCGGCACATTGCTTCAAAATATGATCCCAAGGAGATCTACCAGGCCCTTCAACCAGGATATTTCAAACTTGGACATGCCCCCAAAAGCTTTGTACCCAGGTCTTCTGGTGACACGGAATAGCGATGTGGTCGGTGGGGAGTAGAATAGGCCGACTTAGAATCAATTTGAAGCATGGTTTACGATGATGATCTCGTCAACATAGAAGAATACGATGATGCCGTCCGCTGCGAAGAGGCAGATATCTTCCTGCACTACCTGCAAGCCTAGAGATGTGAATATCTTAGACGCTTCTCGTTGCCATAGGCGTGGAGGTTTTCGTAAAGAGCTCTAAGAAGCTTCCAGCACTTGGCCTTGCCATCTTTGTCAAACCCTGGTGGTAATGAGACGTATACAATCTCATCTAGTAGGCTGTTGAGGAATGCGTTGACAGCATCGTATTGACGTGTGTCCAGATCGAATGCAGCGACCAGGGCGAATACAGCACGTGCGGTTCGCACTGCGAGAGTAGCTGAGTACTTTTTTCTGCCGTCATCCGTTGGAGATGAATGCTGCGGTCTGTTGGACGCTGTACTACCTCGAAGGTGCTTTTGCGAGTGAGTGTGTCAATTTCAAGGCCTGCGGCGACAAGAAATCCCTTATGATATTGATGATTGATCATTTCCTTCCAGTTCTGAGGCTCTGAAGGCAGATTATCGCGGTGCACGAGGTTATGAAGTTGAGGAGCATTTAGTCCTGTTGCGAACGCTGCTAACACACCTTCATGATAGTCTTCTGGCTTTTCTAGCGCGGCGGTAAATGCCTGGTCCACTGGTTTCCTCTTCCGTGCTCCAGTGACGATGTTTTGGTCCGATACATCTCCCACGATATCTCTTGGTGCTCTTAGACGTGCTGTCTCATGTTGTGCGGGCCCTCGATCCCCGGGAAATGTTCCTTGAGGTGGTTGTTGCGCCTGAGGCGCCGGCAGAAGCTGTGGCTCTGCCGAGGGTGTTAGAGACGGTGTGACCGTCTGTTGAGGTTGGCCAGGTGATTTCGGTGATCCAAAGGCATATTCCTGGCGTTGTACGTCCGGTATAGTCTCTGGTGACCGCTGAGTGCTTTCACTAGCTGGCTCGTGTGTTTCTGGCTGGTTGACACGCTGTGTGAGCTGCTCGATATCCTCATGCTCCCTTCACCGATTTCCCAAGGCATAGCTTCGATTACGTCGCTACTTGGTGGCTTTTCTAGCTCTTTAGGGTCATATCGTAGATTCTCATCGAATACTACGCCCCTGACTTCTCGCACGGCTCCTCTGTGCGGAAACCACACTCGCCAGATGTTCGACTTTTTTCTTAACCGCAATAACAAGTTTGGCTTTGCGAAGTCAGCAAAACTCCCAACTAGCCTTCACTACATCCGCAAGTCTGCGGTTACCCTCGCTGTTAACCATTCCGTCAAGTACTCTGCCATCCTCGCAGAGTCTCCACCTGACCTCTCTTCCGCTCATATGGAACCTGGGAATGTCTTTGATCTTCGACATTGTGGTACATTTGTCGGCTTCTCCTATCTCGCTCGCATGACCTTGGTCGACAGAGCCGCTGTCCCGCGTGTTCTGCCGAATACCCGTGTCCTTATGCCACAGCTTGACGACTACGAAATCGACGGCGAGGCACTCCAAAAGTTCCCGATCTGGTCGAAGGTCTCCTAAACTGGCAATATGCCTGATGCACCCCGTTTCTTCGTCGAACTGTTAGATGAATGGGTCTATCTAGTTACCAAGTTATTCCCTACCAAGCTCCGGGCTGCCGTTTGGAGAGTCGATTTTCCCCAAAACGGGGACGTTCGTCGCGACAGATTGAACCATGGGAAGCCAGTTATAGCTTGAATCTGTGGCATCCCATGGGTAGCAGGGCCATATGCTGACAGCAGTGGGGAACATTGCCGCTCAAGACAGACTACACTAAGGAATGGTGTTTCGGGGCCCGGGTTTCAAAGACTCCCTTTCATTTCGATGCCAAGGAGACTGTCGTTTGCTGGAACATCCTGGTTTACTTTGCTCGACAAATGGTCAAGGCGAAGGGCGCCGACGCATGTCTTTCGAGTAAACCAATATGCGTGTTGCTTCAAAGCCTGAACTTACCACATCTCATTCTATCGCCCCCGGATCTACCTCTCTCCATCTCTAGTCTGAACCATTTGATGACACTCTTGACATATCAGAATACTTTGTTATAATCATCCATCCGCCCTCGTTCCGGAGAGAATTTTCCCTCAAGCTAAACGTTGGTGTTCGTCAGTTCTATAACCCGACTCTTCACATCAGTATCTATGATTCTATCTATTATGGCATGAATAATCGGCTGCATAAGCGGTCTTGTGATGCCTCTTCAGTAGTCTTCTCAGATATAATTCTGTTTAGATGCCTCATCAGTTTTATAGGTGCACGGCAAAAAAGACGGGAAAAGGCTTGATTTGTGAAATGGACTATTCTAAGTATAACCTTTGAGGATTCAAAACCCGACGCCGTAACCTTTATAGCTCCTAAGTTGAAACAAAATACAATGAAGCAAACGACCAAGCCTAAGCAGCGGCTTCGACGTGGCGGCTCTTTGCTGCCACATCAGCAGCAAGAGCAGCGAGGGAAGCGCTCTGCAGGATATTGAAGATGGAGATATCGGCAGCGGCCAGCAGCACCAGCATGTTGCGCAGCTCGACAGCGATGAGTGAGTCAACACCGTAGCTGGCTGGCGTCTTGCTAATATCAATCTCAGCAACGTCGATCATGAAAATGTCAGCCAATTTAGCGGCGATGGCAGTGCTAATGAGACGGGCAGCGTCCTCACGCGAGCCAACCTCGGCCAGCTGCGTAGAGAGCGAAACACCAGCACCGGAATCTTCAGCTGCCAGTGCCGCACGCGACACCTTGGATTGGCGCTTCAGGTGAACGTAGCGAGCATCTCGTCCGAGCTGTGAGCCGCCATGAGCATCCCACTGCTGTCCCGGCGCTGTGTTGAGGCCGATAATAATCTGGCGGCGGCCGCCGAGCGGACGGGCCACAGCGGCGCCGAGGGCGCGCAGAACAGTTGCCTCGTCTAGCATGACGTAGTCACCAGACCTGCGTAGGCGCTCGGCCACCTTGGCGGTCTCGGCGACGTAGCCAACGTCGGAAATAGGACCTAGGTCGATAGAGACGCCCGGAAGTCCCTTCGACTGGCGCCAGTACGCCATGGCATCCTCGTAGGAACCGCCAGCCGCGTAGTTGGTCTGTGAGGCAATGCCTAGAATGCCCGAGACGGACGACAGCATGACGAAGAAGTCCAGCGAGCCGGGTGTCGCGAACTCGGTATGTAAGTTCCAGGTACCGTCGACCTTGGGTCGTAGGCCGCTATGCCAGTCGTCTAGCGTCATCTGCTCGAAGATAGCGTCGCGCAGAAGCATGGCACCCTGAATGATGCCGCGTACAGACGGGAATCCGTCGTCGGCACAGGCGCGTAGAGCTTTCGCTAGCTCGCTAGCCAGCGAGATGTCACAGCTGACAGGTTTAACGCGGCAGCCAGCAGAGTCGCGTAGCTCGCGCACAAACAGGGCGCCGTCGGTGTTTTGGTTTTCTGGCAAATCGATCTGGCCGGCGCTACGCGATAGCAGAATCAAATTCTTAGCGCCATGGGCGACCAGCCAGTGTGCGACGGAGCGGCCGATACCGCCGACACCGCCGACGATGATGTACGAGGCATCAGACCGGAGTCGGACTCGGGAGGCGGCGGCGACGTGATCTAGTCGTGGGACCACTGGAGCTTGTTCATCGGGCCCAGCCGAGAGAACAACCTTACCTGTGTGGGAGCCGGTCTGTATAAGCTTGAAGGCGGCCTGGACGTTTTGTATGGGGTGGACTGTGACGGGCTGGACGGGTCTCAAGACCTGCTGCTCGATGAGTTTGGCGACCTCACCGAGAACACGGTGGACATCGGCACCACGGCGTTGTACCAGCATTGGAATGTCTAGCGCCGTCATCGAAATGCCGCGAGAGAAAGATGCCAGCGCAAGCAGGCCGTTGGCTTCGATATCGCGCTTGCCGACCTCAACCAAGTGGCCGAGAGGTGCAAGGGCGTCGACGCTGGCCTGTAGAAGCGGGCCGGGCAGCGAGTTAAGCACGACATCGACACCGCGTCCGCCTGTGGCGGCTAGGACGGCGGGGCCAAACGAGATATCACGACTGCTAAAAATACGCTGAGTGGGGATGCCGTACTTGCTGCTGATGAGGTCGCGCTTCTCCGCAGACCCAGCGGTGACGAAGATCTCTGTCACCCCAAGATGCTTTGCTAACATAATGGCGGCCTGTCCTATAGCTCCAGCTGCCGCGTGAACGAGGATAGATTGTCCGGGTGTAAGACGGGCAGCATCAACGAGGCCGGCATATGCAATGGTGAAAGCTAATGGAAGGGATGCGGCATCTTCAAAGCTAGTGATGTTGTTGGGTATTTTGACGATGCTACCGTTCCAGGTGACGGTGACACTGTTACGGAGACAAGCGCTGCCATCTCCAGGTAGGAGGGCCATAACACGGTCGCCAACATTATAGTCACCCTTTGCCTGAGCTTCGGTACCAAGACGGGAGACAATGCCGGCGCACTCAAGACCCATGGCACGGTCTTTGAGCTGGCCTAAGGACGCCATGATATCGCGCGAACTGAGGCCAAAGGCCCGCGGCGTGATCTCGACGCTTTCAGGTGCCAGACTCTCATCTGTGATATCCTCGTCGTCATCCACAAACGCCAACGTATCCAGGTGCCCCGGGATACCGACCTCCAGCCGTAGTGGCCGGTTCTTTTGGAATAGGGGTTCCAGGGGGATGCTGGCTGCGGCATCGAGATCACCCCAGGTTGCTGTGAGCGGACCAGTGACTATATCGTTGTGCTCCTCGTCCTTGTAGATGCGCGGGACTAGCAGTACGCCGTTGCGCTCCGCATACTCGAACTCCGCGGGGCCGATCTCGGTCGCCAGGACGTCATCGACGTGACCGAAGCCCTGTTGGAGAACTTGCGCGATGGTCGAGACGGTATCCTCAGTGGTTTGCTTGACGCACGGGTCCAGGTCCAGGTAGAGGTAGCGCCGACCGACATATTCGTTTCGGAGGACGCGCAGGAATCCCTGGGCAAGCGCATGCTCGGGCTGCTCGCTGTCGACGGCACCGCCGGTCGTAATCCAGAGCAAGCCGCCACACTGCGTGATCATGGCGCGAAGGCCGTCAATACGTTCGGCGTCAAGATCGGTTAGTATGGTTGGCTCGTCGATTTCGCTGACAAAAATGCAGACTTTGGCTCCGTACGCGTCGAGGCTGCTCTCTTCTAGCACGAGATGTTCCACGGTAGTTTTGGTCAAATCTTGGATACGCTGGGAGAGGAGATCAACCAGACTAGCCGGCGAAGGTGTCTTTTTACTAGTCACCACAGCAAAGCCGCCGTGGTTGCTGGCACGGCTTAGATCTGGCTTCTGGTGCTCAGCGAGTGGCAGGGTGGACAAGACGGTGGTTGTGGCGTCGCCGATAGTAAGGTCAGCACCGCTGAAACCGGCTTCGCGAAGCAGGCTGTCCCAAGAAGACGTCAAAAGGGACGACGTTTCGGTAGGCAGTAATCCAAAGATAAACGAGATGTCAGCCTGGTCCTCATTCTGAGTCGTCTCTGCTAGCAGTAGCGTGCCGGCGGGCTTCAGAAGGCTGCGCACATGGGCCAAGGTGGCAGGTACATCCTTGGCCGTGCGCAGAGACTGGTAGAACACGACGATATCGTAGCTCTCGGGTGCAAATTTCTGCTTAGACGGGTCGCTGTCGATGTCGAGCTGGCTGAATTCAAGCAGATCGGCCCAATCGACTAGATCCGCCTGGGCATCTTCCAAGACGTCTGCCGAGGGCTCAGTGATGTGCCAGCTGGCCACCAGAGAAACTTTGGGCGTGCCGAGCGCCTCAAGGATACGTCGAGTGGCAGCACCACCAGTGCCGGCACCGACTTGCAGAACGCGCGCAGCCGGATTCTTGTGGGCCACTTTACGCACCAGCGTTGACAACTGTGTAAGCGACGGCGCTAAACGCACAGAGTGGGCATAGTACTTGTGCAGCAGCCCATCCTCAATCATAGCCACTAACGGGTTGATCTCGCCGAGAAGGATGGAGCCGATGAGGGGGCCAAGTCGGCAGATCAGCTCACCGTCGACGCTCTGCGAGGCCACGGCAGTTAGGTTCTTTTGGCGCTCTTCCGGGCCGTCTAGCGCCCATTTCAGGTTCTCGCCCTGGGCAACTAGTTGCGTGAGCCAGGTATGGTATTTGACGAGGTGCAGCTGCTCATCTTTCAGCCGGTCCACATCCTCGGGGGTGAGCGATTTGAGCGCCTCCTGAGCGAAGTAGAACACCGCACGGGAAAGATCCGTGATGATGGCCTCGGGAATTCCAACAGTCGGCTCCAGCTCCTTCTTGATATTTGCCAGTGCTAGCGGCTGCTGTAGTGACAAGTCGGGTCCCCACTCGACCTTACTGCAAACCTCTTCACCCCCCTTGTTAGCCGCGTCCTGGCGCGCTGTGGCGCCGCTGCCGCGCCCCAGGAAAACGCTAGCAAGGCCCTGGATCTCGAGAACAATCGCCCCGGTCTGGCTATCGACAACGGTGACATTAGCCCTGCCGCTCTGGGGGTCGTCGTGCGAAAGCGACGTGTCACAGCGCAAAGTGTGGCCGATTTCGCGGCTGATGTCGCTCGAGACCCACATCGCGTCGATCGACCGCGGTAGCTTGGGATCCTCCACCACCGCGCCAACGCCAGGCAATGCCGAGAAGAACGACACAACCACGGCATCTAGCGTGATAGGGTGCAGTACACTGTTCTGCGCGGCGGCCACCGGGTCTGTGTCGGCCGCCGACTCGTACCGGATCGTAATGTCGGATACTGACCGCGGCTCCCGGCCATCCTGTACGATCTTAGTCGTGTTCTGGAATAGTGGGCCGTGATACACGCCGAGGGCCCGTAGGTTGGCAAACATGTCGCGCGGGTCCTTGTGGCGCGTGTAAGCCGACAGAGGACGTAGGCCGGTCCGGTCGTTCTCCGGCTTCGTCTGCGCTGGGACTTTCTCTTCATCCCATTCCTCCTCCACGTCGGCTTTAACCAAACCCTGGGCGTGCAGCGTCCACCTGTTCTCGGGAGTGACCGTCGAAACCTCGAATCTCCGCCAGCCGCGCAGACCCAGTTCCCGCTCAGGAACGGGGCGAAGTGTGGTTCGGATCTCGACCCCATCACTGCTATCGGGGATCATAAGGGCCGCCATAAAGTCGACGTCGCGCAGGCGGAAGCCCGAAATCTTCTTCTGATCGTCTTCTCCCTTGGCCAGCTGGTTAGCGGCCTCGATGGCCAGGCACACATAGCCGGAGCCCGGGTACACAATGCTGCCCTGCACCATATGATCGCGGACCCAGGGCACCTCGGAGACGCGCACCGTGCGACGCCAGACGGCTGTGGCCGGGTCGTTCCCGGCAACCGGCATTCCCAGCAGATCGTGCGGCGGCTGGCTGCGTTCACGGATGGCGCGGTTGACGCGTGCCTCCTGCCAGTGCCGCATCGAATGGTTCCAGGGGTAGGTAGGCAGGTCAGTCAGCACGCGGGGCAGGTCATCGTCGTAAATATACGAGTGCTCGGATAATGATTTCGGGAAGTTGATCTCACTCACAACGAGCGGCACACCCTCGCGTAGCAGATTGATAGCTGCAGCGCGCATAGTGTTGCCAGCATGCTCGTTGCGCACTAGACATCCCCAGTAGGGCAGCTCGATGCCATCGAACTCGACGAGCGACATGATCTCGCGGATAGGTCCTCCCAGTGCCGTGTGGGGGCCAACCTCGAGCACCACGTCGATGCTGCGACCGCTGGCATCATCTGTCTCGCCAAGCACCATCTCCGTGAAGGCATCCACGAACTGCACCGGCTGCACTAGACTACCCACCCAGTGGTCAGGATCGGCGATCTCCTTGGCATCGGTAATCCGACCGCCTGTGACGGCTGATGAAAAGATTACATTGAGCTCCTCTCCTGCCCCGTTCAACTCTTTTGTGACTGTCCCCGCCATCTCTTTCCGCAGGAGCTCGCGGTAGGCGTCTGCCAGCGGGTCCATGTGGTGCGAGTGGTATGCCTGCTCGATCTTGAGTTTGCGCGCAAACACGCCATCCTCCTTGCACATTGCCTCGACGGCTATAACGGCATCGGCATCTCCCGAGACGGTGACGCTCTCCGGGCTGTTAACACAAGCGATCACGACTTTACCTACGTCGGCCACTCTGTCAAGGTACTCCTGCGCCTCCTCCGCACCAAGACCCACGGCCGCCATGCCGCCCTTAGGTGCTCCGGGCACCCGCAGTGACTCGTCTGCCGCTAGCACGGCACGGTAGTAGGCTGTTGCCATGGCCTGGCGGAAGGTCAGCGCGCCTACTGCGTAGGCCGCCGCGATCTCGCCCGACGAGTGACTGGTTACAGCCGCCGGCGTGATGCCCCATGATTTTAGCAGGCGCACTAGCGCGATTTGCACTCCCACGCACACAGGGATGCTGATCGATGTCGAGTGCACCCTCGTGGTCTTGGGGTCGCGTTGTAGCTCCTCCAACAGCGACCAGGTGGCGCCGATATCGCGTAGGTGCGTATCGGCCTCGTCGATAGACAGCCGGAATACCGGATATTCTGCTAGCAGCTCACGGCCCATGGCGTTCCACTGCGCACCCTGGCCTGTGAAGACCATGCCGATTCGCGATTGGGTAGTGGGAACCCGGCTGGGTTTAAACCGTGGCGAGTCAAACGCCTCGATGACGGCGTCGAGGGGCTGGTCTGCGCCTGCTTCCAGATGCACCTGGTGTGCTGCCACCCACGGAAAGCGCGTGCGGCGCTCTGTCAATGTGTAGCTGAGATCGCGCAGCAGCGTATTTGCAGCCTCAAAATTGAGTGACTTGTACTTTTCTAGATAACTCTTCATGTCCCCCACCATACGCTGACAGCCGCGCTCGTCGCGAGCGCTGAGAATCAAAACTTTGGTATCAGCCGTTTTGTTAGTGCTGCTGTTTCCGTTTTTATGGCCATTACCGTTCGAATGGCCGTTGCTAGTGCCATTTCCATTACTGGTGCCATTGCTGAGCGGGAAAGACACAGTGGGCGTTGAAGTCCACGGTTCGGCGCTCTCCATGATGACATGGGCGTTGGTGCCGCCGTAACCAAAGTTGTTGACTGACAGGCGGTTCGGTCCGTCGACGAGGCTCTCAGGCCACGGCTCTAGTGCGGTTACCAGCTTGAGGCGCCACTCGTCCAGCTTGACCTTCGGATTGGGCGTCTCATAATTAACGCTGGCGGGGATCAGGCCCTTTTCTAGGCACAAAACTCCCTTGACTATGGCGGCCAAACCCGAAGCAGCCTCGGTGTGGCCCACGTTGGTCTTAACCGAGCCGATGCGCAGGTAGTGCGCCTCATCACGGCCTCCATCACCGTTGTCGTCGACGCCGCTAAACACGTTGGCCATGACCCCTGCCTCGATAGGATCGCCAGCCTGTGTTCCAGTGCCGTGGGCCTCAAAGTACTGTGTGCCGCGTGGATCAAGGCCGGCGCGCCGGTAGCACTCGCGTATAAGCGCTTCCTGGGCGGGGCCAGATGGTGTCGTGATGGTCTCTGTTTTTCCGTCCTGGTTAAGCGCCGTCTCACGAATGACAGCGCGGATGGGGTCGTTGGCGGCCAGAGCGTCCGACAACCGTTTGATCACAACTGTGGCGACGCCCTCACCACGGCCGTAGCCATTGGCGCGACTGTCGAACGCGTATGACCTGCCGTCCGGCGATAGCATGCCAAGTGAGCCGATGGTCTTAAACGGTTCTGGGCCTACCATCAAGTTGACGCCGGTCACCACGGACATGTCGGCCTCACGGCAACGCAGGCTTTGCACGGCTTGGTGCAGCGCCACTAGCGTGGTCGAGCAGCCAGTCTCGAGCGTCATGCTGGCACCGCGGAAATCGAAAACGTGCGAGATGCGGTTTGCCGCCATCGGTTTCCACGTGCCTATTGGCATGAATCGCGGCGGCTTGTCTTCGTCTCGCGCCAGACCCTCGTTGTATTCGTGCGTGAAGACGCCAGCAAAAACGGACGTCTGTGATCCAGCCACTTGCTGCAGTGTAAGGCCGGCTTGATCGAACTTAAGTTAGAGAGGAGGGCCCGAACGAATTGTAGCAGGGCAAGTAGTATACACTCACCATTTTCTAAGGCCTCGAATGTCGACTCGAGTTGCATTCGGAATTGTGGATCGAGCGCCTGTGCTGTCTCCCCGGAGTAATTGAAGAATGCAGCATCGAAACATCCTATATCACCGTCAAGGAAGTGGGCCCCCTTGACGTGTGTCTGTTCTGTTGTTAGCACTCGGACTTGCTGTTGGTATATCCTAGGTTGACTTGCCGTGCTAACCCTCTCATTGTTAGGGTGGTAGATTCCTTTTAGATTGAAACGGTCCTCTGGTATCTCACTCCAGCCAGTCTTTCCTGAAACCAACAGATCCCAGAGCTTGTCTGGGTCATTGGCACCACCAGAGAACTTGCAGCTCATACCGATGATGGCAATCGGCTCACTGGCCCACTCGCTGTCGTCCTCCATTTTTGTCTAAAGCGGTCAGATGATTGGACTTGTTCACTGATAATGTAGATGCTCAGTTACTCTCAAACAGAGCTAACAGTTTCGTCAAGTTGAAGAGCTGTAATGTGTGAAGATTGTGAAAGATGGCTCTAAGTTCTATACCCAATTCGCTTTTATTTGAACGCCAATTGTATCGCACAGTGCCTTATTCTAATGGGGATTATTTATTCAGCTTTGAAGACGATCTAGCAATACGGACTTCAACCTTCATGGGTGAAGCTCCATTCTCAAATGATCAATTCCCCGAAGCAGCGTCGGAAGAGGTTACTTCCAGAGAAATTGGTGATACGGGGTATTAAAAGTCCGCCGGGGAGTTACCAAACTGGCTATCCTCAACTGGCTTGGTCTGTAGATCTGAGCTCGCACCCTTCATTTTCTAAAATTATAGACCCGTGAGAGGTCACAGCTAGGCTATTGGTCTGACTAGGTTGCAATCGCGCACGGAGAATCTCTACATGGGCGGACAATTAATCGACGACGTTAGGCAATGAGATAGGCAGACAATCACTGTACGCAGATTCATAACTGATTTATTCTATAATCATACAAGCTTCAATTAGGAGGGTTTAAATTTCCATCACATCGTAATTCACATAAAGTAGAGTTAGTCAGATAAATTGATCTAACTACGCAGTGCTACCAACCTATGTAGTCTAAATTCTGTAGATCTTTGGCTTAGCCGACATATCTTACGTATTGCTTCCATACAGGGTCCTTCTTTAGCCCGTTGATGTCTTCCTCGGGCATGCACAACGTTAGAGGGATGAATGCGCCCTCGGCTTCGTTGATAATAAAACAGCCGGGAATCGGCGCCGCTGTTGGGCGGCGGAAGAAGCACAATCGGCCCAAGAGAGGGCCCCAGGATGCCGGCAGCGGCGTCGCCTGGCCAGCCGCGGTCACCATAAGGTCCGCCCGGGCGTCGTGGGTGCCACCATACAGTAGGCTCGAGGTGTCGGGCTCACGAGCCATGAATGTGGCAAAGCTGCGGATGGACCATGGCGTGTTAGCCTGGTTGAGTTCACGACGCAGCACTTGCGCAATCTGTGGCAGTGGCAGCTTAGCCACCTGGCCCAATGGCAGCCGCACCAGAGCGTGGCACACCATGTGGCCCATGTAGGTCAGCGGCACGCCCAGCGCCATGCGCCCGTCGATAGCGCGCCCGAGCTTGGATGAGCGCTCCGGCGGCTGTCCGTTAGCCACGCGCACGGCGCAGAGGCGCTGCCATGCAAAGGCGGAGAAGATATCGTTCTCAGAGACCATCAGCGAGCCTGGCTTGTTGCTAGATGGATCGTCTTTGACCAACTTAACCAGCCGAGCCAGAGCATTGACCGGAATCTTGAAGTAGCACCACATCGGTGGACTTGGGGGTGGCGCCCAGGTATAGCCGGGTGGGCGCCGCAGGTGGCTATAGCTCTTGACGGGCTCGGTGCGCGGAATGAGCGTGATCACCCGGCTGCGGTCGCGGTTGGCCTGCTCCAAGTCGGCGGCCGGAATCTCTTTGCCGCTCATGACAAGGGCCAGGAGATTCATAAACTGGTAGATACCGGTGCCGTCGATAATGGTGTGGTGGGTGCTAAGGTTGAGGATCAGGCCGCCCTGCACAAAGTTGGCCTGCATGGCGACGACAGGGTCAGGGCCCTCGAGGCCGCGAGGTTGTGGCAGCGCCGGCCATGGCGTCAGAACCGATCCGTCCAACATGTGGATAGGCACGCCGGCTGAGACGAGCTTGGCCATGGGTGCGATGAGATCGTCACAGATTTTGACGCGGATGCGCTCCTCGGGCACGTCCGCGGGCCACGGCATCGCCTTCAAGATGCCGCCGGGCCCTAACTCCCGGGCCACCTGCCACCCCAGCCAAGGGATCTCCGCCTTGAGTTTATCAAAGCCGTCCTGGAGGGATGCGACGATGACATCGCGGTCCACGTCGGCCGGCAGCTTGAACCCAAACAGCAACTGCGTATAAGCATTGAGGATTGGGAACTGGGAGATAATATCACGGTGGAGTTCCGAGTCGGTTTCGGCTGTGTCGCCTTTCGTAAGGTGATTTTCCATTGCGACAGACATGGTGAAGAACTTAGTTTGTAGTGGTCTACGAGCCTGGAAAGCTTCACCTGCATGAGAAAGCCACAAGTCACCATTCTATCCGTTGTCCCTAGTTCTGCATGTTATACAATCTGCATGCATCTTGACTTGTGTCTGTGGATACGGTTGCACTTTCGGACTTTCGGACTTTCTTGCTAGCCCTAGTTTCTTTTCTCGGAATTCACTTTTCCGCATTTCGGATCGCCAACGCTCGGGGCTTTGGGTCCATGCTGAAGGCTGCCAGATAGTGTCAGATCAATGCTTATATATATCCCTTCTGTTAAATATCAGCTTATAGGGCGCGTTCCAAAGGGTAACCTGTTGTGATATCGGCAAAAGACTAGGATTCTAAGACGACCGACTGTTCAGAACTGTGCATGCCATACAAGGACATGGTCCTTTACACCTTTCCGCAAAATCAAATGTAAGGCACTGTTATTATCAGTATTAGTGTTGTTTGCTACTCGTTGGGTATATATTTCTTGGCCAAGTGCAGTCAATTTAAAAATAGGAAGAGAAACCTTGGAAAGAAGAAGAGAAGTGGGGAGAGTAGATCCATGGTAGATCAAGCCCCACTCCTGCAAACTATACAAACATCATGACAAAGCTTTGTCTGTGATGAGAGGGGTATACAAGGCCGGCTAGAAGGACGAGCGAGGACCGTTCTAGGAGCCGTCTTCGAGGCGCAGAACGAGGATCTTGAGCTGGCTTCCTTCAAAGCGCCTCGCCGCCATGCCCAGGCTATAAAAATACCCCCGACTTTGTGCTAATGACCCAAGATCATATAGCCAAGGTGCTGGGGGAGGCTAAAGTCCCTTGGAACCCGGAGCACGATCTAGGAGGCCTGGTTCGTAAATTTGAGACTAGGGGCACCGGGGAACCGTTCAGGCACGCACTAGGTCCGTATTTTGAGCCATTAACAGGAATCTATTAATATTGACCCATACACGTAGTTCAAATTGCGCAGTACATGCTCGAGTTAAAACTGAAATATAGGTTCTTGACAACGTACGAACAAACGATCTGTCTTCGAAAGGTCGACATCTGAGGCTCATGTTGCTCTGCAAACTATACAAACATGACAAAGCACCAAGACCGCCCTGGCCCCCGGGGCCGTAATCTTGCAAGAAATAGCCAACAGATACGGAGTAATTAGTACGTGATCACATGCATTATATGTAATTTTTGTAAGATGATGTATTCTAATATTCGAAGTTTACTCTTTCTTACTTACAACAGTCCTAGAGGGCTTAATGAAGTGATTATTAATCTATGGGGCCCGCTTGAGAAATGTTAGGTGGAGAATAAAAGTGGGCTGATAATGTACAAAGTACACACACCCTTTGTCTGACAATCTGTGTCTGACTGGCACTCTTCGTGTTTTACATCTACCCACAGTCCATCCTAGAATCTTTCAAACTAGTATCCTCTATTGCTGTACAGAGCTATATCTCTCCCAACAACTAATCCCGACCGGCCCTCTACAGAATGGCTGGCCGATCAGCGCCATATGGGCAAGCGTGTTTGAACTGTTTCAAAACAAAATGCAAATGCATTCCTCGTTCTGATGGCAATGGATGCGAAAGGTCTGTCCGAGCTGCACTTTGCTGGCTGTTCCATGCTTCCAGACCCTAACCTGCGAACACTCGTTGACACGAAAGGGTGCCTTATGTAGGTGCCACCGCCTCAAGCGCCCATGCCATCCAGCCGATGCAGTACGTCGCCGCAGCGACAAAAAGCAAAACTCATCGGAAGCCCGTATTGCGAAGCTCGAGGGTACACTCGGTCAACTAGTCTCGATGCTCCAGGCGGGCAATGTCCACGGCGAAAGAGTTGATGAATGGTCGCAGCAGCAGCAGCAATCACCACCGCAACAACACCAGCAACATCAGCAACAACCACCACCACCACCACCTCCAATCATTCCATACCCAGATGTGGCTGCAGAAGGGACCGAAGGAAGCGGCACTATGGAGGACTCGCGGTCCGGTTTTATGGACGAGGACGACGAGGATACCGACAGCGACGCCGTCCGTGCCTCTGCTTCTTGGTGGGGGATGGACAATGCGAACGCAGTTAGCGCCAACGGCATGCCCGTCGACACCCCCCCATCCTCGACCATGTCGGGCGCGTTTATGTCGCCCGCTCTATCTCCGTCCTCGGTACCTCCATCCTCAGCATCGATCTCTATAGACACATTCTGCTCGCGTATGCTGCATCATTTCCCGTTTGTTCATTTGCCTGCCTACCTCACGGCCGAGAAACTACGATTAGACCGGCCGTTCCTGTTTCGCGCCATTATTTGTGTGACATCGGTATCGGCTAAGGACAAGATGGCAAGCTCCCTCGAGCTGAAGCGTGTACTCTATGAGACGGCATTTCTTCAACGGTCGCCACAGCAGAAACAGCAGCAACCACAACAAACTGTGGATCTGCTGTTAGGCCTCCTTGTCTACATTGCGTGGGGATGGGAGCACCTGCGTAGCAATCACAGCTTGCCTCGTCTCATGGCAATGGCTATATCGTTGGTCGGCGAGTTGCGTTTTCTGGATCAAGCTGTACCAGAAATCTCGCGCACAATAAGTCACCTCGAACCGAACGGCGGGTTCGACAACGTCTATGGCATCACGCCGGCGACTACCGCAATGACAACACCGAAAACCGGCGCTGGGGTGACTGATACCCAGCTCTATCTCGAGCGCCAGCGAGCCATTCTAGGCTGCTTTGTCCTTGGCTCGGCCGTCTCAGCCTATTTCTGCCAGGTTGAGGCGCCCCGGTGGATACCTCAGATGGACGAGGCCCTTGCTGCCATTGTCGCCAGCGGCAATAGTGCCGGCGCAGAATGTCCATCTGATGCTGCCCTGGCTATTCAGGTCCGCCTACAGCTCCTCGCCACGAAGGCCGCCGAGGTCAGGGAGCGAGCCCAACTCCCCGACCACCCTCCACCGGAGACTCTTTCGCCTCAATCTCTCCTGTACATCAAGGCGCTGATGGGGCAGCTACAGGAGCTCAGGGCGTCTGTCCCCCCTGCATTCCAACAACACTTTCGTAGGTGTCCAGCTCAGAGGGTTTTATTTAGAAGAATATCAGTCACTGATTGCTAATCGATATTTAGTCCTTCTCGCTCAGACGTACTACACAGAGATGTGCATTATCGAGACCATCCACATCCAGCAATCCGCGCGCCCGCCACCGCCAAAATGTGGGCCTACGCGCATCTCCTGCTTTTGGCAGTCAGCACTCGCGATTAAGTCGTGCACATCAACCTTCCTGACTCTCTCGCCGTCTGGACTCCTTGGCATTTCCTTCTTCCAATGGGCTCAGCTAGTACGGTGTGTGGCCACCCTGCACCAACTAAGCACGCTCCGGGAGCCTGGCTGGGATCCAGCCACTGTGCGAAGGCTCGTCGATCTGCCCGTCTTGTTATCATGCACGGCAGACAAGCTGGAGCTCGCTGCTGCTGAAGCTGGTGAACAACCGGCGTCAGCCGACGGCGTATTCATGCAATTGGCCCGCGGCCTACGCATTTTCCAATCGTCATATCACGATAGAGAACTGTTGAGTCAACAGGAAGAGGCATATAGAGCAAAGGAAACGGGTGATGGAGTAGGAAACAGAGCGGATATGACTATGGCTCCAGTTACGACTACGGAAGGAGATACAGATGCGTTGGCATATAGTCAACACGCAGGATACTTGATGAGTCCGAGGTTATGGTTAGAGGAGATTTTTGTTGATTATGAAGATCAGTCGATACCTACCATGTAGAGGCTTGACATTTTTGTACTGCTAATAAAGGTACATACTGATCGCAAACCACTACTGCACATGTGAAATGAACTACATTACGCTTTCATAGCTTCCACGGTATTATGATATATGGGTACGCACTCTTGCGTCTAAACAGTATTTAGTTTTACTGAGATTATATCTTCACTGTCTCCTACTACTGCCTGCCTCGGAGGTATATGATGAAGTAGCTATACCTCACGGTCCAAATATTGTTCTACTAGGCGACAGTCTGCCCTGGACACACTGCTATAGCCGTTCTTGAAAAGATTGAATATATTATCAATGGACAATTGTGTATGCGTAACTCACATTTGAGATATAACTTAGTGCTAGAGAAGTTGTCGGATAAAGGAAAGTGGATTCTTACTAGCGTATGGCCCTTTTATTCAGCACCCACGTTATGCCTGATTCTTGCGATATCAACGGCTGAATAATACCACAATGGCCTCAATATTCTGAGTAATCCAGATAGCTAGTTAGAACACATCTCAATTCCAGTCTGAATCACCTAAATGGTCCATTCGGATACTAGCGCGTACTGTAATCCTCTAAGTCAACAGAAGTATTTCTACTATGAACGGGCGATTACCGTTTTGGGCTAAAATGGCCTGTAAAAAGCCCGAATTATTTTAAAACTACAGCCAACCAAATTTTGTATAATCTCTTGTAATCTTGTAATATTCCAATTCCTATGATTATAAATATTTATGGCACGTTCCAGCTTGACAGGCCGGACATACTACTATAGTCCGTCAAAAGGAGACCGACCGGATTTCAGATTCCGGTTCCGAGATGCAGCTACTAGCCCTAAATGGATTTACATACTCGCGCAGAAACATTCCGGTCCCTATTCTAAGCTCATGATCTCTTTTTTTTAACTTAATGTTGTCATACAATTGTGTTATATAACTTACGACTGCAAGCTACTTTTCTTCAATAACTACTAATACAGTTCTTGGCACCAGCGAGAGCAAGAGTCAGCTCCAGTGCCATAACCATGACCACTACCGACTCCAACAAGTCAATTGACACAAACATGGTACTGTCGGATGAGAGTGGTGATGTTGAGAAGTACGGCTCCGACAGCGTCGACTCCAAGGACGAGGCCGCAGAAGATGACAGCAACTTTCCCAGCGGCGTGGCCTTATGGTCTATCCTTGGTCCTGTTACAATCGCCTACTTCCTCGTCTTCCTCGACATGTGTGTCGTGTCTACCGCAACCCCTGCCATCACACAACGATTCAACTCTCTAGTTGATGTTGGCTGGTATGGTGGCGCGTACCAGCTCGGCAGCTCTGCTCTGCAGCCACTCACTGGCAAGATCTACAGCCACTTTAATATCAAGGTTGGTCATTCTGTGATAGCTTGAGAAAAGACACAATTGATCATTGTTAACGATGGAAACAGTGGTCCTTCCTCGTCTTCTTCTTTCTCTTCGAGCTCGGGTCTGTCATCTGTGGAGCCGCCGTCTCGTCGCCCATGTTCATTGTTGGAAGAGCCATTGCCGGAGCTGGATCGTCGGGTATTGGAAACGGCGCCATGACAATCATCTCAGTTATATTACCGCGCAGGAAGCAGGCCCAGTTTCTGGGCATAAACATGGGTATCGGCCAGCTCGGTATCGCTTTGGGCCCTATCCTTGGCGGTGCATTCACCCAAAATGTTTCATGGCGTTGGTGTAAGTTGCTTGGACGTCTCTCTACTGCTATAATCTTGCTAACCACCTTCTTCTTCTTGCAGGTTTCTACATCAACCTACCCATTGGCGGTGCTCTGGCCATTTTGCTGTTCCTATTCAAGATCCCCGAGCCGATCGACAAGCTACCCGCCAGACAAGTCCTCGGCACGGCCATTAAGTCTCTGGACCTTCCAGGATTTATGCTCATTAGCCCCGCTGCCGTCATGTTTTTGCTTGCGTTGCAATACGGCGGTACCGTGCACCCGTGGAATAGCTCCGTTGTAATCGGCCTTTTGGTTGGCGCGGCTGTGACCTTTATCATCTTCCTTATCTGGGAATATCGCCAGGGCGACGGTGCCATGGTACCGTTCGCGATGATCAAAAAGCGCATTGTGTGGTCTGCTGCGGGTAACCTGTTCTTCCTTCTCGGTGCTATTTTGGTGGCCGAGTACTACCTCGCCATTTTCTTCCAAACCGTGCTTCACAACAGTCCTATCATGAGCGGTGTGCACATGCTGCCAGCAACCTTGTGCTTAGTATTCTTCACTATGCTCTCTGGAATGATGAGTTCGTCCCCCCACCTCTTTCGTCACTTCAAAGCTAATCAAACTAACGTTTCGCAGCCGAGATCTTAGGTTATTACTTGCCCTGGAACCTGGGAGGAAGCGCCGTGACTGCCATTGGGTATGGACTCATGTCTTTGATTAAACCCACGACTATATCGCACAAATGGCTTGGGTACCAGGTGCTCTATGGTGTTGGCAGTGGTGCAATGACCTCAGCGGTGAGTTTACTTCGTAATATCCCATCTCCTCCACATCCCGAATCGGACTTTGCTAACTTTACTTTCATATGAAGCCCTACATTGCTATCCAAAATCTTGTTCCCCCTCCGCAGATCCCTATTGCCATGGCTATCATCATCTTTTGCCAAAACATGGGCGGCGCCGTGTTTCTGATTGTCGCTAATTCGATTTTCACCAACGGCCTCCGCGCGGAGCTCCAGAAACGCTTCGCCGAGATTGGCGTCAACCCTGATATCCTCATCAGTACCGGACTGAACTCAATCCGAAGTCTTGTTTCGGGCGATAAGCTCACCGCTGCGCTCGAGTGCTATACCACGGCAATTAGCCATGTTATGTATCTCGGCATAGGAGTCAGTGTAGCCACATTTGCCTTTGGCTGGGGGTTGGGATGGGTTGATATCCGTAAGGCGAAGAAACTGCAGGCCATTAAGGGAGATGCTCCGGCTGCGTCGAACACCGAGGATGTGGACTCGACTGAAAAGACCACAGTCTAAGATGGAAATTGAATTGATGTCCCATTAATTGTGTAAGTGGGTCACATGGCTCTCTTGGGACATCGGCCAGTTGGTGGACGGTTCGGTGTTTTCCTTTTGTTGCATTTGTTTGATTGTTTTGTTTATTTTACCCTCAATCTTGTGAGGATCGCTAGATCTTTAGATGATGCTTTTTGCGGACACTGGCAGGAGACTGTTACCTAGAAAAGTGCTGCCGCTGCCGCTCTTGTTGTTATCGATGGGGTGTCAAAAGTCTGTCAACACATCCTAAATCGCTAATGAATCGCGATTTTACGGCACTCTTTTCTTGGTATTCCCTTAATATTAATATATTCACAGAACTAAGATGTAATGAATACAACATATCTTTGTTATATTTTTTCCATGGACTCTTAAATTTGTCGAAGCTTGGGGGATTCATCTGAGTATGCCATGGGAGAACGGTGATGAAGTTTTCATGAGAAATCAGAGGATATGCTGCGATATTTGTCTTAGCAATTGTTAATAGCGGACATGGGATATGTAAATAACACCGCAGGTTTTCGCACTCTATGCATTTAAGGTGTAAGGACTGTAGTAAACTAATACCAGAACGCGACAGAGCGTACATAGAAAAGAGTAAAATGAGTGGTAGATAGCTACGTAACCGCTAGGCTGAGCAGAAACCAATACATAAATTTCTAGTCTATAGTGACACAACAATCTTCTTCGCTGAAACACCCTGCATGTGAATTCCAAATGCCTCCTGGATCTTTTCCAGTCCCTTACCCACGACGATCGCCTCGGGAGCTGGCACAAATTGCGCATTGGCTAGTGCCTCCGGGAGGTAATTCTTGTAGATTTTGCTCACAACTGAGTCCGGGCCGGCGGCATCCGGGCCCAGCAGGATGAACTTGACTTGGACACTCGGGTCAATGCTGCCACCACCGGGCTGACCGCCAGCAAGAGCAATGACTTTATGGGTGGAGGGGCCCTCGTGCTTGGCCAAGACGGCAGCCAGCAGGTCGATGGAGCCATCGCCAATGGAGTATCCACCGGCAAGGTGGAGCCCCTTGACAGCTGCACTGATATCGTCGATCACGGTACCACTCTTGTAGTCAAACACATGGGTAGCACCGAGCTTCTTGACGAAGTCAAAGTTTTTGGGCGACGCCGTCGACACAACCTCGTAGCCGGCGGACACGGCCAGCTGGATTGCGGTGCTGCCAACAGCGGATGAGCCGCCAGTGATAATGACAGCATGCCTGTCGGCGCTAGACGGAGGGGCGGGCACGGTGGGTAAATCAAGGCCCAGGTAGCTGGCGTCAAACAGACCATGAGAGGCTGTGAACACGGCCAATGGTATCACGCTGGCCTGCTCAAAGGTAATGCTTTCCGGCAGTGGTGCGGCTAGCCACTCGCGAATGACTGTGTACAGCTGAAAACCGCCCTCGAGGGAGGTGTTGAGGGAGATGGCAGCAGCCGCAGCCACAACACGGTCGCCGACGCGGAAGCGCTCCACGCCTTCGCCCACCTCGACGACGGTGCCGGCCACATCCTCTCCAAGAATGAAAGGATAGCTGATATGACCTAGCAAACCTTCACCCAGCAGCTGCTTAGCCCAGTCAACCGAATTGATGCCCAGTGCACTATTCTTCACCACGATCTGGTGAGGTCCGGGTTGTGTGTATGGCGCGGGGCCGATCTCAAGCGGCGTAACTTTGGAGCCAGATAGCCAGGCGGCCTTGTTCTCTGGAGTCTGTGCCATTGCTGAAGTTTCTGGTATACACGATGTGTGACTGCGTTTGGTGTGGGAAAAGGGGGTATCGGCTGCTGTTTAAGATAACACAAACAGGGGGAAGTCGTGCAGGTTGACTTCAACAAATTTAAGAATGCAGATGCTCGTGGTACCTTTCCCACGTGGTATTGGTGATATGTTTATGCGGCAACTGATAAATGCCTAGACACCGGAGCGCCGTGCGTACGGAGTTGCGCCATGCGTACGGAGTTGCGCCATGCGTACGGAGTTAGGACAATCAATTATTCTGGAATCATTGGCTGCATCACGATGGCGAGATCACGGAATTAATGGCTTTTGTTTGAGATAACGCCGTGTTAACTGTCGGCATAGGAATACGAACACCGGTTGATTCCTTAGTCGAAATATTCGGACAAGGGTCGGACCGGATTCTGAGATTCCGGTTGTATTTCCCTTCCGCGGGGGCTATCTAGGCAAGATGTCAGCTTACTTGTGGAGAACTCGATTTTAACCTCATATGAATTTCATCTGTGATAATTCTATACTGTTCGACACGGTTATACGCTTGACCGTAACAGTCACGTCTTCAGGAGTGTATAGGCAACTATCACCGTCCCCAGGAAGATTAACACTGCCATTCAATCAACAAATTCGTGTGGCTTTCAAGTCTAATGTCTTCAGATAATTTGAAGCCCCAAAGATGGGGTCAAAAGAATACGAACGGCCCAATGAGGTGACAAAGACGAATGTTGGAAGCGGTTACGGCGGCGGATGTGGCCGAAGATCCTTTGGTGGCTGCTGATTTTCCTCTGACTTTGATACAGCAGATAGAATGTGATCCGTGCGCTTTGTCTGACTCTGCGCAAACTGGCTACCTCGCGTTACATTCGCTATTGGAGATGGAAACTGAAGCCTATCGCTTTCAGCCACAGCATTGATACGATCCTTCAGCTCCGGAAGTGGCCGTAGCCTGCATAAACGAATTTCAGGTCCGGGTCGAGCCCACAAACAGCCCATCGGAGAAATTGAGACAGGGCGACATGCACCTGGGGCGCCTGAGGCGCCACGGACGCCTGGTTCCGTTTTTCGGAGGACGCGACTACTATACCGTGCAGTTAAAGGATTTCTAGCCTTGTGTTGTTGGGTTAGAACATCTCTACTATGAAGATAAAGGATTTCTAGCTTTGTGCCGTTACGTTGAGACATATTCTCAGCGGTTATAGAGCGCATACGGTATGTACTTATCGTATCGACTTACCTATGTGGTGAAAACTCTTGGATTCAACAGGTCCTGTCTCTTGATCCCGTACTCGTGAACTCAACTCGTGGACAGATTGCGTACTTACTGATTCTTGTTTCTTACCGAGGTAGGTTTTGGCCCCCCCGAGGCAGTAATACTTCACTACCCCCTGTCGATAGTTGCATGTTATGGCCTTCTTCGTGATTGATTGGATACGAAATGGCTTACAGGCATAAGCACTAAGAAGTTGCGGCAATGATGCATACTAGGTAGAAAAGGCAACATATACCCCAGGCAATCTAGTTTATATAACCAGGTGAGTACAGAAGTTCAAAGCAAACGTCTGATCTACATCTTCAATAATCAAATTCGGATTCCGCTTCGGCCGTTCGGCATTTCAGGTGGTACTATTGTGGTTGGCAGCCAACGGCCAGAACCTTATACCTACCGATCATATCCACTTTGTTATAGCCGTTTTAAATCGATAATCTGCCATGAATTCAAGAGGCTTCCGGCAACAAGCCGGATTCGCGTGCGAAACCTGTCGGAAAAGAAAAGCGAGATGTGACCGCGTCCGCCCACAATGTGGTCTCTGTGCAGAGATAGGCGTTGCGTGTGTGGTAATTGACCAGAGACCACAAAGGGGCCCCAAAAGGGCCAGCTCGATGAAATGCGAGTCCGAATTGGTGAGTTGCTTTTGCCTTTTTTGCACTTCCTGGTTTTGGGAGAAGCACAATGCCATACCTACCATCTCACTGGTTATATCGCAAGACATTATTAATGCCTGTTGGTTTTAGCGGAGCTCGAATGGCAATTAGGCAAGCAATTGGGGAACCAGGACCCCAGTGCTATGTCCCAGACTCCACCAAAACCAGAACATCAGAGGAGTGGTAATACCACTGGTAGTACTACTCCAAGCATCATCGCTGTCCCACTCGAAGACCACGCCCATACCTCCCATCCTTTGAATGTACCGACACTTCAAACCATAACACCTGCCAGGTCAACGGCATCATCGATCATTTTCCCCACGACGTCAAACCATGCAGCGACGACTGCGAGCGCAACTGTAACTACAACAATTCCCACGTTCCTGGCCGCGGAGCATGATACCAGCCTCCCTGCCTTGATGGATTGGCAAGATATTGAAATGGACAGCGGGACGCTGGCAGACATGGGAAATATGTTACAGTTTGATCTGGAGGCGGGTAGTCCTGTCCGGTTCCTGGGTGGTTTTAAGGTGACTAATCTCGTCTTAGCTGACTTGTGCGTAAATCTTTGCATGCCTTTCATTCTTCCTACAAACCTTTCTGTTGTGCACTCCCGTGTCTGTGTGTCTTTATGTTTTTGTGTGAGAATAAAGCAAAGATTTGTGACTGACCACTTTGGCTTTCTTCAGAGATCAACTGTATTTTGACCGCCTCCATGATGTCCTTCCTATGATACACCGCCGACGGTACTTTAGCTGGGCAGATCAGGAGAAGCCCTCTCCTGCTCGAACCTGTCTCCGGTCAGCCATGCATACTGTGGCAGCAGCCATGTCGGCGCAATATCACAGCCTTGGCGACGCCCTTTACCAAGAAACATGCCAATTACTAGAATCCCAGTGCATGCGAACATTAAGTGGATGTGGTAGTTCTGACATGTCGTTGTTCGCATCAACCAACAACAACCCCGGTCCTAGACCCTCTATTGCGGGCGACAAGATCCCCATCGAGCTGATTCAATCCTGGCTTCTCCTAGCATATTACGACGTTGTGCGCAGCGGTGAACACCAGGCCATGGTTACGGCGGGGCGTGCTTTCCGGCTCGTTCAGCTAGCACGTCTCTACGATGTCGATGAGAGCAGCGGTGTGGAGGATATGCCGAGTAATTGCGACCACTCCGACCAAAATATCCCATATATAATAGCTGAGGAGAAGAGGCGAACTTTCTGGCTCGCCTTTAGCTTTGATCGCTTTCTCTGCTCACGCAACGAGTGGCCCTTGACGCTGCAGGAAGAAGCAGTCCGCACACGTCTGCCCGCCTCGGAGGCAAGCTTTCAGAATAACCAGCCGACCCGAGTGTGCTTTTTATCCGAAGCGATAGCCATGAGTACCAGTCCCCAGTGTTATTCGTCTACAATGATTCCTCTTTCTCCATTTGCAGAATGTATTGTGCTGGCAGCGCTACATGGTCGCTGCATGACACATCGCCGCATGTCGATGCTGAACACTGGGACAGACGAGGCCCAAGAATTCTGGACGAGGCACGACCAATTAACATTGGCCGTAGAGAAAAGGGCTCAGATTCTCGCTCAAAACCCATCGCTAAAGCTGGCCAACCGCAACCCCATGGTTCTCTTCACTCACATGCTGGCGCAGAAGTCGGTCATATATCTTAGCGGCACCCTCGAGATGGCGCTCTTGCAGCGACAACAACAACAAGTTGGCGACCGCCAGCTTTTCGCCAGCTCATACAAGTGGCGGGCTGAGCGGGCAGCGGTCGAAATAGTGGGCCTTGCCGAGTCAGCCAGGTCTCTTGGCTGCTTTAGCATGCACCCGTTTATAGCAGATCCGCTTGCCTGTGCTGCCAATTTCTTTATCCGAAGTGCACAGTCTACCAATGCCAAGGGGCCAGGAAGTGCAAGGAGCAATAGCAGCAGCAGTAGCAGCAGAAGTAGCAGCATCAACAGCAGAGACAGCAGCAACAGCAGTATGAGCAACAATGATGGAGAGGTGGAGAAGCTTCTTTGCTTGCTTCGACATTTAGGCCACTTGAATGTTTTAGCACAAGACTATCTCTGCACTGTCGAGGCTGAATATAGCACATGGTGTGCCGGCCGGCGACAGGAGCAATAACAAGGCGCATATGATATTTTCCCGGTTCCGTTTTTCACGGCGGGTACTGTCTTTATGATGATCTTCGTCGTTTTTACCATTTAGACATGACATTATACATAGTGAAGTCTTTGCCATACCTTGTCTATCTTTCTTCTTTGGTCTCTCCTCCCATGTTTGATCCCTTCGTTTCGAGTTATCCATAGCTATATATGTAATGAAGTTAGGGATCGTCATGCTGGCCTGATCGTTACATGAAGTCCTTAGCCCTTTTATCCAAGTAGGACCATCCGTACCATGTAGTATATATGGATCATAATTACATAATTTTGCTAATAGTTGTTCTAATCAGATAGATATTTGAATCACACCGATTTCCTTTGACCATATATATAATACCAGATTAAGGAACTCGACCTAGGTCCGCGGTAAATTTTCGGGCCATGATCAAGCTGACATATTTCACATGGCAAATACGAACAGGGTTAGACTTACACTGATCTGGATATGCTCGTGTGATGAGGCGGACTGTAAATATTCCGCGGACATTGTGCACCGTAAACATGACATTTATGTCCGCCGTGTAAAGTAACAATTTCTTGGCTAGCTTGACTCGCTCGCTCCGCCTGCTTGCCAAGAGACCTATCCCCGGGGAATTATTCAGGCTGAAATAGGACACTGGTATACATAAGTAGCACGCCGATATGCCAATACTTATGCCCACAAGTTCATTCATACCATTCTCCAATCTACCCACTCTCTAGACTCCACAGCCAGCCATCATGCCCGCTACTCCTTTGCCTGTCAATCTTGCCGGTCCACCATTAAGTGACCGTGAGGCCATTGCCGATGCCTGCTACCGCACCACAGCCTCTATTGACCACGCCGACGAAGAGCTCTTCTGGTCCGCCGTGACTGATGACATATATGCCGAAGTTGCTGGCATGACTGTCACCAATGCACAAGATCTAAAGACCAAAGTTTGGGACAATGTCATCAAGGTCGACACCATCCACTACCTCACCAACATGCGCATCAGCGTTGACACGCCAACAACGGCCCGAGTGACCTTTACATCTCTCGCTCAGCACTGCCGACATGGCAAAGGGTTTGAGCCAGGCCCCAACAAGTTCACCACTGGCGCCATCTACAACTGCGACGCTGTGAAAGTGGGTGACCTTTGGAGGTTCAAGTCGTGGAAGGCGAACCATGTCTGGGGTGATGGTGACCCATCTGTCATGGTGGCTTAGATGGCCTATCCACATTCTGGAGGTGGCAACAACTGCAAAATTGAACTGTGTGCATAGTGTGGTGACATCTTTCTATCCAATATACTTCAGTGTACAGACTCAAATTTATCACGAATGAACTGGGACGGTTACAACATCGCCTTGTCCTTGATGTTGTTTGTCTTTCCTATAAAGCAGCTTTACCTCACAGTATTCGATAGAAGGGTTTTCACTATAAGCAGCCAGAGGCAACCTTTCTGCGAAAAACAACAAGACAAAGTAGCTGGCCAGTTGGCTAGCTCAACAGAAACTATAAGTCAACAAACTGTTTGAAAGTGCTTAAATAATCTATTTTTGATGAGTTTGATTGGAGTAAAATACGAGTATACGCTCAAAATTTACTAAGAAAGAGGTGTTGTCTGATAAAATTGTGATAGAATTAGATAACTCGACCCATGGTACTGCAGCGTCAAGCTTTGCAGGTGGGGCTATATGGGGGCACAACATATGGTGGACCCACCTGTTGAGTAATGCAGTTATGCAGCTATCCATGTGAAGTTATGACCGACATGTCACAGCCCAGTTCCTAATTCCGTCTCCAGTTCCCGTTTTCCCATTTCCTGCAACTGTGGGACGATAAGCACCTCGGCTATCTGGGTCAGCGGGTAAGTTACACTCCGGCGGTGTTTTATTGATGCGCTGTTCAATGAGATGTTGCTTACGGAAGAGCATTACAGAGCTAGTAACGGACTAGCTCCATATCCACGACTCACTTGTGCCCTGCCCCATTTGTGGATAACATCCTGTCTGTGTACTATTGGTCTTCAGACGTTGAGCCCCCCGGAGTAAGGTCTTGAGCCGGGGGGATTATGTGATGAGAGAATGGGCTGAGCAGAATCGGCAGGGTGTCAGTCATGGTATCGGAGCCTGGCTAGTTAAATTTCCGGACTTTGGTGCCGGGGTGGCCATTAACTAATATAAGGGCCATACCAAGCTTTTATACTGCTCAGTCTTGGTTGCATCCTTATCTGCACAGAGCTATACCCCTCCCCATCCTCAACCAATCATGTTGACATGTCTCTTGGCCTTGGCGAGTGTGGCTCCTAGCATGGTAGTCCACGGCCACTTCATTAGACATGATGCTTATACGCTCGAAGAGCTGTATGAACCATGGGTTTCACCCGCCACGGAAATCGCATCTTCAACAGATGCCAACTTTTCTTCCGTTGTTGGACCGCGGTGGTCGGCTTGGGAAGCGCCGCATTGGTCTGGGGCAATCAAGCCCGCAACGGAAAAAGATCTCCAGAAAGTGGTGAGTATTGTTTCCTTGTATTTCGCTTATTGGTATATCAGAAAGACTTATGGGAACAACAGGTCCAAATATCAGTTGCAAACAAGATCCCATTCATTGCAACCAATGGTGGCCATGGTCCGAAAGTCGGTCAAGGCCAGTTTACCGGCATCAACGTGAACCTTGCCAGTTTTAATACTGTCAATATCGATACCGCCAACAATTTGGTGACCATTGGAGCTGGCGTCAAGTTGTGGGATGTCCAAAAAGGGTTGTATGATGTCGGCAAAGAAATCCGTATGTGCCTTCTATTTGATCTCCATCCAATATCCGTCAAAGTCTACTGTGTGAGAAAAGCGGCATATTGACTGACCTGGGATTGTCCAGAAACCGGCAATTCCATCTGCCCGGGTGCCATTGGGGTTACCATCGGCGCCGGCATTGGCATGATGACGGGCATGTACGGTCTAATGATCGACACGCTTAAGTCTGTCCGTATTGTGACCGCAAAGGGCCAATTGGTGAAGGCTTCGGCAACGGAAAACAAGGATCTCTTCTGGGCAATTCGCGGAGCCGGTATCAACTTTGGCATTGTAACAGAAGCAACCTACAGAATCCATGAACAAACCAACCACGGCAATCTGACCGCAGTTACTTTTGTCTACGCGGCACCGTCTAATCGTTCGCTCTGGGAGACCATGAAAACGTTTGATGGCAACCAGCCAGCCAAGCTATCCTTCCAAGCGGTCATCAGGTTTGACCGGACTACCGACTCGTCGAGTATTGTTTTGCAGCTCTGGTACTTTGGCCCTGTGGCGGAGGCACAGCCATACATTGACCAGTTTGCCGCTATCGGTCCGGTTGTTAAATCTGTGACATATCTGCCCCAGACCGAGGTGTTCTACCAGTCCCAGACGGCTGGAGTGTGCGACAGGGGAAACATCATCAGTGCACACACCTTGGGCTTCAAGCAAACTGACGTCGCAAGCTATGAGGCTCACTTTGCAGATATGACGGCCTTTTACAAGGCAAATCCTGCGTTCAAGGGAGAATCCGTGCTCCAGTATTACAGCAACGAGGTGACTATCCAGACACCAGTGTCTGAAACTGCTTTCCCGTGGCGTGATATTCAAGTGTGGTGGTAAGTTCTTCTAGCTCTGTGGAGTGTCTCTGTTGTTTATTTTTCCTTGTACTAATTTCACGATTTATTTCTATTTCTTCAGGCTCACACAAAACGAATACACGGACGCCTCAATCAGGCCTCAGGTTGATCAGTTTATGAGCGGACAACGCACGAATCTACAGGCAACCAGCGGTTTCTCTACGCCTCACGTTTATTTGAACTATGCCTATGGGGACGAAGGAGCGGCCGCATGGTATTCTGCAGCCAACTTGCCCAAGCTTCGAAAACTTAAATCCATATGGGATCCCTCTCGTATATTTGGAAATGGGGCGTCTATTTACTAAACAGGGATTCATACAGCATTATCATACAGCATTATCATAAGGGGTTTACTATGATAGAAAGTCATCTAGCTCTTTAGATTAATACCTTGTCTAGAAATGAAACTATCTGTCATTGAAATTATTTTGAACGTAGACAACCTTTGGATTCTGCTTTAAAAATTATACTGCGATCTTAAGATTTACTCTTATACCTGATTCCGGATACACGCGGTAGTCCTTGTTGAGGATATACAGAGAGGGAGATATAAAGAATGGGGAGATATTGAAAAATCTATACGATAGCAGGGTACTTATTTATACGCTGTAAATATAGCAGATAAAATAATACATGTAAAGATCTCGGTCTAAAATTAAACTGACCGGCAGCAGGGACGTGATAAACCAACAGTCCTACATGAGGTTGTTTGTGTACCTGGATGTTGTAATTCAGTTCTATATTTTTATCTAAAACAACAGAATGTACATTAAGTAGCTGCAGCTTTGATGTTTGTAACCATCTTTTCAACATCGTAGTCCCATATGATTCGGGAGGCTCTCTCAAGCTTCAGTTTGCTCCTCTCAGCATCCCGCCCCGTGGGACCATATCGCCACTGGTACATTTGGCCCATCTCGCGCGAGCTACGCACAACCCATTTTCCACGCTCCATCCTTGCTTGGCTATAGGCCTGCAGTGCGTGTACAATCGCCGCTCTCTGGTCACGATGATCGCCACTATTGCTGCTGGCCTTCACGATATCCAAGGCTTCACAAAGCACAAGAGCGTCTTCGACACCGATACAGGCACCGACACCCTGGAACGGGCTGCTGGCATGAGCAGCATCACCGGCCAGGCAGACGCGACCGCGAGCATATGTTGGCGCCGGGTGTTCGTCCATGTCAAAGATCCCCCATTTGACCATGTTCTCTGGGAAGCACTTCGCAATGTCGACCAGGTGCGGGCCCCAGCCGACCACGATCCGCTCGAGCTCATCGCGTGTGGCCGGAGCCGTCATTCTCTCTGGGTCAGGGAACTCTGAGGACTCATGGGCGAAGAAGGCAACGTTTAGGAGGGTTCCGTTCATGACCTGTTGAGGATGTTAGCTTACGCCGCTTTACAGATGTAAGTCAATTGGTGAAGGGTGTGGCGCTTAGACTGACAGGATACGACATCATGTTGGCGTTCGGACCACAGTGCATACAACCGCTCATTGCCTTGGCCTCACCGAGGGCGGCGATGCCGGCGTCAATGGGCAGCATCGTTCGGTAAGCAACCGTGTGAGTATAGCTGGGACGGGTTGCCGGGTGATTAGCGCCGAGAAGCACCTTTCGGGTGGTCGAGTGGATGCCATCGCACCCAAGCACAGCATGTGCCTCGGCCGTGCTACCGTCGGCAAAATGGAGGACCACTTTATCGTTCGAATCGTTGTCGTCGTAGCTCACAAGCTGCTTCCCAAACTTGGCTGCACCATCTGGCAGCAGTGCAACCATGCCTAACAGGAAGTGTGAGCGCACGCAGCCCCAGAATGAGAGCTTGTTGCCCGGCATTTGGAAGAGCAGTGAGGTCGATTCATCCTCGGCCTCCTGCTTTGTCTGTGGATGGTAGGCATTCCAATAGCTCGTGCTTGCATTGTTAGGATCCGACTTCTGGCTGATGCGGCCCAGCACGTCAAAGATGCCAGGATCCAGGCGCCGCATACACTCCTGGGCCACGCCAGTGAACGAAAATCCAGCGCCGATCTCGTGCCAGCTGGAGGCGCGCTCGTAAATGGTCACTTTGATCCCTCGATTTATCAGGCCGAGAGCTGTCATGGCTCCGATGATGCCACCACCTACAATGGCCACCTCGAGAGAGGGGGTTGTAGTGCTGCTGTTGCTTGCCATGATGTTGAAGGGGTTGAAGAGCAGTCTATTTGCTTCCAAGAGCCGAAGTTAAGCCAATTGGGTATGATAGAATATAAAATATGTATCCAATACTAGAAAGGATACTACCACCTTGATAGGTAGGATGATTAGCGTATAGTTACTACTTATTTTCATTCACATGCATAGTGTCTATTGAAAGTAACACATTTTTTTCGAAACACGGCCCCCAAAAGTATTGCATGTCGATAATCAAATGACAATGAGCAATATCCAGCTTATGTCTGTGTTGTGTAGACTTTCATCCAAGGCGGAGTTACTATTGTCCTCTAGGGCTTATTCATGGATCTACCAAGTACCTGGGCCCAGGAGGTACTATTCCTAGTGCTGACAGTCCCAATAGATTGTTTTAGAACGAAAAATCCCGTGCGGACTTTCGGATAAAATATAGAAACGGACTGCTATTCAGATATGAAACCCCCGGAAGTATATCACGCCTATCTCTATGTGGAAGGCAAGTCCGCAGGCAAGGCCAATCTCCGATGTTAGTAGCCAATTTTAGGGACCTGTAAGGCTGTATGAATCCACATGTAATATCTCGAGTATAGAATCAAATGATACAAGTGATTCGCAACAACTCGGGTTGACCTGATTCTTTTTCACTTAGTGGTTGAGTACCTAGTCAGCTACACACATTACCTACACTACAATGACTACATCTTCTATTCCCTCTTCTGTGGGGGATGCACAGAAGGCGACGACCTTCGTGTTTGGGGGTCACATCGGCACACAGAGCAAAAGGTCACTGAAAAAGCCAGTAAAGCAACTCCTCAGCGGACCCAACGCCAAATGGATATTGGAGGCCGTGGCTGGGCTGCCGCAATACTGGGCAGCCGTGGTGGAAAAGATCCCCGAGGCCGGCACAGTAGCGGGTGCGGAGCAGTTGAGCGACTTCGACTCATGGCTGCGAAACGGCATCTCAGCGGGCGACCTGATCGCGCCCGAGGCAGAGCTACCCAGCGTCGCTATTGGGCCGCTGATGGTAGCTATCCAACTGGACCAGTACTGGCGGTATCTGGAGTTTCGGTTGGGTGATGTTGCTGTTGAAGATCCTCAAGCAGAACTCGTTCGACAACAGCAACAACAGAACACCACCCCGGTGGAAACGCTGGGCTTCTGCGCCGGCCTGATTGCCGCGGTAGCGGTGGCGAGCTCACACGACGTGGACGAGTTTCAAAAATACGGCGCGGTGGCGGTGCGCCTCGGCTTGTTGATGGCAGCGGTGGTGGATGCGCGAGAGGCCCGGGACACGGCCAAGGGCAAGGGCGGGTCGGTGTCGTTTGCGACGGCGTGGCGCAGTGGCAGCAAGCAAGGCGATGACATGACAAGAATTGTGTCTTCGCTAACGCCGGACGCTTATATATCGGTTCTGTTTGACGAGGCGCGAGCGACAGTGACGACATCAGAGCGCCTGGCGCCGACGCTAGTACGGAAACTGCGAGCCGCGGGCGTGAAGGCCGTCCCGTTAGGGTTTAAGGGCTATCTACACGCGCCAGGGGCGGAGCGGAAGCGGGACGCGGATGCGCTGATCGAACTATGCCACTCGACATCGTATGGTGGCCAGCTACAGTTTCCGGCTACAGCGGCCCAGTTGGCCCTGCCGACATACAGCAACTCGGCGGACGGAGCCCATGTCTCGGCCGATGAGACAGATCTCACCGCAATGTTGCTGCGGGCGATCTTGACGCAGCAGTTCAACTGGGCCGGGACGGTGTCGAAGCTGCTATCAGTGTCAGCGTCAACTCAGAAGGAGGTGTCACTAGTGGCCTTTGGACTAGACCAGTGCATTCCACCGACAATTACGCGGCGGTATGGGCCAAAGGAAACATCCTTCGAGGAGCTGGAACCCCATATTGAAAGCCGGAGGATTCAAAGGGCGTCGATGACTGCAGCCACGGCTACCCCAACGGTCAACGGCACTAGCACCGGGGTTTCAACAACCATATCAGCAGCTTCGCCTATGTCAGAACGAGAAAAAGACACTGAGGAGGCCATTGCCATTGTGGGCATGTCTATCAACGTGTCCGGTGCCGAGGATCTGGAGGAGTTCGCGGCGATGCTGAAAACGGGCAAATCGCAGCATGAAGTGATCACGCGGGAGCGGATGATGCACGACATGCTGTTCCGGGATGCAGCAGACGCGGATGGGAAGAAGTACTATGGCAACTTCGTGCGCGACGCGGATGCCTTCGACCACAAATTCTTCAAGCGTAGCCCACGCGAGTCACAGGCCATGGACCCTCAGTGCCGGCTGTCGCTGCAGGCGGCATACCAGGCAGTCGAGCAGTCAGGATACTTCACGGAACCCAAAACAGACAAAGAAGAACACATTGGCTGCTACCTAGGCGTATGCGGCGTCGACTACGAGCAAAATATAGCCTCACATGCGCCGAGCGCGTTCACGGCGACAGGCGGACTACGCAGTTTTATTACCGGTCGTATCGCGCACTTTTTCGGGTGGACAGGCCCGGCGATGACGTTCGATACAGCTTGCTCGTCGTCGACGGTAGCGATGCACACTGCCTGCCGTAACATCCTGTCCGGCGAGGCAAGTGCTGCGCTAGTCGGCGGCGTCAACGTCATGACCAACCTGCAATGGATACAGAACCTAAGCGCCGGCAGCTTCTTGAGCCCGACGGGGCAGTGTAAGCCATTTGACGGCGACGCCGACGGCTACTGTCGGGCGGAGGGCGTCGCTTTCGTCTTTCTCAAGAAGCTATCAGATGCCCAGGCCGCCGGTAACACGGTGCTGGGAACGATCCGGGCAACGGCAGTTTACCAGAACCTCAACATCACGCCGCTGTTCGTGCCCAACGTGCCGTCGCTGTCGCAGCTGTTCAAGGACGTGATCAAGAAGGCCGGCATCGACCCGGCTGAGATCTCCGTGGTCGAAGCCCACGGCACCGGCACGCCAGTCGGTGACCCAGCCGAGTACGAGAGCGTCAAGCTGGCGGTGGCCAGCCCGCTACGTGAAACCGCCGTGGCCATTGGCTCAGTGAAAGGCCATGTCGGCCACACAGAGGGCGCATCCGGGGTGATCGCACTGGTGAAATTACTCATGATGATGCGCGACAACTTCATCCCACCACAGGCCAGCTTCAAGCGCATGAACCCACACATCCACGCGTCGCCGACCGATATGGTAGAGGTGGTGACGGCGCTACGACCGTGGCCGGCTGACCGCAAGGTCGCCCTGCTCAACAATTACGGCGCCTGCGGGTCTAACGCCAGTCTCGTCTTGGCCTACTCAGCGCACAAGCCGACCCCGAACAACCGCTTGCTAGCTGAGGCAACGGCCCGCCAGCCCTTCTGGATCACCGGATTCGACGCACGCAGCATCGCCGTCTATAGCAAGGCACTAGCTCTGTACCTACGCACCCACACAGGAGGCCAAAAGGCAACCCTGGCCGATGTGGCGTTCAACTTGGCCCGGCAATCGAACCCCGGTCTACCGCAGGGATTGGTCTTCAGCTGCCGGTCACTAGAGGAGCTGCAGGAAAAGCTTACCCTCGCTGCCGTGGCTACTAAAGAAACAGCCGCCGCCAGCGGTATCGCAGTCGTCAAAGCGGAGCGGCCGGTCGTTCTATGCTTCGGCGGCCAGAATTCCACGTTTGTCGGGCTGGAGCGCGCACTCTACGATGGCGTCGCCGTTTTGCAACAGCACCTAGACGCGTGCGATGCGGCCGTCACGGCGGCTGGCTTGTCTAGCATCTTCCCTGCCATCTTCTCGCGCAAGCCCATCCGCGACATCGTCCAGCTGCAGACTGCCCTGTTCGCCATGCAGTACGCCAGTGCCCGGGCGTGGATAGACTGCGGGCTGGCCTCGAAGGTCGTGTCAGTCGTGGGCCACAGCTTCGGCGAAATCACGGCCCTCTGTGTAGCAGGCGTGCTGAGCCTCAGCGACACCGTCCGACTTGTCGCTGGCCGGGCGAGGTTGGTGCGCGACGCCTGGGGGCCGGACTCTGGAGCCATGATGGCGGTAGAGGCGGATGAGGCACTCGTGCATGATCTACTCAAAGCGGCTAATATCACCAGTGACGGCTCCGCCAGCATCGCCTGCTACAATGGCCCTCGTAGCTTCACGCTAGCCGGGACAACCCAGGCCATCGACGCAGTTGCTGCAACTCTCGCTGGCAATAGCAAGTTTGCCGGAGCTGGTATCAAGAGCAAGCGACTCAATGTCACCAACGCCTTCCACTCAGTGCTGGTAGAGCAGCTCGTTGGTGAACTCGGAAACGTCGGCCGGGGCCTGACCTTCCACAGCGCCGAGATCCCGGTCGAACGAGCTACTGAGCACGATTCAACAGAACCGCTAGACTGGAGCTTTGTGCCGTCGCACATGCGCCAGCCTGTTTTCTTCAACCACGCTGTACAGCGGCTAGCCAAGAAACACCCGCAGGCTATATTCCTGGAGGCTGGATCTAACTCAACGATCACAGTGATGGCGAGCCGTGCGTTGGCCCAAGTCACTTCTGCCAGCCCTGACATGCTCGCTTTCCAGGCTGTGTCCATCACCAACACCGAAAAGGGCCTTGACGGACTCACAGATGCCACCGTTGCGCTATGGAAGCAGGGCCTGCGCGTGTCCTTCTGGCCTCACCACCCTTCCCAGGCACGTGAGTACGTGCAGCTGCTGCTACCACCGTACCAGTTCGAGAAGTCACGCCACTGGCTGGATGTGAAGTCGCCGACGGAGGTTGTCAGCAAGGCAGCCCAGGCCATGATTGAAGCAGGAGGTTATACCGTCGGAGGTGCCTCTGTCACTCAAGTGGAAGACCCCCGTTCCCTCCCTCTCTGGACATTCATCGGCTACCCAGAGGCCAAAAAGAATAAGAAGCTTGCCCGCTTCCGCATCAACACTGCCTCGGACCCGTACCAGCGCCTATTTTCATCCCATGTCATCGCCCAGACAGCACCCATCTGCCCGGCGACACTCGAGATCGACATGGCCATCGAGGCTCTCTTCAGCCTCAATCTAGACTGGCGACCAGCTGGTTATTCGCCTACGGTGCACAATCTCATCAGCCACGCACCGGTGTGTGCCGACTCGACGCGTGTTTTCTACATGGACCTATCGCCGCTAGACAAGGCCGAGATGAAGTGGCACTTGAGCCTACACAGTGTGGCCAGCAACGGCGACTCCCAGGTCCATGCCGAGGCCACGATACGCATGCGTGCACCGACCGACACCTCGTTTTTACAACAGTTCAGCCATTACGAGCGTCTGGTCAACCACGCGCAGTGTCAGTCTCTTCTTAAGCTAGATCTCGACAACGACGGCGTCGAGATGCTACACGGCCGCAACGTGTACCGCGCCTTCAGCGAGATTGTCGATTTCGGGCCGGTCTACCGCGGCGTGAAATACATCGTCGGCCGCCCCGGCGAGAGCGCTGGTGTTATTCATAAACGCCACGAGGGCCACACTTGGCTCGACGTGCCTATGGGCGACTCCTTTGGCCAGGTCGCCGGTATCTATGTGAATCTGCTGACCGACGACCTGCCGCCGGGCGAGATGTTCATTGCCACCAGCTGCGAGCTCCTAATGCGATCGCCAAAGGCACTCCCAGAGATTTCTGGTAAAGAGAACGGCCCCGGTATCTGGCACGTCCTTGCGCGCCATACGCGCCAGTCTGACAAGGCCTACATAAGCGACGTTTTTGTCTTTGACGCCGCCACAGGCGCGTTGAACGACGTCATGCTTGGTCTGCAGTATGCGCGCGTGCCCAAAGCGTCCATGAGTAAGATTCTCACACGCTTCACGACAGACCAGAAGTTCCTTAGAAATCCGGCGGTGGCACCGTCTGTTCCGGCTGCTGCTGCTCCTGCTGCTGCTCCCCCAGTTGCAGTTGCTGCTGCTCTCGAGGCCGTCAAAACTAGTGCTAAAGTAAAGAAAGAAAAGAAGAAGACTCCAGACATCACCCAAGACGTGTGTAACCTAGTCGCTAATGTCTCCGGTGTCGACCCCAGCGACATGACACTCGACAGCGAGATGGCCGACCTAGGCATTGACTCGCTGATGGGCATGGAGCTGGCCCGCGAGGTCGAGAACACGTTCAAATTCACCCTCGACCACGGCGAGATGATGGAGGCAACCAGTCTGCGCCAGTTTGTCGCCTGCGTCGCAAATGGGCTGAGCAAGATGGGGGTAGATGCCGGGGGAGACGCCGTCGATCAAAATTCAGATGACAGCGACAGCGACTCCGCCGCAGAACTCATTACGCCGCCAGATGAGAACGACGACACTGCCTCCGATATCACCACCCCAGACCCAGAAGAGGCTTCTGCTCTCGCTAAGCCCGTCTCGCTACCAGTCGGTCCAGTCACCAGTAATCTGACCCTCTCCCACTCCGACATCCTCGAGTGCTTCGGCCAGGTCAAGCTAACGACTGACGATAAGATCCGCGAGTTTGGGCTTGACAGCATCGCCCGCGTCAGCCTTGCCGGCAGCAGCAAACTCTGCACAGCCCTAGTCGTCGAGGCCTTTGACCAGCTCGGGTCGCCGCTGCGAACAGCCGCATCGGGGCAGCTGCTAGACCGAGTTGCATTCTTGCCACAGCACGGCCGCATGATGGAGTTTGTCTACGGCTTCCTCGAGCGTGAGGCGCGCCTAATTGATATCGATACAGTGACGGGCCAAATTACGCGCACGCACATAGCTGTGCCGCGCAAGAACAGCGCTACCCTGCTCGAGGAGATGGTCGCTGCGCACCCGGAGTCCGCCATCCCCGACCGCCTGGCCTACTACGCCGGCAAGAACCTGGCCGGTGTGCTCAGTGGCACCACAGACGGTATCCGCGTTATCTTCGGCAGCGCCGAGGGCCGCCAGCTTGTCCAGGCCATGTACTGCGACTATGGCTTCAACCGCATGCACTACCAGCAGATGGCTGATGTTATCACTCAATTATCCAGGCGTGTGACTCAGCCCGGCGAGACCCTGAAAGTTCTTGAAATGGGTGGCGGTACTGGGGGTACGACGAATGTGATGGCTCCGGTGCTGGCGTCCCTGGGTATCCCTGTTGAGTATACCTTCACCGACCTGTCGCCATCCATGGTAGCCAACGCGCGCCGCAAGTTCGCCAAGCAGTACCCGTTTATGCGCTTTGCTGTGCATGATATCGAGAAGACACCGGCTGCGGAGCTCCTGGGACAGCATCTTGTTCTGGCCAGCAACGCCATCCACGCCACCCACGACTTGGTTGTGTCGACCCAAAACGTACACCTGGCCCTCCGCCCTGACGGCTTCCTTATGATCCTCGAGATGACTGAGTGCGTGCCGTCTATGGATATTGTGTTCGGCTTGCTCGAAGGCTGGTGGCTCTTTGACGACGGCCGCACCCACGCTGTCGTGCCCACTGAAGACTGGGAGCGCGCTCTGCACGCCGCCGGCTTCGGCCATGTCGACTGGACTGACGGCAACCGACCCGAGAACGCCTTCCAGAAGGTTATTATTGCCCTGGCCTCTGGAGAGCGGAAAGCTCGTCTCCCGGCGTCTGTGGCGTCTGTGGAGGAAACCAGGGTGATTGATAGAGGCGACGTAGCCGCCCGCGAGGCCGATGCTGAACAACTCGTGGACTCCTACACGTCCGGCTGGGCCACGCCGGCTCTCGATTCCGCAGCCATCGACGTCTCTACTACTTCTACTCCTGCTGTGGTCATCGTCACAGGCGCCACCGGCAGCCTGGGTGCCCACCTTGTGCAGACCCTCGCCAAGCGCCCCGATGTCGCCACTGTCGTCTGCATGAACCGCCATTCCAGCGTCCCAGTCCATCAGCGCCAAGCCGAGGCCTTTTTGTCAAGAGGCATTGCTCTGTCACCCACCGAGCAGGAAAAGCTGCGCGTCTACGAGACCGACACTTCCAAGCCGCAGCTCGGCCTGCCGACTCAAGAATACGTCTGGCTGGTCTCGCATGCCACCCACATTGTGCACAACGCCTGGCCCATGAGCGGCACAAGGCCCCTCAAGGGCTTCGAACCACAGCTGCAGACCATGCGCAACTTGCTTGACCTAGCGCGGGAGATAGCTCTAGGAAAGCCAAAGACGCGCGTCGGCTTCCAGTTTGTGTCCTCGATCGGTGTGGTCGGTTACGCGGATACGTCCGCCGGACCGCGAATCAAGGAAGACCGTGTTCCGATGGCTGCCGTCATGCCCGGCGGCTACCCCGAGGGCAAGTGGGTGCACGAGCGCATGCTCGACGAGACACTGCACTGCTACCCGCACCTATTCCGCGCGACCGTCACGCGCCCAGGCCAGATCGCCGGCTCCAGTCGCAGCGGCTTCTGGAACCCAGTCGAGCACTTTGCCTTCTTGGTTAAGAGTGCGCAAGTTTTGCGCGTGTGGCCCGATCTGCATGGTACCCTGCAGTGGCTGCCTGTCGACCGTAGCGCTAGTGTCATGGTGGATTTGCTGAAACTGGAAAATGACAGTGATGCAGCTTACCCCGTTTACCATATTGACAACCCGGTCGGTCAGCCGTGGGAGGACATGTCACCGGTGCTGGCGTCGGCCCTCGACATCCCTCCTCAAAACATCATCCCCTACGCTGACTGGATTATGCGCGTGCGCCGCTCGCCACTGTCCGCCGACGAGAACCCAGCTGCCCGTCTAATTGACTTCCTCGACGGCCATTTTGAGCGCATGTCCTGCGGTGGCATCATCCTCGACACCCAGAAAGCGAAAGAGCACTCGGCCACCATGGCTGCTGAAGGGCCCGTGAATGCCGATATCGCGCGGGCCTATGTGGCATCTTGGAAGGCCATGGGATATCTGAAATAGATTGTCATATTAGAGAGTTATTGATATGTTTTTTGTTCTTTGTTCTTTCTTTTTTGGCTTGATTGATTTTGGCGTTTCGACTTGGTTCGGATTGGCTAGAACATGGAAATGTGCCCAGATTGTTGCTCTCAATAGTAGTTTAGAGTACATATAATTGAAAATTTGGATATACGAGTGAACAGTAGCAGAAAAGTAAAATCACTTCATTGGCCGAGAGCTTCGAGTTGTTATGGCTTTCTAGATGAGATTTATGTGTCAAAAGATGTTCTTTGGTCACGTGGTGCACAGTTGATGCCTGAGGTATCGGCCAGAATTCGTAACGAGCGACTCTGCTGGGAGGCTCCATCGAAGGTGAGAAAGGTAAACCAGACACCGTCTCGCGAGCCAAAACGGTGAATGCCGTGCTGGACTTCGCTGAGGCGTCACAGCGGTTTCGCAGTCGCGCGAGTAAAGCCGTTGTATTTTGATATCCTCAAGAGGGAACTTAGGCTCAGAGAGCCTCATTTCGGATTTTGAAAGCAAAGAGAACAATCGATTCGAGTCTGAGATCAACAATAAGAAGGGGCATATAGTGCATGAGACGCAATGCGGACCTAGGAGCCAAACAATGCTCATAGTCACTCTTCAAGAACTCACCCCGGCAGACAGATGAAGGGGACAACCAGGTGGGTTCACTTGCGTCCTATGCATGGGAGTTTCTCTCTCTGTAATGCACGCCTCGGTTGGGCTTTGAGAGTACTCAGTGCTCTTAGATTATTGTTTCAAGCGCTGGCTTCTCTAAACAATCATTACAAAGAGAGCACATCTGAATTGTTCCAACTTTGCCAGGCCCATTATTGATTGTTACCCTCTTTGATTCAGACAAAGGGATTCTCTACCAGCTTCCCGCTACAATAGCTTTTGTGCTTTCTAGTGTCCAAATCTGGCAACTCTAGAAGATAAATGCAGGCCAGTCCCTCATCCGATTTTATCTTTCTCAGGTACCATCACTATGCTCAAGTCTCCGAGCTAACCTATATCCATCAACCGAGCCCACCTCCCTCTTCAAGCAGCCCTTAATGACCCCGAATTCATCACACATACAATCGTCAACGCGCCTACATTCTTGAAGATCTTCACAAAAATGTGCATGCTGCGCTACAAATGGTACCGCGGGTCTATTCCCTCTCCCATTAATGAACATATCCCCGGCTGCGGGCACACAGAAGGATGGAGAATCGAACGCTGCGAGGAAGCCCGAGCTCGCTGCAGGGGTGCCTTTTGTGAGGACCCACAACCAGTCCTTCGCCTCGAAGACTCTTACACGATGGGAGATTGTCGTACATGCCAGGGTCTGCGCCCTTTCATCCCCCACGCCCCTCCATTCCTCAACCCGGAGCAGGTCGATGATCCAGCATACCGAGAACAAGAAAAGCGACGGAGGCAAGAGCAAGAGCGGCGAGAACAAGAACAGGAGCAGAGAGAACAAGAACAGGAGCAGAGAGAACAAGAAGACCTACGCCAGTATGGACATCAAAGTCAACAAGAACAAGAGATTTATCAGCAGGGAATAGATCGATACGAACAAGAAAGGCTACGACAACGATACGAACGACATCGGCGATATCAAGAGCAAAATCAAGAATATGCGCGACTGCAACTGCGAGAACAAGCACTCCTCCTCCGAAGACTGCAGCAACAGGACGAAGAGCAGTGACAGAGGGTAGAACAAGCGGAAGAAGAACAAGAGCGATTATGTGAGAGGCTCGAATAAGGGAATCAAGAGCGGTCAAGATATGTCAGACGAGGTTAGAAATGAGGTGTAACTCTACACTTCTCGCGCAGGCTTCGATCATGCTTGGCTTGATCTCTTTTCACCCTCGTTGCGAAGTCAAATACACCACACTGCTCGAATATGGGAATACGTCTTACTGCACAGGTGAACCAGATTGAAATGAAGTTCCAATAGCAGCATATCATCATCTTTATGAAGCAGAACCCTACCCCGGGGATTAGCTAGTCCAAGACAAAGCACAGTTTGTAAAAGAAGAGACCTCGCACCTGACTTTCCACTTTCCTCTTATCCATTTACGCCGCCGTAGTACGTGTATATGAATTTTATGCAAGGTGGACTGCGAATTGAGACAGGTGCTAGAGATCTACATGTGTTGTTAAAAACGGACATCTACAGCTAAGCCATAGATTGCGGACATCGATTAATCATCTTTCATTAAAGCTTTTAGAGAAATCCTCACAGCCTAGACAACTTTTGTGGTAGAATCTCAGACAGTTCTTGGGCCTCCACAGCGATTGGCTGGTCACTCGTTGCTCCTAAGAGATCCAAGACCAAAGATCCCACCAGCGAAAACATCCTAGAGCCCTGCTCGGAGTATCCTGAGTTGCCCGAAAGCAATATGACCGACGGGTCTTTTGGCACGTAGTCGACGAGGGAATGCGAGAGGTTGGTGTACCACGACAGGGGGGTAGCCAGGGAGTCATGCATAGGGTCAATTGCAGGCATTGATTGGCTATCTCCAGCTCCAGCCTCAATAATGACTAGAGCCGAGCGATAGAATCGGCCATCCTGTGTGCGAATACCGGCATTCTTCCTCCCGGTCAATGTGCTCACATATACTATCTCGTCAACCTGTTGTCCCAGAAAGAATTGCACGCCTGCATCTTGGGCTGTGCGATAGACCTATATGCAAGATATAGAAATTAGCCACTATTTCCACCGATTTGATTGTTTTTCAAGGCCCACTACAATTGACAAGTCTCCCGAAGGGGCATGATTATCTTTTCCAAACACCAAGATGTCAGTGTAGCCTCTTTGGGAGAGATGAAGAGCTGCAGAAAGGCCAAAAGACCCAGCGCCGACGATAATAATGGGATCAGATTTGGAAAGGCCCATGGTCGCAAAAGAAAATAAAATAAAACGACCAGTGTGGGATGGGTGCGCAGTTATAGCCCATGCAACTAATTGGCTAAAGTTGGAGATAGCTACAAACACAGTCATTCCAGTCAAATCTTTGATAACATGAGGAGACCGTGAGGGGAACAGTCGACTAGCGCTGATCACCGGCAGGCGGCCCGATCATGTGCTTTTCTCCAATTTTGATCGAATTGGACATTGATCCTATTAAATAGCATGTCTGGGGGCTTAGTATGCTGTAGATGTCAAATTTTGAACAGAATGGCTCGGTATTGACCCTTGAACTCATGATCGCAGCATCCAGATCTATAGAATTGACCGCGGAAGCTGTGAGGGGAAGAACCATGTTGCAATTGGAGCACATCTGGGCTTTCAACATTTGGATCTGGGATACTATGAGACCTTATCTGAGGGTAAATTGAAGGTCACTCCTTCACATATATTCCTTGAAAAGAATCTCATCGCATAATCAAGTTGACAACTATGTTTGTCCAGCTTGATAATTTACTAACAGCACCTCGGGGGAAGCCGAGGAGGCTAGGAACACTCTACTAGAATCAATCAGAGTAATAACCAAGAAATATGCAATTAACCAATGTTGAAACCTGTTGAGATTCAAACTCACTGCGATCTTAGCGGGGCGTGAACCGATTCTCCACCGGAAGCACTCCCGATGTTCTTCACAAATGACCACTTGCTCTTCTACCTCTTCGCTTCCTCATTCTTCATTATATTCAACATTAATCAATTTATCTCCCTCTGTCACATTATGGCCAACATTCAAAATGGAACCCTTTGCATCCTGGGGTGTGGTATGTGTGCAACTCTCTACACAGAGAATAGCCATTGACGACAATCATAGGAAACCTGGGCATCGCCATCCTAAACGGCCTGATAAGTGTACCTGCGGAGAAATCCAGCGAGCTACCCTTCACGCGGTACATCGCCTGCGTGCGCAGTGAATCGTCAGAGAAAAGACTCACCGAGCGATTCGCCCAATCAATGAACAAAATAAGCATCTCTCGCGGCGGCAATATACAAGCCGTCCAAAGTGCCGATGTAATCATCCTAGGCGTAGACCCTGCAGACATCCAGACCGTCCTCACCCAGCCCGGCCTCCGCGAAGCATTAACCGACAAGCTCCTCATCAGCATTGCAGCAGGCTGGACCCGGCAAAAACTCGAAGCGATAATCTACGGCAGTGCCACTACCGCCGACAACACAGCTGGGCGCGCATGGGTGGTGCGCACATTGCCCAATATCGCCGCACAGGTCTCACAATCCCTCACGGCAATCGAAACATCCGAGCCCGCATTGCCAGAGCGATATCTGCAGATCACGACGTCAATCTTCGAACAGATCGGCAAGGCAGTACACATTGATCCGCGATTAATGAATGCCACTACAGCCGTCGGAGGCTCGACGCCTGCCTTCTTCGCTGTGATCTGCGATGCGATGATCGATGCTGCAGTTGCGGTCGGGGTTCCACGCGATCTGGCGCACACGATGATCTTCCAGTCCATGCAAGGGACGGCGACTATGCTCCAGAGTGGGATGCATCCTGCCCTGCTGAAAGATCAGGGGACTTCCCCGGAGGGATGCACGATTGGCGGGTTGATGGTTATGGAGGAGGCTGGTGTGCGTGGGCATGTTGGACGGGCGCTCAGGGAGGCTGTGACTTTGGCGCGGTTGATGGAAACGACGGATCATGTTAATGATACCAGGCATTAAGTTAGACTGGGATGTGATAAAGCATATATGAATAAGATTATACAGTTAACGAGAATGAACGCAGACTATCACCAGCTATCAAGACTGAAACTAATTACCTCCAACAATACCCTTGAAAACATCAAGAGTATGCTGCCAAACCGTTCTCCTCGTTCCGTCTTCACGATATCCATGCAAAATCTTCTGGTCGGCGACAGTCACCGAATCAGATCCAACCAAGTAAGCCCCAGAGCCCTGCACCCCATCCGAGCCCATCGCAGCATCAGCGCCTCCAACAGTCCCCTTAGGCGTGAAACTAGGACTAGTGGCTGTATAGAGGTGCCTCTCTCCACTCTCCCCTAAAGGAACAGTCCACCGCGCAGCAATAGTAAACAACACATTCATCGCGGTCTTCATGACGAAGTTAGAATCACGCGCGAGACCCGTCTTCACAACACCCGGGAAAGTGTGAATGAATGATGTTGAGGGGTGCGCGGCAGCAAGCTCTTCCATAGACAGAGATGTCATGGTAATCGCGTGGTTGGCGCAGTTGCGCAGCGAGTAGTTGTCTTTCAACGACAGGTCTTTCAAAATAAGAGGTGCATTGCCTCGTGCATCAAGGACAGAGACTACGCTTGATAGATTTCTCTGAATACCAGCTGCGCCTTCAGTGCTCGTGGCAGCTTTAGTTAGCTGAGGAAGTAGATTGGACAAGAAGCGCATGCGTGAATAATAATGGAGACTCAGCTTCTTGTCCAAGCCTTCGTCGGTTTCTGCGAAATGTTAGCAGGCTGCGCCAATCAAGGGGATCAGGCCAACAGGGAAGGGAGATAGGGAATGAAGAAATCCATAACCATACCATCACGCCCTTTCGCAGTGAAGATCCCAGCACTCAAAAACAACAAATTAACCTTCTCCTCCTTAGCTTGAATAGCCTTGCAAGCCTCGTCGACCTCATGCAAACGCGAAACATCGCCCTTGACAAAAGTAATCTGGCCATCCGGGTTCGAAGCACGGAGCTCCTCAATAATCTGCGACGCCCGACTCTCACTCCGACCGACGAGGTAAACACGTGGAGAGATAGTCGATCGGACAAAGGCGCGGGCGGTTGTTTCGCCGATGCCGCTGGTGCCGCCGACTGGGGAGGTTGGGTTACTAGGGGGTTCTCGTGGGGATGCGCAAGGGTCTTACCGAAGACTGCTACTAGGTTGGGGCCATACTCCTTTAGAGTGGAGTTGTGCTTTCGTACTGTGTCGATGGAGACCATTTTGATATGTTGGTTGAAGAGTACGTTGGAGGTAAGTTAGCTTACAAGTAGGAGTGTGGCTTAGCGCGGTCTGTCCACCCGGCCCGGGATCATTACTGGAACAATAGTTCAATAGATGCTATTTCGAAGGCATAACCAGCATTGACTAATAACACCCAGAAAATAGGAGTTCAGTAAGAATTACAGGACTTCAAATCTCTCGCCTTTAATTTCCCTCTGCACCTTCAGCATGGCATAGCTTCTCACAGTAATAAGTCATCTGTGAACAGTATTAGCAACTTTGACTCGCTGCCAATAGATTGAAATTACCTCATCACCACCAATATGCCATCCTGCAGAATTACAGTAGTTGCCATCCTAGAAAGTATTAGCCCCGCCCTTCGTGCTTGATAAGTACCAAATGAATACATACAAAGGTACAATCAGGGCACTGATCGTATTGCTCATTACCAGTATTGCGCTGCCTGTAAAAGTCGCACGCGCACTTGGTCTCATCTGGTAGGATCTCATAGTCCTTGGACCATGTGTAGCTGGGACTGAAGGGTGAGCCTCCTACTTCGGAGTATTTTCTGTTGGTGACGCAGACTGCAATATTGTGCAGCTTTGCAAGGGCTCTATATGAGGATGGAGCTATGTCAGATATCCTTCATTTTCTCAAGGATTGAGAGGATACATACCCTCCAAGAAGGAATAAGAGGGGGAATGCTGTGGACCGCATGGTTGAACCTTTGATGAAAGCACAACTTGTTAGAATGGAAGATGTATATTTCAGAAGATATATGGGATTGTACGGTTATTTAACCCCAATCTCTCGCTGTTCAAATAGGTTGACCTATATACGACTATGTGATCCACAAGACACCGACTGCAATAGCATCCGCTCCATTAGCAATTTAGCAATTGACTTCCGACTATCTACTGGTAGTGACTTGGTTGCACAGGAAGCTGTTTCATCTTGAAATGTCTCAGAAATAAACTTTCAAGCCAACCGTTGTCTGATCTGCATCACGAACGGTAGATCAGGGGAAATCTCGGGGAATCATTGCCCAGCTGCAACACAAACGATTTGGCGAAACCTCGGGCAATCAATGGGACCCTTAGCAGGATAATCTATCTCATGGGGGCTAAAAATGAGACATTGTGACAGGGTCAGTTCCGCTAAACAGACTTGACCTTAATGAGGTATGAGATCGGCGGCATTGCATGGTTGCTCTCCGCGTTATGGAGAAGTATATCTATCTGACTTTTGCCAAGAGGAAGATCATCGTGAGGACATGCTGATTTGACAGGTTCGGAAGAAAGAGGTTTTGGAAATACGATAGAGAATCTTTGGGCCATATGAGACCAGGGACGATCTTTGACCTGACAACTTAGTTCATTTCTCCTTCTAGTTAATGCTTTGCGTTGAAGAATGGAGGATCATTGGAATGCTGAGGTATTTTGTCTCTTTTTGGCTTCCACGGGCTGAAGGATCAGAGACATGCACATCGTGCCCGTAAATGGCAGTCGGTCCCTATTCGCAAGATCCACAATCAGACTATAGGACTTCAGGTGAAACTCGTGAGCTCTCTCGGCTCTAGGTGTCGTGATAAGTGATGGTATCGGTTCATTTATAAAGTCAGATATCTCCCGAGTATCACGAAGCATAACGGTGTATTCCATCTTTCGCTGCTTTCGTCTTAAGACCCTCTTTTCCATTCACTATGCTCCTCGTCCATGCCGTGGCCCTGTTGGCCACAGCTGCCAGTGCAGCACCATTTGCTGAGCGAAGTCTCAACAGCACCAAGTGGACTCCGGAACATGTTCTCCAGCCAGGAGAGATCATCTTGTTTGGCGAAGGCCGTAGTAAGTATCCAAACCCTGGATCAAAGGTATGACAGACAGCTAACCTTGACATTAGTGGAGGTTGTCCATGAAAGTGTCTATCAAGAGCTTATATCCTCGCAAGCGCTCTCCCATCACCCAGGCGACTTCCACGCCGTCGAGACCCCTTCTGCCAGCCGCAACAGCTCCAAACTCCACTACCGAGACTCATGCGACCTAACCACGGCAGTAATCACCGACAACACCCAAACATTCGTCGACTGGGACGTCCAAATGTCCCCCGTTGTAATCGGCACGGGGAACGGCATGGACGTCTCAGTCAGTTCCGGCTACACCGTGGGAAACAGTATCAGTGTGAGTGCCGGATTGGACTTGAGTCTGATCAAGGACAAGCTTGGCAGCTCGGTGGGTATTGACTATACTCGCACATGGACTACACAGACCGTGGTCACCGTCAAGGGAACCGTTGCGAACGGATACTCTGGTGTGATGATTACCAAGCCTATCAAGACACGCAAGTCTGGTCGGGTTCTGAAGGGGTGTCTTGGTTCGCAGACTGAAGAAGGGACATTTTCTGCTGATTCTTATGAGGATGGGTCTTATTCTGGGGTTAAGTGGGTTTCCGGTGCTATCACGATGTGTAGTAAGAAGGAGTTTCCTCTGTCTCGATGCTCTGGAAGTGGAAACTTTGTCTGAGGTGGAAAGGTGGAGAGTTGGTGACCGTTGATATTGATGTATGGTTAAAGGGTTACTAGTTAGGGTGCCAAGCAGCAAATCACATGATATCGCCATCCCACCTGTGGCCTGAAAGGTCAGGCCACATATAACATCATTTGCCCCTCGTCCCTCGTTTTCCCTCATTTTCCCCCAATTCTCCTTTTTCTTTTCTCCACTCGAACCAGTCAGGAATACGAAATCCGAACAATAAATGGCTGGAAGCCAATTACCGATAGTCTTAGCCTATCATATGAGTTTATCTTATTAAGCCTTTAAGGCCAGACCGATAACCGTAATCAACGGTTCTCGACGGTCTTTCTTGCTAATCCACACGGTTCGGTATCTTTCTACTTCGGATCACCTCATGGCCAATGCCTGGCTGTTCCTGTCCCACCCATTCCCGATGGGCCGATATGTGTAAGCGGTGTGGTCTTAAATACTTCTTCACGTCCAAAACTCAACTTCTTCAATCCATCTATCTCTCTATCTCTACTATCTTCTCTCTCTTCTTAATTTCCACTTCCAACCGTCAAAATGACTAAGGGTTTCAACGCTGGTGACGCCTTCCCCGAGAACGTCGTGTTCTCGTGAGTATCCCTCAATGCCCTCTATCTCTATCAATGACTAACAACAATAGTTACATCCCCTGGTCCGAGGAGTCCGGCGAGATCACCTCTTGCGGTATCCCCATCAACTACAACGCCTCCAAGGAGTTCGCCAACAAGAAGGTCATCCTCTTCGCTCTGCCCGGTACGTGACCGCTCTTTTGAAAATTTCTCGTTTTGCCTCCTGCACCCCGTCTGCAAGGTTCTCACGCTGACCGCCACCCTCCAACAGGTGCCTTCACTCCCGTCTGCTCCGCCAACCACGTCCCCGAGTACATCCAGAAGCTCCCCCAGCTCCGCGAGAAGGGTGTCGACCAGGTTGCCGTCCTCGCCTACAACGATGCCTACGTCATGAGCGCCTGGGGCAAGGCCAACGGCGTTACCGGCGATGACATTGTACGTTCACCCATATCTCCCTGATCTCAATCCTCTGCTGGATATATCCAATTGGACTCGACTAACACTCTCCAGCTCTTCCTCTCCGACCCCGAGGCCAAGTTCTCCAAGTCCATCGGCTGGGCCGACGAAGAGGGTCGCACCTACCGCTACGTGATCATCATCGACCACGGCAAGGTCACCTACGCCGCCAAGGAGTCTGCCAAGAACACCCTGGAGGTCTCCAGCGCCGACGCTGTCTACAAGCAGCTGTAAATGCCTCCAGTTTCGATTCTGACTGGTATAGAATGGCCGCAAGGTAGAACATGGGTTGATAGGAGTACACATGTATTCCCTGCTTTTTTTAGCGCTTTAGAATAGATCGCCCTGTTACTTCTGTTGGCTATGGCATAGAGTGAATACAATTAATGAAGCTACGAGTTCATTTTTCCATCTAGCATTTTCCTACTGTACAGCATATAAAATGTCGTGTATGCGTAACCACGCTAAGCCCAGGTCTGTAACTAGCCTGTATGATTGGTTACTAGTAGTGTTAAGAGGCCAGTGCTCTGTCCGGGGATGCGTAGATCGACAAAGTTCGGCCGAGACCCGCCGATTTCTCTACACCGACTAGACCCCTGCAATAATCGTACATAGTGGTATCAAAAACAAAAGGTATAACCCAACGCCAAGCCCAAAATCAAGAACGCTTCACATTCGGAGCCATGGCAACAGACTTATTCTTCTTGCGCTCCTCCTTGGTCCGCAATCCGCGACTCAAACCACCCCCAAGGCCCCGCGCCAGCGAAGCAAAAGGCGAAGTCTCCTGCCACAGATCCAACTCATCTTCAAGCTGACCAGTTTCAGCCCGAGACTTGAGCAGGTCTCTCCTGGGCGGGTCAGCAACAGCAGGCTCAGATTGCCGACGACGAGAATGTTTCTGATGAGCGTGCCCACTAGGCGATGCATTATCCCCGGGATGAAGGTTAGGATTGGGAGAGGGTGATGGTGTTTCCCACGAAGGCATGGGGGCATTGACGACCATATGCTCAGAGCATTGGCAGCCACATCCTGTCGGACAAGACGGGAGAGATTTAAGGTCTTGATTGGATGAACCGTCGAATTTATCGCCAGGTCGGAGGAACCATTCTTGGTGGCAGTCGAAGCAGCTGACATGCCCGCAACCGAGGCAGGGTATTAGCATACCGTCAACCACCTCGCGACAAATAACACAGGGTAATTTGGTAGGTAGAGGCTGGCGCGGTTTGCAATTCGGGCATCGCCGAGCGGAGGATTTGCGCTGGTGGCGTTTGGAAGGGGTATCAGGGGCCATGGGGTGTTTATTAAAGATAGAAATCCGTAGCGCATGACCGCAGCTAGTGCAATGGCGCTGGAAATCGAGGGTTTGGGTAATTGGACCCGGCGGGTCTTGCAATGACGTTTCGGTCTCGGTAGTGCTATTCCAGTAATGGCTGGCGTTCATGTCATCTACTCGTTCGGTCACTGTTCCGATCTTCATGACTTCGCTTTGTTGGACTGGGAGGTCCCAGATTGAGAGCAGGTCGGCGTATGCGGCGCGGTATGCCCGGTAGAGTGGCTCTTTGTTTTCGTCTAGGAGTGTGTCTTGTAATGATCCGTCGCTTTCGAATGCACTTTGATTTTTCATAGTGACTTTGAATCTTGCCGGTGGGTTATGTTTAAGCGGTTCGTCGCTTTCATTGTCTGACTGGACCTCCGACTATATGGCGATGGTTAGAATGGGCAAATATTGGAAGATGAATCTGACAGCATGGAGATACTTACGACTTGTCCTGTTGTCGCCACACTCGGACTTTCCTGGGGAGTTGGTTTCTTCTTGTCCAGTCTGCTCGTCGGTGGGGATGCGGATGATGGTCCAAAGGTGAAGGAGCGAGACAATGACGATGCCAGCACCGATCCAAATCCGGATCCGCTCCGTGGCTGCGATTGCTGATCAGGCGATGCAGCAATGGACATATTCTGACTCATGGGCTTCCTGTCAGCGGCAATGCCGCGAGGGCGGGACAGGAATGGAGGCGTGGTGCCCGTTGAATGTGGTGGCGTGGAGTCAAGACGCCGTATTTCGCCAGAAGAACGTGCCGATGTCTGGGAAACAGGCATGTCCTGGACATCTTTTGGAACTGATGAAGCAGGTGTCACAGCTGGCAGTTTCGGTTGAACCGTCGATGCGACAGTAAAATCCAATGAGAAAGCCTGCTGTCCGGGTTTCTTATTTTGCTTTTCCAAATTGCCTTCTTGGTTTGCTTCGAGCAACACACAGGAGAGCATCGCCACCATCTGCACGTCGCCGATGCGCTCGAAATGCTCGAAGAGAGCAGGGACAAGCCAGTGGCTGCCAAGAGGGTGATCTCCCCAGCGAATGATACTCCCAGTCAAGTCTCTATAGAGACCATCTTTTCCGATACCGCCTAGCCCACTCCCTTTTCTCTGCATACGCCGTTGCAACAACCCCGACTCAGGCAAAGAGCCGGGGTTCTTTCGAACGTGCAGGATCAACTTGATCAAACCCCAAATCTGGGCCAATTCATAGCAGCCAGCGTCAAGGGCGACAGCCGCATTGTGGGCACATACATCTGGTCCCTTCCCACAAATGCTATATTGACTAGCCAACTCCCGCTTGACTGGTAACAGATCACTCAAGTCATGGATAGATATGATATTCTGAGGCGCGTCTGATTTGACTGTCGCTCCACCTCCGGTTGATCGCTGCGAGTTATCTGTTGATCGTGGCCGGTGCATGCCGTAGCTGCCAGCACTGCGCCATGTCTGGGGTGCCGGGAAACGTGTTGGCAACCCTGAAAGCATATCAGACGAGCCTGAAGAGCTTGACGTCTCGGAGTATGAATCGTCCGAGTCGGATGATGCACCATCATCCGTGCTGGCTATTGTGCCCATTCCACCACGTGGGCCGGGGGAGTTGGTTTGTAGACGGCCGAAACCTTCGAAAACCTTGTCCCCGCGAGACCATCTGCTCATCTCTTTGAAGCCCATGGTCTCGAAGAGCTCCGACGATTTATCCTTCTTCGGTGGGAAGAAGCACACAAGCCGGCCATCGTTTGCCCACAGCGCACCGCAGGCTTTGGCTACAGGGACCATGACATTAGCATTAACAGGGCGAAGAAGCTCTGAGCTCATGCCCAGCTCTTGGCTTTGGGTCATGCCGACTTCATCCTCGTCACTAGATTCGCCTTCCAATTCACCATTGACAGGAGACTTGACGTTGTCGCCCGTTTCACCAAGGATCCACGCAATGCTTTCCTCCAGGCTGCTCTCGCCCAGAAGATAACGCACTGTGCCTTCCAGGCACCCTCGGCTCCGGGACATGTAGGTCTCAGCGATTGTTCGCAATTCAGCAGTCATTTTTGCAGCCCATGCATCGGTAACGGCCGCTGTCTTTTGGAGCGCAAATGTCGGGATGGCAGACTTGGGATAGCTAACCGGAAACTTGATATCCACTTTCAAGAACAAAGAGGCGCCGTCAGCGCCCCAAGGCCCATTGAGAGAAATTGTAATCTTTCGTTGTCTGACATCAACCGAGTCGAATGCCACCTTGGTGAACTTTTCACCTACGTGGCTGATTTCGTCTCCTAGTGTCTCAATATCCCACCCTGAGATCTTGACACCACGCATCCAAGCAATTGGATTGGTATCAGCTCTCAAATTTGATCTGGGCAGCATGCCAACTCGATCAACATGACCTCCTTTGATCCAACCACGGGAGTGGGGAACTGATATAGCGTTCATTCCAGAACTTGTCGATTGATTCTGATTCTGGGCTCCAATCGAGGAAGCTGTGTCAATATCGTCGAATTCCAATTCTGAATTCACATCACGGAAACTGCGATATACGGCACCGAGGCGTGTGACTGTCCGAGTCGAAATAAAGGACTTTCCCTTTTCGTAGCCCACGCGCTGTAGGATTTCAGGGTCAACTCTGTGTAACCGAAGCTCCCTGTCTGTTCCCCACGTCACAAGTTGGAAGTCACGGTGGTCAATACCATCTACCACCCCTCCACGCGGTCTCCAGAGGAACTCCTTGACTTGTCCCTTGTGTCCGGGGAAGCTATGCGCTAGAGGTAGGTCAGCCTCTCGATTTGAACCATCCTCAGCTCGCCGACTATAAAGATGTAGATCATTATTGCCTCTCTGCGGCATTGCAAGTACACCCCATCCGAATGGCGTATTTCGTGCACGCCATACGGGGAATGAAGTATGAATCTGCTTCTCGGGAACATCTGATTCGGAAGTGTAATCCCAGAACTTAATAGTCTTATCAAGGGAGCATGTCACTAGCGCGCCACGCCGGACACGATTCCAATCGACTCCGTAAATCTTAGTGCTGTGAGCTTCAATCGATTTGATTGGGTACGCGCCCATGCGGTCATCCCAGATCCGAAGAAACCGGTCATGGGAACTTGCAATAACATGAGGGTCCTGTCGGTTCCATTTGACCTGGGTTGCACCAGTAAACCAATCGGAGAAAGAGATGGCGGGACGCGCCGGACTGCGCAAATCCCAGCAGTGGACGAAGCTGTCCACGGCACAAGTCGCGAGAAGATCCGGATGAAAAGCCGAGAAGTTTATATCGGTGATAGCGCGCGAGTGGGCGTGGAGTACAATCTCAATGGAGTTCTGCCACGTCTTCATTGCCAAGTTCCAGACCAACGCCTTCTGATTGGAGGTACTAACAACCCACTGGTCGCGTGCTGCAAATGGCGACCATTGGACATCGGCCACTTCCCATGGTGTGTGGTGAGGGAGATGTCGTGGCGGGGAATAAGGTGAGTCCAGGTCAATGACATGTAGACCTTCCTTGGATGCTAGGACGACGTCTCGGCCACAAGGGGATATTGACATTGCCCCCACGGGCTGCTCTACATGGAACGAGCTGTCCTCATCAAATGTCGGGCTCTCAAAGGCCGACGTGAGGGGCTTCGGTTCCATTGAGCTCGACATCTTGGACTGAGATGCCCGTTGGGCTCAACCTGGTCGCGTTGGGTGGCGACGCACGAAGTGTAAACTCGCTATACGTAGAAGCCAAGAGCATCAGGAGGAATGTTGTTCATTGTCTTTGCAAACAACATCCCCTATACAGGAGTCATTGTGGGATACAAGTTAAGCATCGAATGATAAGATGTGGAGATGTGGCTGGTGCTGTGGCGGGCACGTGACCTGTACGGAACGCGAGGCAACCCCGCAATGCAGCCCCTCGGCCGGTTACGTCGCTGCGTTCTGGAATCTTTTATTTGTTGATTCTTCTGGACATTCTTCTTTTCAGTCGCTGAGCTTGATCTTGTGGTCTGTTATACAACCAACAGAGCGCAACTTTTTAGACTACATCAGGAACACCATCCTTCAAAGACACCAGACCTACGCAGGACTCGAACCGGTTCGCCATGGCCTTGCCTAAGAGA